GGTATAAAAAGTGATAAATATAGAATAATACACGAAGCAATAATGGCTATATATCATGGATTCTCCAAGCAGATGTTCCCTGCAAGTTAACTTGTTTAATAACTGAGAGAGATAAATTTTTGGAAAGTTTTCGCCTGTATTAATAGTTCTGTAGTGTAGGTGATAGGAAGTATATCTTACAGAGGAAAAACGAAGAGGAATGGATTTGTTTAAAACCAAGCAATAGTTTAAGGAATGCTGTCTGTTTAAAGACAGGAAAAAATAGATTGGGTCTGTAAATCGGAGGATGACTTATACTGTATTAAGTACGCTGAGAATGTTACAGTTACATTGTTACTGTAAACACACTAGTAATGTAGACAAACTGTTACCATAAATGTATTAATAAGGTGGTTGTTTACTATTATTGTAAATTTACTAGTAAAGTGGATGTGTACTTTTATCTGTAAAATACTAGTATTTTGGATTTGTAATTTTCATGGCAATGTTGCCGTAAATACTAGTAATAGTGATGTGCACTGTTAAGGTAAATACTATTAATATGGATGTGCACCGGTACAATAAATACTAGTTATGTTGATGTGTACTGTTACCGTAAATACCAGTTATGTGGATGTGCACTGTTACCATAAATATTAGTAATGTGGATGTGCACTGTTACCATAAATACTAGATATGTGGATGTACACTGTTACCATGAATACTAGTTATGTGGATGTGCACTGTTACCGTAAATACTAGTTATGTTGATGTGCACTGTTACCGTAAATACTAGTAATGTGGATGTGCACTGTTACCATAAATACTAGTTATGTGGATGTGCACTGTTACCGTAAATACTAGTTATGTTGATGTGCACTGTTACCGTAAATACTAGTAATGTTGATGTGCACTGTTACCGTAAATACATAAGTTGCTGTAGATATATAGAGTTACTATAGATATACTAGAATACATACTAGGAAGGGTTTTATTTAGAACATTGTGAAAATAAAAAATGTAAACACATAACATGACAAAGTAGAATAGATAAAGAAGGAAGGAAAAAGGTCAAAGTAGGCTTACAAGAAAGAATTGCTTATTGAAGAAAATAAATTGAAATTTAGTCAAGACAAGGGAGAGACAGGAGAAGATATAAAAGTTGTTTGTTGAAAATGGAGGAAGGAATGATATAACAATAGGTGTTGAGAGGAAACAGAAAAGTGCAGTGGTGTGGAATTTAAGTAGTGTAGGGGTGGGGGGTGGGGGGTGGGGGGTGGGGGGAGCAGGTGGAGGGTGGAGATGAAACTTTAATCAGTTGTACAACAAATGACAAGCTGGGAATCAAAAGTGAAATCTCAGATTTGAAAATTCTGTCATAACTAATTGGTTTATTATAGTAAGAAATGTTACCATATTTCATATAATTAAACCAGAGTTCATTACAAGCTGATTCCATTATGATTGTGCTGCAAACTAATATCTGTGTTTAAATTTTTGTTTTTTTCAATCCCCATACCTCTCTACTGAATTAGTGTGAAATATGTACTGCTGATTGTACAGGAACTAATTAGAAAGCTCCACATTACCACCCACTGGCGTTCCTCATGAGGCTCTTGATGGGTAGATGTTCTGTCATGCTGATTGAGTGTACATCCATAAATTACACAAATCAAAATGGAATGATAAGTAAAATTTTATCAGACCATACTATACTTCAAATATTCTCTTTGAATTAAACTTTCATAGAGGCAGGATCTCAGGTAACATCTTTTGTTTTAAATTTTGTAGATGTATTTCATTGGCATAAAATTCGTATTTAAAATTCAAAATTTAGATTTCAGAAAATGATATGAATAATGTTAAAAATGATGAAAATGTTAAAAAAAAAAAAAAAAAGAAAAAAAATGAATCATCTTTGATATTCTTTTCACACAAAAATTAAGTTACCATATTAGGGTTATCTCCCATGTTGAATTAGTTTTTCTATTCAATAACGTTATGTTGTATCTCTTCATCTGTAAATGATATAAATCTGACCAGTAGAGTATTAAGGTCTGAAAAAAGAACAGATTTTACTCCCTTTCTGGGGACAGGGCCCCCTTGTAGTTATCACCTATAGAATACAGTGTTAGTAATACCCTAACAGATTTTGATGGAGTATAATTACCAGTCAAAGAACCGCCCATTTCAGCTAATACATAGAACAGAGTACCTATACCAGACAAAATTATGATACACATACTATGATACATAATGGACATGATACAGGTCATTGACTAAACCCTGAATGGTGTGTTCTGTTACGGTAGGGAAGAACTTTATAATGATAGGTTCATTTGTTCCGTAGGTGGTTCAGGATTTGTATTATAGAATACTACAGGTGTCTACTCCATTGTAGTTACTACAAATATCTGGACAGGTATTGTCCATTGCATAAGCAACCATAATACCTATTTCTACACAGGCTAGTGTTATCCTTATGTCCATTTCCGCTCCAACAATTGTCTTTTGTCATAAACCAAGGCATGTCTTTCTTTCATATTTCATAAATTTTGTAAAACTGCGGAAGATCTTTTCTTCTTTGCTTCTGTCTGAGTGAGTGTAAACAATGAGACAAAGTCTGGAGAATAAAACGATTATGATACTGTTTTAATACCGTCATAGATCAAAGTAAATGACCAACTTTACAATGACAGCGTCGATGTAGAATTGGTCATGTGGTGTACAGGGGTATTAAGGTTTGGTAATTGTATACCTTAAAACTACCTATAGACTTGTGCAGTATATAGAATTGTTTCAGTGAATCAGGTGTTTATGAAGAAGGAAGAAAAAGGAGAAAAAACCCTGACAGTTAAATATGATTAATAATGGTTATGAAAACTTCGACTGTTAAACAGTTTTAAGGACTCGTTTTGGAAAATACCATGATTTATATTAACACTCCGATATTACGAAATATATATTTATTATAGATCTTCAATTAAATATAAATACAGGATGATAGACTTGCTCATTCCATGTTTTAGAATTTTTCATTTTCACAATCAAAGTTAAAATGAAAATGTTTGCATCAATTCCATAGCGTTTTTGGTAACATGATGAAGGCCACACACTTACAATTAGGTAAAACTGACACAAGTGAGTAAGATGGAAGGGAAAAAGATGAGGTAGTGAGATAAAGATGATGAACATGCTACAGAACCAGATATCACATCACAATTTGTTACTACATCTATCCTGTTTGTCCTTAGTGATTTGTTACACTTAATTTCATTCGCTTACCGCTTCACTTACAACCAATCAGTGATAAGATACCAACTTATCATTAATTATTAGTGAATTCAAATTGAAATTGTGAACAAATTTTCAGCTCCATGTAGAGAAGTAATCCAGAAAAGATCACACATATGAAAGTTGTGACTTTAAACTGATATGATTAATTTGATGTTTGGTAAGAAATTTTATAGACATGTACTAGGTATGCAAATAAGTTAGATTTTAAGGGGATGTAGCATTTCACCTTTACTCTTAGGTCATTGTTTTAATTATTCGTCTCTAAGAGACTTTTCAAACCTGCAAGAAGCATAATTCAATATTTGAAATGCTCTGATATTATTAATTGATTGGTGCGACAATATGTTGACTATAATGAATTAACATGTGTAGACGTTAAAATTAACTGTACTAGGTGTTGTGACTTGTACTGATGTTGGTTATTGTGTTGTTAAGTTAACTGTACAAGGTGTTGTGACTTGTACTGATGTTGGTTATTGTGTTGTAAAGTTAACTGTACAAGGTGTTGTGACTTGTACTGATGTTGGTTATTGTGTTTGTTGTAAAGTTAACTGTACTGGATGTTGTGACTTGTACTGATGTTGGTTATTGTGTTGTAAAGTTAACTGTACAAGGTGTAGTGACTTGTACTGATGTTGGGTATTGTGTTGTAAAGTTAACTGTACTGGATGTTGTGACTTGTACTGATGTTGGTTATTGTGTTGTAAAGTTAACTGTACAAGGTGTTGTGACTTGTGCTGATGTTGGTAATTGTGTTGTAAAGTTAACTGTACAAGGTGTTGTGACTTGTACTGATGTTGGTTATGTGTTGTTGTTAACTGTACAAGGTGGTGTATTGTGTGTTGGTTATTGTGTTGTTAAGTTAACTGTACAAGGTGTTGTGATTTGTACTATGTTGGTTATTGTGTTGTTAAGTTAACTTGTGTTGTGACTTGTAATGTTGGTTAGTGTTGTAAAGTTAACTGTACAAGGTGTTGTGACTTGTACTGATGTTGGTTATTGTGTTTGTTGTAAAGTTAACTGTACTGGATGTTGTGACTTGTACTGATGTTGGTTATTGTGTTGTAAAGTTAACTGTACAAGGTGTAGTGACTTGTACTGATGTTGGGTATTGTGTTGTAAAGTTAACTGTACTGGATGTTGTGACTTGTACTGATGTTGGTTATTGTGTTGTAAAGTTAACTGTACAAGGTGTTGTGACTTGTGCTGATGTTGGTAATTGTGTTGTAAAGTTAACTGTACAAGGTGTTGTGACTTGTACTGATGTTGGTTATGTGTTGTTGTTAACTGTACAAGGTGTTGTGACTTGTACTGATGTTGGTTATTGTGTTGTAAAGTTAACTGTACTAGTTGTGGTGACTTGTACTGATGTTGGTTATTGTGTTGTTAAGTTAACTGTACAAGGTGTTGTGATTTGTACATATGTTGGTTATTGTGTTGTAAAGTTAACTGAACTAGATGTTGTGACTTGTTCAGATGTTGGTTATTGTTTTGTAAAGTTAACTGTACAAGATGTTGTGACTTGTACTGATGTTGGTTATTGTGTTGTAAAGTTAACTGAACTAGATGTTGTGACTTGCACTGATGTTGGTTATTGTGTTGTTAAGTTAACTGTACAAGGTGTTGTGACTTGTACTAATGTTGGGTATTGTGATGATGTAATAGTTAGCTCTTCTATGTGTTATTACATGTGCTGCTGTTATACTGGTTTGTTGTTTCCACAGGTTTACAGCAGATGGCAATGCCTGGTCCTGGGCCCGGGACACACCCCTCTATAAAGTACCAGGAACACCCCGGGGGTGACACCTTCTCCGACTTTGTTTCGCTGGTATGTCAGGAGGCTCAAAACTCACAGGGACAGGTGTGTATAACATAACTAAGCAGCCGTGACCTACTTTTTTATTGGCATAAATCAGTAATTCAGGTCATGGTATAATTAATTTAAAACAGTAAATTACTGTGTAGGATTTTCACAGTGACAAGACAGGTCAGATGTTTGGACTTTCTTGTCCAGTGATTATTTTTCAAAACAAAAACAAAACAAAAAGACAAAAGAACAGCTTCACTAAGCTGCATGAAAATTATATAAAAATATATTATTGGTGGCCAGAATGGATCAAGTTCTAACTTCTCATTAACAAAAAAAACAAACAAACAAACAAAAAGGAAAAAATAACAGTAAAAGAAAAAAACACTGGACAGTTTCAGATTAGATGACTTATAATAATATTTCATATATTGAGAAATACCACAATATTAAGTTACCCAAATACTTTTTCATTGATTATTGCCAACCTGCCAGATTTACGTAGGTCCACCCGACTTTAGACTACCATTTAGACTCAACCATTTGACCCATCAGGTTATCAAACAGCCTGTGTTTTTCCTTCAAGATGTCTAGTTTTGAAACATTTCAAGATGTACCGCTATTAAATGTTATTTGAAAGGCATTCAGATATCAGTAGTCTTTCTCAACCAGACCCTTGTTGTCTGTATGCACTTATCAAGCATCTAATTGAGCAAGACAATTATATTAGACATGGCATGATGACAAGTGACAGAAACTTTTCTTGTATAAAGCACAGATATTTTTTCAGTTTAGATATTCTACTTATCATTTAATGGTTGGTTCAATTTGTTTTGAAGATGTTGATATTTGCAATCATCAATGATTGCTGCCCAAGGCTCCTTAAGTTAGAACCACAAGGAAGTAAGATATGTTTAAGTTCATGTTAAAATATTTTGGAAATTGTAATTTATCTAGTCTATGGCAGATTTCACTAGACTAAGATGACAATATTCAGAAAACATTTGAAAAGTTTTCCACAAAAAGTGTCTATGATCATTTGCTATGTTCCCAGAGGGAAGAGCATATAGTCACTGCTTTGTCTGTCTGTTTGTCCGTCTGTTTGTCTGTCATAATATTGTCTGGAGCATAAGACAAAAACGATAAGAGGTACCACATAAAACTTCATAGGTAGATAGATCTCAACAGGGAAGTACAGTACACAAGAACCATCACTCTGTTTTTACATAACCTAGCAATTATTGCTCATTAATTATTTTTTTCATACTTAAATTTTGTCCGGAGCATTACACTAAAATTAAAAGAGGTATCAACATGAAATTTTACAGGTAGGTAGATCTCAATGAGAAGAAGGGCGATGCTCAAAAGTCGATCTCAATGAAGATTTTGAATGATTAGGTTTCTAACATGTTACAGCTGGCTCATGTTTCTTTCCCTTCTTCAAAAACGATGCACTACACTGCTGTTTGTTACAATAAGATAATGATACATGTAATTGAAATTTAGGAAGTAATGCTTAGAGATTGCAACTAGACAATTACATATGTCTGTTTGTACATCCTGGGATGATGTTATATTAGCAGCTAAAGCTGCCAGTTGCAGCCTGAAGAATTATGAAGAAGAGGTAAATGAAGATGTAATGAATGAAGTATGGTATATAATTACTATTCTAAAGTGGTTTGTTATGTATAAGTTTTTGACGAAAAAAAAAAAAAAAAATATGACACGAAAAATGTTATTATTCTTATGACCCTTGATTTAGCTGGTCATGACTAGGAGGTTGGCAATACTGTTCATGATGTAAATCACATACAAAATTTATCTTTAATGCACACACATTTTCAGAACCACACAGTATTTAGATACAGATCCATGCGATGTTTAGATATAGAAACTATTATGTGATATTAATTTATGATACACACAATATTCACAAAATGGCACAAAATATTCAGATATGTAATGCCATGATAATTCATGTGTTCAAAAATATTCAGGTAATATCTAATAAAAAAAATGTTTTCCATGAATTTTATTGTGAGAAGTCAGAGACTTGTTCCAGCATTTTGGCTACCATGAAAAGTGGGATGCATGCTTGTAGGAATGAATTTAATCCCTTTTTAACTTGCCTTGTCAAAGTCTGTAATGAAGACTGCTTGCATTATTTATTTTTTTCCATTGAATAGAAGCCTGGGGTACTACGATTTTTTGAGACAGCTTTTAATTCAACAGCCGTAAGAGACCAGGCTTCTAGTCACGGAAATATGGTAGCTATAATGGTCAAACCTTATAGTGACCACAACACTTGGTAACAAGCCTCCGTTATAATGACCACCATATTATTGAAATCAGATCTAAACATCATGTTGTTGTTTTTTTAAATATATTGTTAAATTGCTTTTTTTTTTGTATCAAATATCCAACTTTTTAAAGAATAATCTTTTTTTTTTTTTGGTGAATTTCTGCATGATAAAACGACTTTGATAGCCAGCTATCTTTGACAAAAGTATAACTTAGGCAAAAAGATACACATGTCCCTTCTACAACTTGTTGTACATAGGTCCTAATTCCTTGAATCTTGGTCATTGTAGACAGGCTTTCACAGTCTTTTGTGTTGATATATGTTCTTGCTGTGAAACCCCTAACTTGTGCCTTTACATGCTACAACTTACCTACATTGAGTGTCAGTTACACTTAGAGGAACCAAGATAATTTGGTTTCTTTAACTACCAAATGAGACTGTCTTAACAAAAACTTTTTTTGTCCTTGTCTAATTTGACTTCATTTGTTTGAGCTGCTGTGAAATAAACTTTCTGAACCTATAAAATAACCCTAAATGTTGGAACTTTGTCAAAGTCCTGGGGAAATGCTGAAATTTCTGTCTGTATTTTATGGGACATGTGTTTTTACCAATGTGTTTACTCAAAGTGCTGTAATTTCCTACTCTCCTTGTCCTATGTCTCTTAGTTTGTTTCCAAGTCAGTACTAGATCTGGTTTTTTTCACACTTTCCATCTCGTTCATTGCAGGGAGATGAGCACATCCATGTAAGTTACAGTCTAAGGGAAATAACTCTTTGTACTTTAGTTGTGTGGTTTCCTAGTTTCAATGTTTCCATAATGCTTGAGAATGTAATACTTTCGTTCATAGTTGTTTACTTTGAAAAAACAAATTCTGTGTAAATGAAAACATTATGTGTCTTTGAAATCATTTATTTCTTCACTTGCTTTTAGAATGTCTTTTTTAGTATGTTTCTTTCAATGTTTAGAGACTGCATTTAAGAGAGAGAGAGCGCGAGAGAGAGAAAAAAAAAGAAAAAGAAAGAACAGAAGAGTTTGAAAATGCTTCATTTATTTATAGTATGCTTTTAAAATAGACTTTATTCCTGTGGTAGATTTCACTGCTGATGGAGTCCTTAACATTTACATTCCTTCTGCTGATCTCTATATCTAAGAAAGAAAATGGCTATGAAATATATCGTTGTAAAGGAGTCACATTATTATAACTGGGAAGAAATTAAATAATCTGAATGTAATACTGATTTGCAATTTAACATTCCATGTTATTTTAAGAAGAAAAAATGGGGGAAAAAATCTTGAAATATATGTATTATAGTCAGTGATAAGTATTTTTTCAGAAAAGTAAACCCTGTCATGTTTATGATAGATTTGTTTGCTTCATGTCTTTTGAGGGATAAGTTGTTGATATTTTTGTTTTTGTAAGAATGTTTAATCCATAATAAATCCTGTACAGCATATCCATTATAGCCTGTTTATATATGCTAGTTGAGGTTGTAACATTTTCAGTTCTGTACCCCTAACACTAATGGGAAAGTCTCATTGATGCTATACATGTAGTAATGGTTAGAGGACTTTCTTATCTGAAATGTAGAATGGCTATTTATAGGTGAAGAAATTGATGATACATCAGAAAAAGACCAGAAGAATGTTTTATGTGATATAGAAATAAAAACGAATGTTTAAACAGAGATACAGTGCTTCTTCTTGTTGATAGATTAAACTGAATAATGATAATAACACCAGAATCTAGTGCAAGGTCTTAAAACTATTCTGGAGGATTTTAAAAGAACAAAGAGTTAAAATACTTAAAATAAGTATGATTTTTGTTATTATGTGTGGTTTCTTTTTTATCCCTTTGGATAGCTTACATATTCTTTTGTTTGTTTCCAGTCAAATTCATCGACACCCCCGATGAAGAGCCCTACAAAACTCCCACACTTCTTTTCGCCTGGGATGCTTCCCCCTCCTCCACCACCTCCACCAAATTTGGCACGCCCAGTCGCCATTCTTCGTACATCAGATGGCCAAGTTGTTAGCAGTGCTCCAACGCCTTTGACCTCAACTGTGTCCAGTGAGTATTGGAATAGTTTGATTGGGACAAGTTTAGTGAATAATGGATTAACTTGTTTGGGATATTTCTAGTGTTTAATGTAACAACTTGTGTGGGATATGTCTAGTGTTTAATAGAATAACTTGTTTGGGACATGTCTTGTATCAAATGAAATAACTTGTGTGGGACATGCCTAGTGTTTAATGGAATAACTTGTTTGGGACATGCCTAGTGTTTAATGGAATAACTTGTTTGGGACATGTCTAGTGTTTAATGGAATAGCTTGTTTGGGACATGACTAGTGTTTAATGGAATAACTTATTTGGGACATGTCTAGTTTTTAATGGAATAGCTTATTTGGGACATGTCTAGTTTTTAATGGAATAGCTTGTTTGGGACATGACTAGTGTTTAATGTAACAACTTGTGTGTTGTGTACCTAGTTCATAGGTCAAATAGAATGGGGTGTGTTGTGTACCTTCTTCATAGGTCAAATAGAATGGGGGATGTTGTGTACCTTCTTCATAGGTCAAATAGAATGGGATGTGTTGTGTACCTACTTCATAGGTCAACTAGAATGGGGTGTGTTGTGTACCTACTTCATAGGTCAAATAGAATGGGGTGTGTTGTGTACCTACTTCATAGGTCAAATAGAATGGGGTGTGTTGTGTACCTACTTCATAGGTCAAATAGAATGGGGTGTGTTGTGTACCTACTTCATAGGTCAAATAGAATGGGGTGTGTTGTGTACCTACTTCATAGGTCAAATTGGATGGGGTGTGTTGTGTACCTCTTCATAGGTCAAATAGAATGGTGTGTGTTGTGTACCTACTTCATAGGTCAAATAGAATGGGGTGTGTTGTGTACCTACTTCATAGGTCAAATAGAATGGGGTGTGTTGTGTACCTACTTCATAGGTCAAATAGAATGGGGTGTGTTGTGTACCTCTTCATAGGTCAAATAGAATGGGGTGTGTTGTGTACCTACTTCATAGGTCAGATGGGATGGGGTGTGTTGTGTACCTACTTCATAGGTCAGATGGGATGGGGTGTGTTGTGTACCTACTTCATAGGTCAAATAGAATGGGGTGTGTTGTGTACCTACTTCATAGGTCAAATAGAATGGGGTGTGTTGTGTACCTCTTCATAGGTCAAATAGAATGGGGTGTGTTGTGTACCTACTTCATAGGTCAAATTGGATGGGGTGTGTTGTGTACCTTCTTCATAGGTCAGATGGGATGGGGTGTGTTGTGTACCTACTTCATAGGTCAAATAGAATGGGGTGTGTTGTGTACCTACTTCATAGGTCAGATGGGATGGGGTGTTTTGTGTGCCTTCTTTTAGGTCAAATGGGATGGGGTGTGTTGTGTGCCTTCTTTTAGTTCAAATGGGATGGGGTGCCTACTTAAGTTTCCATTACATTGTATAATTGAGATGTGATTTTGATTGCTGTCTTTCAATAATCATTTAAAAACCTGTCAGAAGCATACCATAGTTTATCTTAAAACTGTTTTTACATTAGTTATACAATTTCTGTTGATATGTGTTCCTATTTTTACGGTACTCTTGTATAAGACACTGGAAAAGGAAAGGGGATGTGATTGTTGCTAAACTTCACTCTCTTTGTGTTTTACAGGTACATCTAACAATAGCAATTCGAGTCAGGGTATCAGCTCCTCACCAGGAACGCCTCCGTTCAACCGGACCATCATGTCCAGCCCGTTTTCAGTATTGACTCGGCCAGAGCATGCGTTTGCCCATATACATCCACAAGGACACCAGGTAAAGGAAAAGGAAACTGACCATTTCATCTCTTACATTTTGTTCGCAACATCTTCCTGAACAACTGGATAATTAACATAGGGACATGAATAGGATGAAAGAAATATAAAGTTACCAAGTTTGAGATCCAGTTTTGTATTTGTGTTGATGTATCGGTCTTTTTTCCAGGTATTTTCCATCCTAGTCGAAGCCCTGTATTTGTACTTGTGTTGATTTATCGGTCTTTTTTCCAGGTGTTTTCCTACCCAAGTCTTAGCCCAGTAAACGCTCTCAGTGGTGTGATCAGCCCTACAACTCTCAGTCTGATTGCATCACCTGTGGCCACACCCCGTACCACTCCACGGTCAACACCCATACCTCGGTGGACCACACCGTTCATCCCTTTGGATGAGGGCATGGACTATAACATGCTGGCTAACATCATGCACGGCGTCAACAACGACGAACCTCTACTGAGCGAAGGTACACTTAAACAATATCTATAGTAACCCAATTGAACAGGGATTAGGCCTTATTTGGGGATCAGTTTTGACAGCTTAAATGTTTTCAAATGTCAGGTTAAGAATGAAGTAATAGAAAATCAGAACTGTTAGTACAGTAATGTGATATTTGATTACAATAAATGAAGTAAGAAAAACAATCCCTTATTATAAAGAGTTTATGTAGGAGTTTGAGTTTAAGGGTTGTATAAATAAGCTTTTTATTTGATTCTTTTTAGAGCGATATTTCCCAGGAGATGGCATGGAAGGATCTGGTAATGGTCATTCAGGCCCACCTGGACCTTCTCACTCAGGACAAGCTCCGCCCCCAGCACCTCCCACCCCAGTGGCCAACACCCCAAAACAGACTCAGAACCAACAGACTTGACAGGGAAGAAAGAGGGGGTGGGGCATGTGAGCCCTGCTCTCCAGACCTGCTTTGCTTGGCTGTGATAGCTGACTACCGTTATATACTATTTAACATAATGTTTTGAAAGAATTCTGTATCCACCGTAAGTCACTATGACGTCGGAACGTGTACGTACATGATGACCTTTGAACTCATGTTGTTACCAATTTATACACAAAAACACTTCTGAGAAATAACTACATAAACAAATCATGAATTGATATTGTTTAAAAGGACATGTTGACAAAAGTCTCCACTTCAATCTCAGGTATGGTGTACAAACTGATCCAGATGAATCGTTGGTAGAAATATTTTGTCACAGTTTGATATTGGTAGATTTAGTTTGAGATTTGCGAACAGGTTGTATTTTGACAATTCATGAATATTCAGTCAGTAGAGACACAAAAAACAGATAATATGGCACTAGATATCACGTCGTCTTACATCTTTTACGAACTTGGCTATACTTGTGAAAAAAGTTGAGCTTGGAGAAGTTGTGTCAACTTGTCTTTTTAACATTAATTTCTAAACTGATTTTACTCAAACAGCATTTTGAGATTTTACTGAGCTTTACCCTTGTTTTAATGTTAAACTAAAACTCTAGTATTATAATTAGTATGTAGATGTTTGTACATTGTCTGGTATATATTATGTATGTATACATATATAATTCACTCAAGCCAAATACTTGTAAACAATTGTATGAGACTTTTAAGTTATTTTGTTAGTGTTGTTTTGGGAGCTTGTCTCCTCACTATAATTATTATTACCCTTTTATCTCTGTAATCTTCAACACTGTACAGTTACCTGTCATTGTAATGCTGAAGTTGTTGAATAATTCCTGAATTCCAAAAATTGAAAAAAAAAAAAAAAAAAAACCTATGCAATTTGCATAAACGTTTTTGTATAACGCCAGTATAAATTATTTGATTTTCCTTTCTTTTAAAAATTTCCAATATTTTCCCCCCACCCAGAAGTAGATCAACCTCCCAGGATAGTACTAGTTTTGTATATGTTAATATTTATGATGATTAATTTATCGATATGAGTGTTAATTATTCTTATTATGACAATTGTTATGACCATATAAGGAAGAAGAGGCCTCAGACTGTACATAGACATGTTGTTATCACTGACACTTGTTATGTTCTGCATGTCAAGAACACAAGTGTTAGTGAAATATGTTGTTCAAACTAGTCCTCCCAATTGTAACATTATTGCCCTCTCATCGTTAACACCTAGTCCAAGTGCTACTCATTTTTTCTGTCAACTTACTTAGATGTAGTGAAATCATTTTGAAGAAAATACCCTAAAACTTTTCTTCCATCTTTGCATCTGTAAAGTCATCATTTTTCATCATCCATTTTTTATATATATTGGAACCATGTACCTCAAATATTCTCTATCATGTTATACGAATACAAATTTCAGGACTTGTTGATGAATCATGTGACTTGTCCTTTGCTGTCCTGATAAGATGGCATACTCCTGATGACATTCAGGTGGGAATTGAAGTTTCCTGGCATGTACAAGTACTTTGTAAAATTTATTCATAGCATGCATTAATGCTATAACTACCTCTGTGAACAAAAATTTGAACTTTTTTTTCTGACAAATTTGAGAAACGCCTTCATTTGATAACTGTTTTTGTCAATAAGTTACCAAAATTCTTAAAAGAAATTGTCTAACATTGGATGTTTTCTTTGTGATTTGGAATTCTTCCTTTTGTCAAAAGTTGCTTGATGATTTTTTATGAAACCTGTAAAAATTTTCTGTTTTGGATTGAAGTCACAGTAAATGATTTGAAGCCTTCTGTAGGTAGCTTAGACAAATTCTAACATGAACATCGATAATGAAATTTCTGTTGCTTTTCATCTAGTATGTAAATGTCTTGTGTTAGAGACTTGTTAATATGTAGAATGCTAGCAGTAAATTTGGGACAGTTCTTTTGCCCATGTAAACAAACGGATAGAATTGCAAAACTGTTTATTTGGTTTGATTTGAATTTATTTTCTTTAATTCAGTAAAGATTTTCAGACAAAACTTTTGAAAATGTAAATATTGAAACCAAGTGTTCTACCTCATGGAGTTAATTAATTATATGCCAAGCACAGTTAATGTTGATGTCGGTCAAATATGCAAAATCTTGTCAAAGTATTGACAATGGTTGCATAAGCTTTTTGGTATATTTGACTTTGACACTAGTAATAATTTGATAGACAACAATTTTTTTCTGCTTTTAAAGATTACTTTCAGCAATAATGAAAATGAAAACCTGGTGATTACGGACATTTATTGATTATGCATTAAGACTGTATTTGTACATAACTAGAGAGTCTTTCACAATTTTAGTTGTTAGTGTAGAGTGAGTTATCTTCCCTTGTACTGGTCAAATATGTATCGTTGTGTTCATCTACATGGTTGTTTCTAGCCATCCTGTGAAAAGATTGTGTATATGTGAGTGTGCATGTGGAGGGAGAAGCATTTTCTTTTCTTTTTCTCCCCATTAACAAATTTTAATTAATGAGGAATCTACTGATGTAAATTAGAAAAAAGATAAATCAAAATTTACGCACCAAAAGTATCCTGTTTTAGCCATTTCATTGTTAAATCAACTTTACTCCTTTAGTGATATCCTGATTGTGATATCATCAGAATACCCAGTAGATAATAGTCCTTTACATGGTGTTGATATTTAGAAGTAAACAAATCAACAGTGTTCAGTAATGTTGTTTGGAGGGAAGGAAAATCTGTTTCTCCATTTCATCAGATTAACAACAAAATAGAAATATGAGTAGTTTGATTATAAAGAAGATTTCTGTTCCCGTCAACATATGTTCAATGTGTTGGCTCCAGACAAACAAATCTTAAGCAAATCCTGACCCTGACCTTCTAGATTAGCAGCTTCACCAGCCAGTGTAGAAATGCGTCCAGAAAATCCATTATTTTGATTTAAGAAAGTGCTTTTGTTTGGAGTTAACAAACATGTACATTCTCATCAGTAATTCAGTACTTGTGAATTCAGTGTCGGCTCCCTTACTCAAGTCCCTGTGTGTTATGTGAACAAATGTTGGTGTAGCATTGTCTACCCATTGCTTTGTGAAATGGCATCTAGTTATAAGTTGTTGGCGTTTTGTTGTGGATTTGAACCCATACCCTGGGTTTGAGGAGTTTAATTGTGATAAAAGCATCCCTTGTTATTGTCATCCAGAAATCCTCGCTAACAAGCTTATCACGTTTTATTTATTTTATCACTCTTATCATCTTATTATTTATTGCGTTGTTATGTTAAAGAACAAAATGATTTTTAAAAGTTTTGTGTGGAAACAGTGTGTGATAATTGACTTTTGTCATTGCACCATGTTGTATTCTATGTCATGTAGTATAACTATTTCATCATTTCACATGTATGTTGTCACCGCATCACGCAAATGATGTCAAACCTTCCAAGTACCTAGATGTGTCGGCAACATAAATGTTTCCCCGTCCACGGTTGTGAAGGTGGACATCGCCATCTTCTTTCAACATGTGCTAGATTATGTATAATGTTGATTTCTTTGTGAAATTGAAACCTTACGTTGGTGTGTATGTTTTGAAAGTGTGTTTGTGGAAATATGCCTCTGTACAGATTTCAGTCTTGTGATTGGAATCAAAACAAATGAATGACATACAAGTTGTGGTTACTCATATAGTATAATACGTTCACTGTGGCCAAATCGGCAGTAACCAGGAGATTTATCTTGCCATTAAAAGGGAGCTTATTAAATTTTGAAGTGAATGTCACCAAAGTGTTATAAAAATCATGTTAGAAATGGAGGTCCAGTCCATTGTTTATATAATCTCAAATCCTACACCCATTAAGTGCTACTTGTATTCAACTTTGTTTTTGTTTGATTTTTTTTTTTCTTTGTTTTTGGCATATCCAGTAAAATTTCAAGTTAGACTGGACATAACATTTATGGTTTGACTAGTTGGGTCAGCTAAGTGTCTAATAAGTTCTTGTTAAACAAGTTTTGACACAGTATTTATGGGAAGGGTTTGTATGAAACAGTATATTATCCTAAATTGTTTGTAGTGGTATAGTACTATCAAACTGGCATGTAATCAAAATAATGTGCACCTAAAATTCACATGTTATACGTGTAGCACTCGAGTCTTCCACAAATATTACTGTTAACTTCCACAAATATACAGGTCATTATATGGCTTGGATGTCAGTCTAGCAGGTCAAATTTTCTTTAACCTTTCTTCTTACTCATAAAATGGTAATGTCTGGATGCTCTTGACCCTTCTCTGAAATTTTAAGAATTTACGGATTCTCCTGAAAAAGTATAAAAATGCATTGGTTTTGTTCAGCAAATTAAAAATCAGACTTCGAACTATCAGCCAAAGATTTGTACTCATGTTTGTTGGGTGAACTCGATTACACAAAATATTAAGTGCCAAATTTTCGTCATGTGTGATATTTCTGTTGTTGTTCAAAATTTTGTTTTTGAACAGAAAACATGAACGATAAACTATCAGAAAAATGAAAACTGTGCTATATAACTCGTTATAAATGTCCTTGCCCATCAATGTTTATGTATATTTGTGGTCTCTTGCTACTGGCTGTATTTATCAAACCATCATGTGCTGGTGTTACTATTTTTGATTTCGAGTTGATGTAAATTTTTTTGTGTTGCTTAGTTATTGTGATCGGTGTGTATACTAGGTTATTGTACAGTTTAAAAGTCCTTTTTTTATTATAGTTTGTAAATAAGTTTGTATACATAGGTATTAATTTATTATTATATAATTATTTCCAAAGTAATGTTTTGATTTGATCGTGTACAGTATAGGCACACATGTGCCGGTAAACGGGTGGGCTAAGACGTTGGTCTCTGACCTGCGTCGTTGACGATCTGTGATTTCATTATAGTGTGGAAAGGTATGATTCACGCTGGTGACATATTTTGACAAGTTTTTTGTAAGGTATGAATCGGAGAATGTGTCACTTTCTATATTATTATTTTTTGTTTGTTTGAAGTTTCATAACAGTTCTTCACTAAAAAGGTAATTTTATATAGTTGTTAAGTTTTATTCCTTCCAAAAAGTTTTTAAAATAATAACATAAAGTATCCTATTGTTTGCTGTTGGTGAAATTTCTTTCCATGACAGCTGATACAAATAAAGAGAGACAAAAACAAGAGATTGTTAATATGTATAAAGACAATATCGTAAATATGCATTTAATGTTCATATATACATATTTCTGGACTTTTGAATCTCAGTTTCTTTTGATCAATACTAACTGTAAAGTCACTGTGTAGACATAAAAAGAACTAAAAATGTTTCCCCAGACACAACTAGTATTATTTTTTTTTTTTTCATATTGAAAAACAGGTGCGGAAGGAATGAAATAAAAAGAAAATTGCTGATATGGGTTTGGTTAAAGTGCCTCTCTTCTTACCAAAGACAAATACTGTATTGTGTTAGGTAAAGAACATACTTCAAAGACATCAATTGTCAATGTGAGCTAAATATTGGTGGACCAAGTTTGGGGGAGTCATTCTTGGAAGAAAATGTTTCGAAACCGTTTTTTAATTTCGGTGTTCCTGGGGTGGTGTTTGTACTGGAAGGTTTTTAAGTCAATAGATACAAGGATAAAGAAGAACGGGTGATGGAAGACAAAGGTGATCTGTAAAGTTACTGTAGCAACAGTCAGAAACCTACAGTGAGGAAACTATACCTAAATATATTTATATATGTGACAGCCTAGAGCATTCCGATAGAGTATATATTTCTGACTCTAACCAGCACAGTGATTGTAGTGGTAGCTTTCTACTCTTTGTTGTTCCATAGTATTATATGATCAAAACAAAGGGCCGGTCCTTTTGTTATTTTCTGCACTGTCATCATGATGAAATATGACCTTGAACTAGCTGTCCAAGTGTAACCTTGGCCTTAAGGTTAACTGGATATTTTTGTTGATGGTTGTTGGTTAGAGTCAGAATGCTATGAATGGGTACATTTTGATATATAGAAAATGTCAGAATTTTAACCGTGATGAAGTGGCAGTATTTATCACGTGTTGTAGGAATACTTTTGGCACCAATGTCACCGTTCTAGAGACCAGTACGACTGTTTAGTGTTAACCAGGTCAACAACATGTTGTTTTTTTTTTTTTTTTTAATTTCCAAGAACGGTTATGCTGATGCACATATGTTGGCCCCAGTCTATGCAATTTTGATACCGAGTTGCGATGTGTGCCGAGTGTTGATATATTTACACACAATCTTGTTTTACTGTAGACATTGGAACATACAATGGGTTTTTGAGTTGAAATACTTTTTTTGTAATCAAAGTCTGTCCATCACTATGTTACTATAGCAACAGAAGAATGTAGCACAACTACAGCCATATATGGCAACTGAGAAGTGTGCAGAGATCTTTTTAAGATTGCTTTTACTTCACTTAGCAATTTGTATCAAGTTCATATTTTGAGCTAAATAAACAAAAATCTGCGTAAGATTGAAATAACTTTTGTTGTTTTTTGTTTGTAAAAATGTTGAACTTGTCTTTGCTGCAGTCATCCTTATGCCCTGAATTAAAGTGTTAACTACATTGTGTAAGTATATTGTCTCTGTGGAGACCTATATTTCCTATACAACAGTCTTAACAATCTTGTGGAATTATGTTGTTCTTTTGAGAAAACATTATTCCCTAAATAACAGTATAACTACCTCGTGGAGGTATATGGTCTCTGTGGGGAACATTACTCCATATATAAAGGTCTGAACTACCTTGTGTAGGTATATTGTCTGTGTGGGGAACATTACTCCCTATATAATGGTCTGAACTACCTCGTGTAGGTATATTGTCTGTGTGGGGAACATTACTCCCTATATAATGGTCTGAACTACCTTGTGTAGGTATATTGTCTGTGTGGGGAACATTACTCCCTATATAATGGTCTGAACTATCTTGTGTAGGTATATTGTCTGTATGGGGAACATTACTCCCTATATAATGGTCTGAACTACCTTGTGTAGGTATATTGTCTGTGTGGGGAACATTACTCCCTATATGAAGGTCTGAACTACCTTGTGTAGGTATATGGACTGTGTAGGGAACATTACTCCCTATATAATGGTATAACTACCTTGTGTAGGTATATTGTCTGTGTGGGGAACATTACTCCCTACATAATGGTCTGAACTACCTTGTGTAGGTATATTGTCTGTGTGGGGAACATTATTCCCTATATAATGGTATAACTACCTTGTGTAGGTATATTGTCTGTGTGGGGAACATTACTCCCTATATAATGGTCTGAACTACCTTGTGTAGGTATATTGTCTGTGTGGGGAACATTTCTCCCTACATAAAGGTCTGAACTACCTTGTGAAGGTATATTGTCTGTGTGGGGAACATTACTCCCTACATAATGGTCTGAACTACCTTGTGTAGGTATATTGTCTGTGGGGGGAACATTACACCCTACATAATGGTCTGAACTACCTTGTGTAGGTATAATGTCTGTGTGGGGAACATTACTCCCTACATAATGGTCTGAACTACCTTGTGTAGGTATATGGTCTGTGTGGGGAACATTACTCCCTACATAATGGTCTGAACTACCTTGTGTAGGTATATTGTCTGTGTGGGAAACATTACACCCTACATAATGGTCTGAACTACCTTGTGTAGGTATAATGTCTGTGTGAGGAACATTAATCCCTATATAATGGTCTGAACTACCTTGTGTAGGTATAATGTCTGTGTGGGGAACATTACATTTGTGTACTGTGTGGGGAACATTACCCCTACATAATGGTCTGAACTACCTTGTGTAGGTATATTGTCTGTGTGGGGAACATTACTGTGTGGGGAACCCTGTATAATGGTCTGAACTACCTTGTGTAGGTATATTGTCTGTGTGGGGAACATTACTCCCTACATAATATATTGGTGTGGGGATAACTACCTTGTGTAGGTATATTGTCTGTGTGGGGACCATTACTCCCTATATGAAGGTCTGAACTACCTTGTGTAGGTATATGGTCTTTGTGGGGAACATTACTCCCTATATGAAGGTCTGAACTACCTCGTGTAGGTATATTGTCTGTGTGGGGAACATTACTCCCTATATAATGGTCTGAACTACCTTGTGTAGGTATATTGTCTGTGTGGGGAACATTACTCCCTATATAATGGTCTGAACTACCTTGTGTAGGTATATTGTCTGTGTGGGGAACATTACTCCCTGTATAATGGTCTGAACTACCTTGTGTAGGTATATTGTCTGTGTGGGGAACATTACTCCCTACATAATGGTATAACTACCTTGTGTAGGTATATTGTCTGTGTGGGGACCATTACTCCCTATATGAAGGTCTGAACTACCTTGTGTAGGTATATGGTCTTTGTGGGGAACATTACTCCCTATATGAAGGTCTGAACTACCTTGTGTAGGTATATTGTCTGTGTGGGGAACATTACTCCCTACATAATGGTATAACTACCTTGTGTAGGTATATTGTCTGTGTGGGGAACATTACTCCCTATATGAAGGTCTGAACTACCTTGTGTAGGTATATGGTCTTTGTGGGGAACATTACTCCCTATATGAAGGTCTGAACTACCTCGTGTAGGTATATTGTCTGTGTGGGGAACATTACTCCCTATATAATGGTCTGAACTACCTTGTGTAGGTATATTGTCTGTGTGGGGAACATTACTCCCTATATAATGGTCTGAACTACCTCGTGTAGGTATATCGGATTACAGTGGCAATGTTGTTGTGGCAGTAGTAGCTAGATTATGATGGCACAGTTATGTCAGTCCAGACAGAATTTATATGACTTAATATGTTCTTTCTAAATTTGTGTATTTAGTCCTCTCAATATTAGAGTGTAGAAGTATTCACCTAAACCCTAGAAATAACAACAGATCATACACCAGTCAACAAACAACAAGAACACGTGTATACTGAGATTCCTTTTACTTAGTCCATGTGACTTGCATATGAAGCAAGGAAGCTGAATATCAATGCTTACAATTACTAGTGTGATACTGACCACACCCATACCCCTGAGCAGTGCCCCTCCCCCAGGAGCACATTCCCCAGGGGTGTGGTAAAAAATTCCACATGCATACCCAATACAATTAATCAGCAACATACAAAGACATTTTATTCCTCAGGTATTGTCATGGAAACGAAATAAATCTTGGTAAATAAAGTCGTCAGTACCTCGTAACCAGATATATACTGTCCCTCCTTTACCCCAATATACTGCCCCCCCATCCTTCCACTCGGCCATATACAGCAGGCGGAGTGGTATATTACTATAGTTTGGTACATGACTACAATGTATATGTATGATTACATAAAATGAGCAAATGAATTATATTTTATCATAGGAAGGAATGACAGGATATTTAAATATTCACATCCAATGAATACTTCAATATTCGCATTGGGTGAATATTTTTATTGATAATTATCATATTTCATTCTAAATGTCAGCAAATATTTTCAATATTCCTGTTGGTACACATTTATCACATTATTTGTCAGTGATTATTATTACAGCAAGCTTTATAAACAACCGTGCAAATTATTTGCATGATTATGGAAATATATTTTATACATCGCACAGCAATTGTAGAATATGAGTACAGGTGTACTGACCCGATACCTTTAACACTGTATATACACAAACAGGATACGGCACCGAATGATACTTGTATATACATATAGGATATATGTCCATGAAAAGCACTTGTAGTGGAAATATAATTTTGATATGCATACAAAACCCACTTCTATCCCAATATGTGATCACTAAAGCTGTTGCTTGCTCAGTAATGATACCGGAACGTACAGTTGGCAATAGATTGAATAAATAAATCTCTCGCTTCCTACAATCAAACCGAAAGTCTATTCATCACATAGACTATGGTCTCTTTCTGACTCATTTACATACTGTGTACAAAAATACATTCAAATTAACCAATCCAAACAGCTACAATAAGAATTAACATATGTAAATTTTTCATTTTCAACAAACTAAAATCATCAACACATCTGTATATATATCTGGTGTACATATACATATGTAAATACATCTAACTAAAAAGTTTACATAAATAGTAAATATGTTTTTATGTAAAATTCAAAGGAAAAATCCTTGTAGAAATTGAGGATGGCTACTAGCTAGATCGTGAGGAGTCGGGAATACACAACCAAATGTTCCAAACTACTTCACAGTCTACATCTATAGGAACAATATATACATATATATCTACCTATATACAAATATTTTTGCATTTTTATCTATATGTTAAGTTTTCTGTTAGTTTTGAATAGCTTAGGATAACACAATACAAATATTCCATAGGGTATCACAATATTCACTTTAGAGCAAGCATGATCAGAAACTGATCTAGGAAACTTTGGCATTGCATCATTCCAAGGTGTTGATATCTCTCCCACTGTAATGTAATCTGTCAAATTCAAGCAAAACAGAGCAAAATATGAATTTGATAGAAAGAATGGGATGATTTCTGTATCATTTTGATTTATTGAAAATTACAAAGATTTATTTGATTTTTCAAATAAAACTTAAACAATTTCTAAGAAATTTGTGAAGGAAATGGTGGCACAAGTGATGACAGCAGCCAAGAAACCCTTGTTGATGGATCCAACAGGAATGACACGATGCCAGCTGACTGGGTTTTACAAACACATAAAAAACCCTACTCTGGAGAATATAGGAAACAGGACAATAATTAACTGTCAGTTCAGCAGGGCCTACATGGATCATGACAACCAAGCTCCATATCTTGTCAACAAGTACACACAAGCACCAAATCTTCAAATAATTTCTTTAAAAATGCTGTTCGTAGAACCTCAGATTTTCAAATCATACTTGCATTTTTTTATTACAGTAGGCGTGACTGTATATCTGTGATAAATGCTTTACTTATAACTTTTAAATCACTCTCTATAAGCCTGAAGATTTGTATCCTTTCAAGTCACTCCCAATAATTCTTCAAATTTGTACACTTTTAAATCACTCACTATATCTCTTAAAGTTTGTATATATCCACTTTACAAAAGGATATACCAGTATCCATAACTTCATAGCACAAATTGAAAATAGGTAATTTTCACATTAGAATTTACATACAATATAAAGTATCAAAATTTACCTCCCAAATCACAGTTAGGTAATACGTTCCTCCTAAATGAAGCAAAGTCTCTTATATTTCGTTTCATTTTCTTTGAGGATAACAAAATGTACATCTTTGACTTGCAAGCTTTTCTACAAACTTTCCCTCCTTTCCTATTCAACATATTCAATGAAGATTCCCCCCAAAGCTTCACTGCAGTGGAATAGTCACATCAATTTAAGGTTTAAAACGAAATAAAAGAAAGTCGAAATATTAGCCGCACTGAAATAGCTAATCGAATTGCTTGTTTTGATCACATGACTAAGTCATGGATATATAGTGGTCGGTGAACATGAAGCTGAAAATAGGAGAAATTTTATCTAAATGCCTATACAAGTGGAGTACCCACCAGTTCACAAATTTGGTCCTTATCAAATATCACAAAATCACTTTTTTTTGTAAGGTGTTGGTATTTTTGACCCCCGTGACGTTGGTGTTCCAACCCGTGTGGGTGTTCCGACCCGTGTGGGTGTACCTACACGTGTAGGTGTGCTGACCCGAGCATTCGCAGCAGGAACTGCAGTCCGTGTTTGCACTACATGTGTCTGATAAGTCATGGTGGTCTCACTGCGACCACCAATTTTGCGTGTTTCCTTTTGAACTGTTGTAAATATTTCTGGTTCACTCGTTTCTGATGTCTCACTGTCTGCTCTACTGGGTGGTCGGCTACTAGTACTGGCTCGACTAGAACTGCGACTTGGTGTAGCTGGAACACAAAATAATAACCAATTACTAACCCTTAGTCTGAACGAAAAAGAAAACATAGCCATTACAGTGGGCATTCCTACATACAGAAGTGTCTATACTGAGTAAGATCTGTCTACACTCTGGTCATCATTGGTCACTACTGGTCAGCTGGTAAAGTGCACCAACCCTATACCAAGACAACCACAGTTTGAATTTCCTACCTCCTGTTTATTTCTGGGTAAATAATGTCTGGCCTCTCTCTTATTAAGTGTATTGTTTTCTTCTATTAAGGGCAAACAACTTGCTTCATAATTATGATACTTACCTCCAGGGCTGTGTATGTCCCTGGGGCTGCGTAGGTCGTGAGCGACCCTTGACCTGAGGATCTTTGTACCATCTGGTTCTGTGTGTGACATAATTTGCCTGACCTCACCATCTGGGCTTGTCTTCACACGTTGTTGTCGCCATGGTGATGAGTACTGGGTCTTCTCTCGTATCTACAACAAAGAAGTATACAGTCGGATAATAATTTCTTCAACTGTCAAGAACTAACACAGTACATCTTACTAATGGCTCAACAAAAGGAAAAGCTGAATGGACAAGGATTTACCTCGTTTAGAATAAAGATCCATGAATGCGTACAAAATGTTGGAATGATATAATTATTAAACCAAATGCACAATGATAGGATGAAGTTATGATATGTGGAAAGTTGCAATGAAATCAGCCACAAGTTCTGGCATATGGCTGAATTGAGAGAAAGACAAGCTGATTCCAGTATACCTCTCCAACCAATCCTAAACCTTTTAACAATATCAAAGTTTCCTTTTGGATTAACATTGTCAGAAAATGAGGAAGGTCACATGGATTTTCTGTTACTTACCAACGTGTTTGGTCTAGAAAATCGTCTCCTTGGCTGATAGCATTAATTCAAATTAAAATTTGTATGAATATCTATACTTTTTCAAAATTTAATGTCTAGTTTCAACGTCCTTGGTGAAATTAATAGGGAAAACATATCTCATGTTTTCTACACTTACTATCAAAAATGAAGAAAAATTCAATCTAGTTAATGATGATAATTAACACTATATTACAGTTAAATCATCGGATAAGGAACAGTAGGACACTGGACAGCATCGTAAATACTTAACAGATGGAATACAGTGACAGTATGTTTATGAAAAAGCCAGCCACTGCCCCATGATGTAAGCATGAGATTAATCAATAACAGACAGCTATTTGTATATACATGGCAGGTTATAGTGTTTCAACTTTTGTTCCAGTCAAAAAATATTCCAAACCTTTGTTGTAGATAAGTAGCCTTACCTTTGTGATGGGACCACTGGCCGAGCTCGGTGATCGTGTGCTCCAGGACATCCCAGAAGGTGTGGAACTACGATCACTTCCACCCGGACTACGTGTCACAAAGCCAGACATTGATTGGCTCACTCCATCAGCCAATACAAATTGTTCCCTCAGCTCCACATTCGTTCTACCCCTCGCTGTAATGGACAACAGGATCAAAACTTTATCATATTGTCACATCTAAAGACGTGGTAAAACCACACACGAAAGTGATTATCGTAAAACTTGTACAATTTTCATCATAATCAAATATAAATAAGTTATCTGGACATTACACATACCCATGTCCCATCCTAAACCAACATGTACCTACTCATAAACATAAATGTTGAAAGGGCTCCATGGGAGAAAGAATAATTGTAGGACAACGTCCCAAGAAAAAATCATACTAACACATATTCTCAAGAATGGTAACATAGTGACGAATCAGAAATATTATTTATCATTTTTACAAATCATTCATTTTTCCTTGAAATACATTGATCTGAAATCGAATAATAAAGATTAGCATGTCATTATGTTAACTTAGCTACTCAATCTCATTATATAACTGATAATGACCATTATGACCAACAGCCAATGTGTATAAGACAGTTCTATATCTTTACTGGAGAAACTCCCTCATAAAACCCTTATAACATAAATGTAGATTTCACATTCCTGTACATATACTGTGTATCATTTCTACATCATGCTAATCTTTTATGACTTAATATTGTTTGTGATGAATGTGATCAATTTTAACATCCTTTAACATGTATAAAACATTTGTAAATATACTATATATATGTATATATATCTAACACAACATAACATATATGTAATACACACAAAACTTAATCACAGTTATTTCATTGAGATTTCCCATATATTAGCTGCAATATATATACACAGGTAGAATTCATAATCAACTTTCATTTAACACCAAACCTTTCTGTTCTATAAAGCTGGAGTTAAACTTATTTAGTAATTAACAACATTCTTTTATAATTAACATTCTTTTTATATTACTATAATAAATTGTAATTTTAACAAATTCATTATTATGACTCCACAATATATACTGTACATATGTCAGACAAGTCATCATTCTGTATTCAGCAGGGACAGTTCAGGTCTTTGGTAGGGTTAGGGGTCTCAGGAATACTGAATTTTCCATTATTAGGTTATAATATTCCATACAAGAAACAACATATTTAGATAAAACATGCAGTTAGGTTGATTTATTTAACATTGTCAGGTTTACACATTGTCAGAAAGTTTAATAGCCTTCCCCGAGATCAGCTTCTCTCGTTCCCGGAACAATCCTCCCAAGTGTTAGCTCTTAAAACTTGAATGTCAGCACCTTAACCTAGGTTATACAAATATGGATATTTGGCATTGACAGTGCCTCTACCAAATGGTTCAGTCATGGACAATATATTGCCGACATTATTTTGAATGACTGGGAACATATCAATGTCAGAAAATGCATGCCAATGAATTCAGTTTGCCACTCGAACAAACAAAAATAAGTTTACAGTGAGTAAATTTCATTTTCTAAAATGGAACCACGATGGTCAGTCATTTTTTCATGGTAAATTGAATTTTTAATACCAAAGGAAAACCTCCAGAATTAAATCAGTAAAGAAAGTATATCACACCTGAACCAATGTCAGTAGACCCAAGTTAACTCACATCAGATATAAACAATATTATCAGGGACCCAAACTACATTCAATGAATCAAATAAATCAAAATTATAGCACTATGAATGTCACAAGCTAACTTGATATTCTAGACTAAGTTTTAGTTTCCACCAGCCTACAACCATAGCCTATTTACCGCCACCTTCCGTCTCAAAAGCTGTTCCCCCAGCAACTAATTACATGAATTTTGTATCAGCTTTTTAAATTATACATTCATACCCAAGTTATCGGCATGTTTTTGTCTATTTAAAACCGAAGAATTCAAAGTAATCTTCTCAAGATGTGTTTAAAACAACAACGATATTTATCACACTATTTCCCTTCAGTAATATGAATAGAAAGTGTTAGAAATATTGATTTGATAGGTAAATATCCTTATAAGATCAGTAACATACATGATAAAGCATTAATATTGAGGTCAGTTAGTGGTTACACGTACCTTACAACTTTATAACATACAATATATTATAAATTTTATATGAATTAATCAACAACCATATTAAGTAAGTAAGAATTCTTTTGTAAAATAGATAACCGTATACATATATACCACTTAATATAATTACTATGTACAATAGATTTCTGCTGATCTCGACCTTCACCTTGTACTCTCGGTGATTTAATTAAAAAAATTTGTATCATTTTGTACATGTAGAACCTGGAATTTTTGTTATCTTAAAGGATCTCCATCACAAGACAACAATTTTTAATTGTGAAATTTAAGCAAAATTCTGTAGATTTTTATTTATTTTACATGAATTTTGAAAAGAACCTGATTCTCTGTGAACAGTTGAGATTACAGAAATCCTATGTACATATCTGAACACCTGACATCTTTACCTGGAGACAGCGGATAACTATACTGAGGTTGCGCTTTATAAGAATTTAAAACAATTCATTGAATCAATGAACACAGTTTGAGAAACAATCTTGTCTATCGATTGACCCACTTCAAAATGTCCCCATATAACAATGGTTAAAGCTACCCACATTGAGATGGTTCAACGGCAGCCATAGATAATGGAAAATATAGATGTTGATAAAGTGTAGTAATTAAAGATTGTGTGAAACTGAAAAGTCTGTCATGGCATAGCGACTTAATCATTAGCGCAAATAAATTGAAACAGACCTATCAACTGTCAACTGACATTATTAGGCCTATTCTGCCAATGAAGATAAAAACCAACAAAATTTTCCAGTCATTATTTCATCATCTCCAACACAGACTGAAGAGTACAGGGTGTCATTCTACAACAAGTTTAAGAAATTCAAAAGAGAGAGAGTTTTATCAAAAAAGAAAGGTGCTTTACAACGTTCACTGAAGAAAGAAATAAAGGGAGATAATTGAACAGCCATGTCAAAGCAAGGTTTTTCTTCAAGCTGCAACCAGTTCTACCATTGTTTCCAAGTAGAATAAACTTTTGCCAATAAAATTCATTTTTTAATGATAAAAGATGGATAGGTCTTCTCATGCAAAACAAACCATTCCATTCATTTTTTTTCTCAGAATTAAGTTCATTGCCATTTCATTTGATGATCAACAAATCCAATGATAGGTAGGAAATGAAAGTTACAACTTGTGAATATTTTTGGCTATGTTCTTGGTTCTGTGACAATCGATTCTGTCCCATAAACAGGACTTCCTCAAAACAATAAAACACTTTAACATTTATCATGCAATCGAGCACACAACATACAAAGACAACAGAATAAAGAAACCAAAAGGACATGTAACGCTAACTGATGGAAGCTAACACTGAAGCTGTACTAACTTACAATTATTGGCTAAGGACTGAACACAGGAATTAATAAGGTTAAGTAATATAAAAATGGGATTCTGATGCAAAACAAATCTGCATAACACCATTCCTGTTGTCATAACGACAAAAGACATACTGATTTCTGAGGGTTGTATCTGTATTTTGAAGCGAAACCGATTACGTCTTCGCAAACCAACTTTGGTGGGAAAGAGAAAGTGGAGAAAAACAATTTGAAACATACAATATACAAATATGAATATTACATGGAATAAAAAAAGGACGAAAAAAAAATAAACACTAAGAACAAAAACACTACATGGCTGAAAACAGAGATTAAAGACAAAATTCACCAGAAATAAGCAAAGTTGAAGGTGCAGTTTTTACGCTAACATACAAGATACTGATTGGAAAGCTGAAAAGAAAGTATATAAATTATATATACACAAAATCACTCGTATCAGATGATTTATCCAACACGGGCTTAAAGATGATGATGTGATGGATATGACGGTTAATAAAGCTGGGGGACGACAGATGGAAAAGACCGTTAGAGCATGCTGTCGAGGGATGGCTTGGTGATAGTTGTGGTTCAAACAACAGCAAAGCAACATGCTCGGTAAACTCATCACAACAAGGATGGATAACAACTGAACTGTTCAAACAACGCTCCAGCAAAACTACTACTCCATTCTACAGCTGAATCCTACACTTCAAACTTGTTCGAGTTCTTTATAAATTCTTTGAATAGCTATCAATATGTACCACTTTTTACATGTTACTTTAGAAAAAATCTGTTATTGTTTTCAACAAATCTATGAAGCATTGATTTTCTTTTCTTCTTAATTTCTTTGTGGACTCAGCTGCAGAATTTTGGGCGCACAAACTTGTGAAAACAAAATGAAAACATGAATTCCCGAGATGTAAAAATGTCACGATTACTTACACACTGGGCACGAATCAAAGTGTTTGTTAAAGTCTGTAGGGTGGATTACATGATAACCAATGAAATTCTAGTATAATAAGTACATCTTAATTAAAATGTTAATTAACATACATACAGTGAAACATTTGATAAGGGAGATAACTAGAGGGAGTAATGAGACATGAGTATCATTCAGCAACTGAAGTAGTGAAAACAGCTTCCTCTTTTCTATCCATGATGTTTCGTCATCATAACAGATCACATGCCAAGGCAGGTAGCACAGGCGCTGTGATATATTGAACATGAAAGAAAATAGCGCATACACTTGGCAGCTGCATGCATTCTTAATGAACACAGAAAAAAACGAAGGACCAGAGGTCTGAGAGTAGATATTTTTTTGTTTTTTATTCCAATAAAATATTTAGAAGCATTTTGCTATATAAATGCTATGTCAAATTGATTTTAAAAAAAAAAGCTTTTCCACAAAAATTATTACTTTTTACAGAGTCATGAAAAATGAAAAAACAAAAACAAAAAATTAAAAAATGGAATAAGTTTGTAAAGCTTGTAATAAAATATAATTAAATAACCTTGGAAAGCAAAATCAAAATTAAACTAAACATTTTTTTTAATAAATCATCACCACAATTCAAACTGATACAAGACAGACTTGATAAAAAGTATGCAAATTTTACCTAAAATTTTAAAATTGTAACGATGTGGTGGAGCAAGCCAAGTTAGTAAAGGTGAGAAATTTATGTACATCACAGCTCCACCTAGTGAGCAATGGGAGTACTAAAACACAAGGGAGATAATCACTTTCAGGATATTATGGGATTTTCCATTGAGGATGAAGGATGGCGCTTTGATGATGCAAAAACTCAGTGAACTGGTGTGAATGATATGGGATGCAGATTATTTCATCAAGATGATGTTGATATAATGAAACACAGTCATGGACGAGTCTCCAAGGACAGTAGATATTTAAATGTTAATGTTCACTTGGCTCCAGTTGTTTCAAATCTGATCATCTCAACAAATCATTCCGATAAATATTTGAAAGATTGGAATCAAAACAAAATAAATTCAAATATTCATTGGGATTCTAAATGATTTTTTCTTAACAAGAAATTAAAAAATGTTTCTGAATTCTTTTATATGAATAAAATATTTTGAAATTTTTCTACTATTTAACAGGCCATTGAGATAATGTGACTTTAAACAACTGCACCCGACCTAACACAGTGGAATGAAATCAACACAATGGACATAGTTCATTTTGGAAAGTCGAAAAAAGAAATTTTATATACTTTTGATGAAATAGATACATTTCATAGTTTGTCGAGGTCTAACATGACAGTCGAAATTCAACAGGTAAATCACCAACAAAATCAAATCATTTTGTCTCATATCCTCCCAGACATGTTATCAGCAATGCTATAAAAACTAGATTACAACTATGGTACAGGTATTATTGTATTCAGGGATCAAGGAATTCAGAATTAAAAAGTTTGATTTCTAAGAAAGTATACTAGCCAAGCTGATATACAGTATGCCTCTGACACCTATATTTACATACAGATCTTACGGAAAAACCAGTTACTTCAGGCGAGTACCTACCTCGACATGGGTCATTTTTGACTAAAAATTCGTCCAGAGCAACCCAACCTCCTCCAACACGGACCATCACTGTACTGCGGAGGATGCGGACTAAACGTAACTTTTGGGAGTCACCAAACTGGAAGTCAAAACAAACTTTTAAGCATGTACTAGGAAACAGAAAGTAGTTCTGTGCATACATATGGTACCCATTTATACAGCTACCTTCTATATCTAAATCACTTGTTCTGACCTTCCCTCTACGTTAATCACTGGTTTTGACCTTTCTTCAATCTGAATCACTTGTTTTGATCTTCCCTCTATCTAAATCACATGTTTTGACCATTCCTATATGTTAGTCACTAGTTTTGACCTTTCCTATAAGTCACACACTTTCACCTTTCCTCAATCTAAATTACTCATTTCTACCCACCATGTATTATAATCCATGTTCTGACCTACGCTGTATTATAATCCTTGTTCTCACCTACCCTGTATTATAACCCTTGTTCTGACCTACCCTGTATTATAACCCTTGTTCTGACCAACCCTGTATTATAACCCTTGTTCTGACCTACCCTGTATTATAACCCTTGTTCTGACCTACCCTGTATTATAACCCTTGTTCTGACCTACCCTGTATTATAATCCTTGTTCTGACCTACCCTGTATTATAACCCTTGTTCTGACCTACCCTGTATTATAACCCTTGTTCTGACCTACCCTGTATTATAATCCTTGTCCTGACCTACCCTGTATTATAACCCTTGTTCTGACCTACCCTGTATTATAACCCTTGTTCTGACCTACCCTGTATTATAATCCTTGTCCTGACCTACCCTGTATTATAACCCGTGTTCTGACCTACCCTGTATGATAATCCTTGTCCTGACCTACCCTGTATTATAATCCTTGTTCTGACCTACGCTGTATTATAATCCTTGTTCTGACCTACCCTGTATTATAACCCTTGTTCTGACCTACCCTGTATTATAACCCTTGTTCTGACCTACCCTGTATTATAACCCTTGTTCTGACCTACCCTGTATTATAATCCTTGTTCTGACCTACCCTGTATTATAACCCTTGTTCTGACCTACCCTGTATTATAACCCTTGTTCTGACCTACCCTGTATTATAATCCTTGTCCTGACCTACCCTGTATTATAATCCTTGTTCTGACCTACCCTGTATTATAATCCTTGTTCTGACCTACCCTGTATTATAACCCGTGTTCTGACCTACCCTGTATGATAATCCTTGTCCTGACCTACCCTGTATTATAATCCTTGTTCTGACCTACGCTGTATTATAATCCTTGTTCTGACCTACCCTGTATTATAACCCTTGTTCTGACCTACCCTGTATTATAATCCTTGTCCTGACCTACCCTGTATTATAATCCTTGTTCTGACCTACGCTGTATTATAATCCTTGTTCTGACCTACCCTGTATTATAACCCTTGTTCTGACCTACCCTGTATTATAATCCTTGTCCTGACCTACCCTGTATTATAATCCTTGTTCTGACCTACGCTGTATTATAATCCTTGTTCTGACCTACCCTGTATTATAACCCTTGTTCTGACCTACCCTGTATTATAATCCTTGTTCTGACCTACCCTGTATTATAACCCTTGTTCTGACCTACCCTGTATTATAATCCTTGTTCTGACCTACGCTGTATTATAATCCTTGTTCTGACCTACCCTGTATTATAATCCTTGTTCTGACCTACCCTGTATTATAATCCTTGTTCTCACCTACCCTGTATTATAATCCTTGTTCTCACCTAACCTATATTATAATCCTTGTTCTGACGTACCATGTATTATAACCCTTGTCCTGACCTACCCTGACCTAACCTGTATTATAACCCTTGTTCTGACCTACCCTGTATTATAACCCTTGTTCTGACCTACCCTGTATTATAACCCTTGTTCTGACCTACCCTGTATTATAACCCTTGTTCTGGTCTGCCCTGTATTATAATCCTTGTTCTGACGTACCCTGTATTATAATCCTTGTTCTGACGTACCCTGTATTATTGCCCTTGTTCTCACCTACCCTGTATTATAACCCTTGTTCTGACCTACCCTGACCTACCCTGTATTACAATCCTTGTTCTGACCTACCCTGTATTTGCCCTTGTTCTGACCGATCCTGTATTATAACCCTTGTTCTGACCTACCCTGACCTACCCTGTATTATAACCCTTGTTCTGATCCACCCTCTATTATAACCCTTGTTCTGACCTACCCTGACCTACCCTGAATTATAACCCTTGTTCAGACCTACCCTGTATTTGCCCTCGCCAATCTTATGGATCTTGAACTGTTTGACACATGTACATTTGGACACCTGGTTCTTGACAGCATCCATGATCTTTTCTGCGTCTGTGATGACTTTCTGGGGCTGTAGACAAAAAACAAAGGTTAACAAATGTATCCAGTCCAGTTCACCTTATCACTGATCAGTTGACATCATACTATATATATATAATCAGCAAACTTTATCATACGATTATATCATTCATTTGATGACTTCACATCACATACTGTAAGGGGTTGTTCGATACAGACCTCTCTGTCAGGTCGGAGTGCGGACACAAATTCCTTGTAATCGATGAGCCCCATGCCGTCACGGTCAAAAAGGTTTGCCACAAGCTCCATCTCCAGCTGTGATGTTGGGAATTCTGTGGAATAGACAACATTAACAATTAGGGGTAACATTGAGCTGTGGTAACATTACTGATGGTGGCAACATTGTGAACTGTGACAACATTAGGTCAAACCTGTGACATTACGAACAGTGACAACATAAGGTAAGATCTGATCTAGTTCTAACATATTTTAGTATCTTAACACTAAGTTAGGTCTGACATTCAGTTATCAAGATATCACATACCAGGTGAAACATTATTAATCTCGCTATATAAAGTTAACGTACTTGTGGCCATGATACAGTTGGTGAATTCGGCCCGAGACACGCGGCCATCACGGTCACGATCATATCGTCGGAACTGTTCCATGATGCGTGACTTGTTGTGTCTCATCCATTGCATGTACCTCCTCCTCCAGTCCTCAAACTCAAACTTCTTCAAACGCTCCACCTGAAATAACGTCATATCAAGCCATCATTTTAACTTCAATGAACGACTAGTCAGATTAAGTAATCAAGACCTGCAGTTGCTAGACATTCTGTCTGAGATTGTCATGGATAACATATCAATTTTGTCATTAAAAGACCAGCTTGTCATGCATAACACATCATAACTTCATAAGTAGTTAGAAGTAATATAATGAGTAAAGTTATTACTAGACTTATAACTCTATACATACACAAACCTGGAACACCATTAATTTTACAGAGAATATTTTTGAGAAGCAGTGAAGTATACCTCATTGAGATAGTCGAGGGCGTCCTGTAACTTTCTCTGACGGTCCATAGCCATCAACCACACTGTCCGCCACTTGTTGAACAGAGCTCCGATTCTCGGATTTTTCCATGATGGTTCTGGAGTTCTGCGGCCATCAGCATCACTTTTTCTAAAATTACATGTTTATGATAAATATCCAAACCATTTAACTTGACAAAATGATTCCTGATCTAAAAGCCCAAGGGTAGTTATAGTAGACATAAAGAGAATGCTTGGTAAAATACCACCTTCTCTCTAAACTTTGGCATTATCATGGAGGTGGAAATTATAATGAGGTTCAAAAACTCATAGATATAAAATTGTTTCAGCAAACCTCCAGGAACTTCTACTGAAAATATCTAATAATAGTTTCACAACAACCACAGTGGACATAACATCGAGGAAATTAAATAAAGTTTCAAGACTTTTTCTTTTCAATATATGCAGTAAATTGTGACGCATGATGGTGGGATTATCTTTGGAATTATACAAGGAGCAAATCCTTGCTCATATAAAAAGTAAGTCATATCTGATTATCAGGTGACGCAATGATAAACTTACTTAATAGATCAATTGTCATCAATATCTTACCTGGGTGTCCTAGTTTTGACTGGAGTGTGGCGTCCACTCTGTGCCTTCAGTATCGGAATGTGTGATTCCCCAGACACAGAGGATGTCCGGCGTCGATCTCCCTTGGTCAGTTTGTCAATTTCGGGCTGTTTACCAGACATTTCATTCTGGAAATGCTGTAAGAAAACAAAGTAATGGGACTTTTAGCCACCTCATCTATAAATCCTTCATTTAGGAATATATCGTTATCAACATTTTACAATAATAGCCTTCTGATGAGGATCAGACATGGTTTTATCAACCCAAGAGGAAGTATTGGACCATTCTCCAGGAAGCCAATACTAAGGTATAAGATAAACCCTATCCATAGAGGTAAGCTATAATGTAGATGAAAATATATCATGTTGAACCGGTCATATAACCATCTGTACAAATCTTTCTTACTGTTTGTAATATCCAAATGGTCATCCCTAACATTCCATCTAATTAGAGGTTACATCCAAGAGCTACAGGCTGTAAATAATTGTTTATTTCACCATGAAATTACAGCCTGGTAGTGTTATAGAATTAATCTCAGATTTGCCACACCCACCTGGTGATCTTGGAGAAGATCCTGTATGACCTGTAGGTCCCCTGGGATGGGCTCCTGGTCAAGTCCTGTCAATGTGCCCTCAGCACCATTCAGCCAAGCGATCAGCTCGTCCAGTAAGACATTATTTCTACGCAGAACAGCCAGCCCCTCTGCCAGCTTACGTCCTCGCTGCTTACACATCCCAGTCAGCTGAAAGTTTGGAAATTGTGTTAAAAAAACAAAATCAGATATTGTATAATCTAAGCTTAAACTTCACACTATATCTACTATCTACAGTAGGCAATGTTATTTCATGTACAAAACAAATACCAGTTGTGTGGAATGTCCCAAGAGATGGACTTCATGTCAAAAGAATATTAAATTAGATATGTGAAATATAATGATAACACTACTGGTTCACTCTACCAGTGATGTTATCAAAAAGAAATCTTAATATTATCAAGATTATGTATTTGTATACATTGATGTACAATGTAGCATTATCGATAAACATGATGAACATATGAAATTTTATATGTAAATCTAAGTACCTCCTCCCAGCGTGCTCGTAACACTGACAGCCAGTGTTTCAGGGTGGAAACAGCATCAGGATGGCATCTCTTCATGATGTCCTGACCGATGTTCAGCGTCTCACGAAGGTTTGCTTCTTGTCTCAGTAAGTCCTCTTCAAATCTCTGCAGGGCAAAAGTGAGATTGAGTTGTAAAAGGAAGAAATTTTATGCAGCATTATTTGTTTTGACTGATACAGCCATGCCATGTTTGATTTTGAAAGAAAAATATCAGTTGTGAAAGGAGATATACCTTGTGTTCCTCAATCTGTTTCAGTAGAGGTGCCTCCTCATCAGGAATGGGTCCACGATATCTCAGCTGTCTTTCAGCACTGGCAAGCCAGTCCATCAAACTCTGCCCCTTCTGGTGGAAATCTTCAGCCTAAAAGGACAGGAAGTAGTATGGTCAATCAACATCCGACTTTGGCTTGTAATTATTCATTTGTATCTTTTATCTATCTAACCTGTGTTAGATTGTGATTGCTTTAAAGGAGATTCTCTAAGGCTTCCATTGTTTTTCATATTTCTCTCTAGTAAACAAATCATCCTCGGAAACAAGGCAATGGAAGTGTATTTATTTTATGTGTTCATATCTATGATTAATTCCATGACTATCCGGACATACCAGTTTGTGGGCCTGTTCCAGTCTCTCCTGTTTGTTGACAGACAGTTTACACACACGGTCCCAACTTGTGGACAGTTCTATAAGTTCTGCCTGTTGTTGTGACATATCTCCCTCCGCTTTGTCCATCAACTCCATGGCACGCTTCCGCACAAACGCAACAGTATTAGACCTTGCCCCGAGCTCCTGCTGGAATGCCTGCAGCCAAACATGAAGATTTGTATATGTGTTAAAATATTCTGGCTTTCCTCCATAACTCTGGTATATGTTTTCCATTTTTATCCGTTTCTCTTTAAAAAGGTGTTTGAACTCGCTTAACTTAACGAAGTGTATAAAAATGTGATATCTTTCAGCTGAAGAGTTTAGACATGCATGTTTTTGAAATACATAAACTTGGTTCAGTTCAAAGTTGATGAAGGTATTTCTTATTAATTGTTTCTATCTTTTTTGTTTTCAGAACACAATTTACGAAAAAGACTCATAGAATCCAAAACCAAATCCTCTTTATTAGAAAACTTGATAATATTCAAGACTATTTTGATATTTGAACCGACTTCAAAAATGGCCTAGCAGTGTAAAACCCAGCCCACCAGACTTCCTAGACTGAAAGCTACCTACCTTGTGAGCCTCTAGCAGGTTGTTGACGGTGTCAATGTCACCATGAACAGGCTGGTCTTCCCCGAGCATTGGTTCCACCTTACCCAGCCAGTCCAGTAACGCCTGCAGAGCTTCTGTAAACTGACCTGAGAATAACAGTGCCTCCTCCAACTTACGTTGTCTGTAAAACAGAAAGGAGATGACTCAGATGAATAAGGGAAATAAACAGTGTCACAAAATACATCACAGTGTTATCAGGAAACACAAATAGTTCCATTATTTAATTGAACACTAAATTTCCGTATTTGTATAAATGTTATCTGCAAAAATATCTTGATAGCAAAAACAATGTGACAGATAATAACACTGGACACGCACCTGTCAACAGACTTTCCACATAGGTTATTCCATTGAGCTTTCAGTTCTGTCAGCATCCTCTGAATCTCCGGGACATCGTCTGGTGGACATTTGTCCTTGAGAGCTCGTCCTCCACGGTTCACACTGTCGTAGAGTGGCTGATGTGTTCCTAGACTCCGCTGGAACTCTTTGTGTTTAGCTATCTGTGCTTTGATAGTTACAGGGTCATTACCAACCAGTTGGTTACTGGCTAATGTCTGGAGGGCCTCCTTCATCCAATCAAGTAGCTCCTTCCATATGGTGTGGAACTGAAGCACACAAGAGGTTTAAATAGAACAGAAAATATCTCAAAATATTACACAAATATATATATATATACATCACCAGATCTTCAGTTGGACTCTTTAATATTTTAAAAACAATTGCCTTTGTTGTGACTCGGTGACAAGAGGTTTTCGAGAAAAAACAAACAGTTGAGGCCATCATTTACCTGCTTGGCTTCCTTGAAGCCTCTCTCCAGCTGCCTGGTACGTTCAGCACTGCGTGACACAATTTTTTCCCAGCGGTGTTGGACACTAGAGAGAAGGTTTTTGATGAGAATCACATCTTGTTTCTGTGAGAAGTACTTGAGATGAGTGCCAGTCTTGTCCAAGGCAATCATTACCTCGCGGTTACGACTTACATCTTTCTGGAGAACCTATAAAAAAAAGTCATTAAATTAATGAAGGTCGCATAAAGGTCATACTCACTTTGTTACACAACACCAATGATAGAGTACAACTAAACACATTACAGATCAAAATTTGTGATGTTATAGAGTATAACAGTTTTAAGGATATGCTCTGGAAACATCCAAATTCATTGTTGGTGTGAAGACTTTCAGAGTAAAAGGAAAAATGGATGAAAATTCCACCAAAGCAAAGACAATAGAAGATTTTAAACTGATGTAAAACATAGTTAATGGAGAAGAAAGATATGCTTCAGAATCTACCATGGTAGATTAATAAATGGAACACATTTGTAGATACCTCATCAATAATATATGGCGAGGGGTAAGTTTATATATCTTGTTGATAATTTATGACAAGGGATTAATAGTCAATCATCTGTAGGTATGGGGACTATGAGTATTCTATCCAAGGAAAGAGAATTTCGGCCAGGAATAAGACTTCAGCAAAGTTCTGAACCCAAATTATATATATAACACAATTACAGATATATATAATATATTCCCTGGTAAATGTTTAGTGAGGCAAGACAGTATTGTACCTTTTGGTCCTCTATCTGAACAGCAACTCGTTCCAGGAGACGACTAACAGGATTTAGGTTGTTCAGTGTTCGTTCCGTGTCAGTAAGCCAGGCGATGAACTTGTTGAGGTCGGCATGGAAACTGTTGGCCTGTCCTACAGCATCCTCCAGCTTCCTCTACAAGTACAGAAGGTGTTAAAAGTTAAATCATACCTACTAAATATCTGTTATTTACCTGATTATCCTACACAACAATACACTACCAAGGTACAACAAGAGATGTCCTTAAGTTTTCTATATATATCATCTGATTCTATATTGATTATTAACATTCTGAGACAGAAATTATAAAACTACTGTATCCCAGAACAAGATCATAATCGGAGCCACATGTGGTTCCCTATCGTATGTGGTTCCCTATTGTATGTGGTTCCCTAGTACGGGGTGTCCAGGGAAAGTTACATCGGTCACACCTACCTTCCTGTCAGCAGCACGTGACACTATATGATCCCAGTGTTGCTGTAGCAGAGTCAGTTTTTGTTGGATGTTTGAAGCAGCAGGTTCACCACTTTTCTGCTTAAGTTTATGACCATCTTCCTTCACTTTATCTACACGGGGTTTCGTCCGCTCTAGCTCCTCGAACATACTCTGTGTAATACCCAAAACAGTATAGTTGAATGAATTTCACTTGTTCAATTGTGAAAGGGAATTAATTGGTCATTGTCTTATCATACAAACTGATGTTTCTCAGGGATAAGGCTTACTTGTAATTATTTGACAAGGATGAAATCATTGATTTGTCATCATTAAAGTGTCTTACACTTTAAAGTTCCTTAAAACCCCAAACACAAAGTTTTGATTTTTTTTTAATGATGAATTTAAGATATATTCATACACAGTATCCTGCTTAAGTAATTCTATTATTTTGTAAGAATGTATTTTTTGGTCATTTAAAATCATAACCCTATATTTTGCTATTATGGCATACAATTCACTTTTAAAATGACTTTTAACTCCTACCCAAGCTTGTTTTGGAAACCAATAGTTACCATGGTTACCATGTAAAACTCAAAACCTGGTGATGTTACAATTTAGTGGTGGTTGACGATAACAAGTCTAAATCTACAAACGGACACAAAAAACTCGTGTCTATTTCTACGAGGGAATTAGATTAATTGGAAAGTAATTATTACAACAACTTTGTTGGAGACAGGTCGTTAATAAAGATACTGTAAACTAAAGGTTATTACTACCCCAGAGTACTGGGGTGTGCTGATATCATGTGCATCATTACCAACGACAATTGTTTTAATCATCACAAAGGTGTGGTGGATATCAAAATTCTACAAATTTGTCTGATTTTTAGAAAACTCTCAAGGTGACTTAGACAGAGGAGTTCTCAAGGTCATAGAAAACTCCAGAGATCATGTGAAAGTATATAATGTGTCAAAGGTCGAGAGAGCAATGAAAGTAGTTCCAAGGTCATATGGATACTGAGGACTCCCATAGTAACACTGACAAAGGTATATATTACCAGTTTGTGATTTCAGTGAGAGACGTAACTATCAGGATGTAATATATCAGGGTGTCATAGACAATCATCAGATATTATGTGTAGTTATGATCAGAAAGTGGTGTGCGACTGTGTATTCATTTTCTAGCCTATTTCATATACATAGAATTGTGAATCACAAAATGGACATACACCTTGTTACCATGGCAATGCTACAAACACTAAAGATGCTATCCCAAAAACAAATTTTGTCAAATGTGTAGCTTAGGGAAACAAATCATGTGACCTGATGCTAAGAAATATTGTGTTTTTATGTGTAATACATGTACAGACCAAATCATCATTTGGTGTTTATAAAGTGTGTTGGTGTGTTTATGGCACATCTTGATTATTCAGAATATAAGTTGCTTTAAACTTAATAAAAAAAAAAGTTCTATCTAAAATAACAAATCACATTTGATATCAAGATGGTTTTGTAATTGCATTCAAATTGACTGAAAAACCATGTGCTTCAGTGGTTTGTAATCATGTGACTGTGTAAAAGGGATTCAAAGGTCATGTGATGTGTCCACAAGGTTCAAAGGTCATGTGATCAAATTTTACAGCTACATGGATTAATTTTCCTTGTGAAACATGCAAATTTCTATATTAGTTTTAGGTGAGAAAGGGAGTAGGTAACACCTATTTTATGATTGATTGGTCATAGCGACAATGGACTGGGAAACTGATTGGCTAACAGTTACAGAAATAATGGACTGAAGATGAGAAAATAATTCCTATTTTTCACTTTCCTTCATTTGTTGAATAAAGAATATTCTGATAATCCTGAAATTTAGGGCAACAAAATCAAATTGATGAGAAAGTTCCTTAGGCCTGATTATAAACTTTACTCATGACTTTATAGAAGTACACAGAGGAACCTTGTTATTCCAGACAATTCCATAACACCACTGAGAGGTATTAATTAACTAGATATGATAACAAGGCATGTGAGGGTATTATTAGATAAGTCAAGATTTCCACTTTTTTAACGGTGTGTTTTGGATGAAGTTTTATGGATACGTTGAGTCCAGATTTCATATGAAGATGATTATCCTAAGTTTTGCAATGTCAGCAGTAAATAAGTTTTGATTCTTCAATGACTTCTAACCTAAAGACAAGGAAGATAACTCTCTAGGGAACAAGTCACACCATACACACAAGGTTTTATTTGTGTAACCCGGTTGAAACGGTTCAGGTGGTCTGGAATTATTCCACTATACATAAACGCACTTGTACTGGATGTTGGACCCGATATTGTTTTGGAATTTCCTGTCAAGCTTAAAACAATTAACTAAAATTAAGATGTCATCCATTTTACTCATATTTTACAGCACAATGCTCCTGGAGATAGGTGAGTACACTGATCCTACTTTTTATGCTGAAAATCTGAAAACTAATGATATTAAGCAGTTAGTTTGGGACAGGTACGGCTGGACCCCTCAAACTGCATGTGCCACAAATTCTGCAGTCCAGCCTTGGTCCAAATCCGTACTTGGCTTTTCTCTTGGAAGTTCAACCCATCCAACCGTTTCAACCGCTTACACGAAAGTGCCCTATGTTGGCTTCTTTCAGATCTAACCCAGCAATCCTCACATACCAGTACCATATCTAATAACCCTATATAACGGATATATCATAAGTTGTTTCCTGTCTCAGTTTTGATATACAGCAAACTGCTGTAAAATTATAATTACAGACTCAACATCTCTACTGGCCGAGTAATATCTTTAAATCTAGTAAAATTTATAATTTGATACATAGGCAATGTCATTGTCAGATTAACGAGGTTCCAAATCGTACTTCTTGGTTTTTATTTTACTGTGTGTTTCTCGACCACACAGACAACAGACGTGGTAAGTGGTAAGGAAAGGATGGTCTGGGATACAAATGTTCCGAACTGAAAATGGTCAGACATTCTTCCTTACGAAACACTTATTGACACTTTGAGAGTAAAAACCAAAGTAGAAATTCTGAGTTTTCCAAAATACATTCACAAATTCATCAGTGCTGTATGATTACATGTTTCATTATGAACTTGGGATGAAAACAAAAGAAATCTGTTTTCCATGATCCTTGGAATGAAAGCCAATCTCAGTGTAATATGACCGACTCAGTTTGGACAATTTGTATCCTTCTTAACCTTTAAAACAATAATTAAATCATAAGATTGTAAATCAAGGTTTTAAAAGAACAGAGAAATACCCCAGAACCAAAGATGTATAATAGATACAAAGTCTTACCTCAATCTGAGAAATATACAAAACAACACATAATGACAGCGTACATAGAAATACTCGTTCAACTCCAGATCTCACACTACTGTAGGTCAGGTCATCTTCTTTATGTTTAGCCAATCAGAGTAATTATACACATTGATAAATATCACATGGTATAACACCAGGTCAGAGAGTTAAAATCATAGTTCAAAAGGTTTATATGATGACCTGAGATACATGTGTTAGACCTGGGCAGTTTTGTTACTATAATGTTTATTTAGGTGATGTTAAGAGATTCTCTAAATACAAGAAATAAAACATTTTGTTAAAAATAAAATTTTGAATCTTTAATTTCTTTTAGTATCCCAAAGACAGTTAAAGAATTTGAGAGAAAAAAAGTTTTTATTGCTATGATGAAACTTCAAATACTGGTATACTGAATATGCAGGAAGAAATGACTGTATATGAGGGGTAGGTAAATATAGAATTATTTACTGTTAGTATAGAACAGGCAAAATATAAAAAAAATATACATACACAAATAAGTAACCATTTCCATATAATTTTGTTACAAATAATAATTATTAAATCTGTATGAACAAAATACAACAGAATATGAAGGTACTTTCACAGAAATGATGACCATAACAACAGGTATAATTCATATAGAGAAGACCATACCATGAATCTGTCCAGCTGTTCTCGAGCCGTCTCCGGGAGGCCTCCTACAGGGGTAGTGGTGATGAGGTTCCCCTCCAGATCCCCAAGTAGTACCAGAAGATCTTGAAGGTCGCCTGTAAACTGCTTGGCCTACAGAGTATGATAAAAGTTTCAGTTTATTAAAATTTAAATATTTATGAAATACCTTTTTATTTATTTAATACTGGTCTACTAATTACATCTTTTGTTTTTCACCTTTTTAGAATTACCTTTTGTCTTATAACAAGAAACCCAGACAAATACATTTTCAGTGACCTTGACCTACCTCTCTGAGGGCATCCTTTAATTCACCATACTTTTTGTCACATTTGTCCTGTACACGTCCCCAGGTCCCATTGGCCTCGCTGAGTTTGCGTTTGATAGGGGTGTCCGAGCCTTTCTCTGTGGCAGCAACACGTGCACCTGCCTCTTTGACGGAATCTACACTCTCTTTGTGGGCATCAATATCATTCTGTACGACCTACAAGTGAAGTTATCACAGACAATATACTTGGCTGTAAAGTCGTAACAAATACATACAAGTACGCTAAAATTGGAAGTTTTTGTTCACTGTACAACCTCATTACATATTTACATTCAAATTCAGCTTAGTTTGTCTTAACATTTCAAAAAAGAAACTGACAATGTCATGAAATACAGTACACTCAATTTTTAATACAGATCTATTTATAACTTTTATTTCTGACCTTGTGTGACCTTACCTTAAGTTTGGAGAGCTCTATCTCTATGTGTTTGGGGTCGCCATAAGAGGACTGTGTCTCATCCAGGGTTTGTTCAGTTTTGTCCAGCCAAGCCAATAGTTCATTGAGTGCATGCTCAAATTGACCAGCGTCCAGCATGGCTAACTGGAGCTTGCGCTGTAGAAAACACGTCAGAACAATCAGAACAGAATCAAATAAACTGAAAACAATTTCTTACAAAAACATATGACATCTCCGTAAATAACTTAATACTGAGATCCTACATTGTGGCCTTACCTGTCTTTCAGCTATTCCTTCTAGGAGTCCGTCCCAGCGTTTGTTGACTGAGGTCAGCGGTTCCTTGACCACTAGAGCCTGGTCAGTGGAGGATGTCTCCTTGACCATATCATTGCCGTTCTGGTTGAGTGACTCGATTTCCACTTGTTTGGGTTCAACCTCAGCTTTGAATACCTAAAGTAGAAATGGTAAAAATAGACATTAATCCCACTAACATCTGTTTCAGAGATATTGACAGACAGACAATATATCTCAATTAGATTAAATTATAAATGGACAAAATGTTTAATTTCTCTCATGGAGGACGACATATATAAACATTTAAGGAGTTGATATATATACATCTAGTCATTAACCCCTATGTTTTTATGTGTCCTTACCTTGATGTCATTCCATTGGGATTTAATGGTGTCAAAGTCAGATCCGACCCTGTCCATCTCCCTCATACGCACCTCCCTCTTCTGTAGCCACACCAACAGTTTCTGAACAAACAAGCACATATTTGTTACAATTAATATTCAAAGTTGTCTTTTTTCAATAAAAACCACTTCATTTAAATAAAAAATTCTCTTCGAAAATGCTTCTTACAAAAGTAACAGTAAACAGCATACCATGAGCTCATCCTGAAAGTGGACAGCCTTATGAAGTGCGTTCTCCAGTGTCTTTGAGCGTTTGTCACACTCAGCTTCTATCTCACTCATGTTTGTGTCAAGGTCATCAATGTTCTTCTTGACCTCTGGACGATCTGGTTCTCCACACAGCGCCATCAGCTGATCTCCAGTCTGCCTTACTTCCTCCAGTTCACACTTGGAGTCCTCTATGTCCTCTTTAATAGCCTGTGAAATTGGAGGTAATTTTAATATCAAATAGAACATGAAGAGAAATTAAGTTTAACTGCTTGTTAAAACCTTAATGAGTGAGGCTGAATTGCCTGTAAAAATTTCAGACCTTCAGCTGCATTTCAATGTTTGGAGTTTTAATAATATCAGACAAAAAAAACAGAGAAATTAACAAATAACCAAAATACTACATGGATAACAATTATATTACTTGTAAACAATAATTAATGAAGTTAAATAAAGATAACCTCATCATTTTACTTCAACTTGAACTGATATTCACATCTCTTCAGTTTAACAATTAATTGTTTTATCATTCTCATCCAAAATAGCTACCTCAAGGAAATCCTGTTGTTCCCTGATAATGGAAGGTTCTAATGCAGGCGGGTCTTGGGAGTTAATATTATCCTGTAGATCTTTCATTACACCTGTTAGGTGATGAATGTCGTCCCAGAATTTCTCGGATACCTCCAATGTGTCCTCCAGAGCAAGGCTACGGTTCTGTGTCGCTCCCTTGATGTCATTGTAAAGTTGGATCAGTTCTGAAAGTTTCTGCTGCACATCTGTTAACAGAAATAAGTCAGAAGGTCAAGTTATATTAAAAGTTAGGGTGAGACTGTTGTGGCTTCATATTCAAACTCTTTGACCATGACCTTTGACCTTTGACCAAGACATGTACATAACCAAAACCCAAGAGGAAACAGAACAATATTTAAAAATGGCCTGCTTAGTTTACTTCAGAGAAATACCAATTACAAAATTGACCTGAATTCTGCTTAATTCCGATGATGTTTGGCTTAACATAAGTTTGTCAGTGGTAACGGATTAGTCATAGCTTCAAAGATTTTATAAATAAGCCCTTTACAAATGTAGTGGGGTCCTATCACATAACTTAACTTGGATTCCTAAAAGAGTTCAAAAGGATAATTTTCAACTTCCATGGTTATGAAGATGGCTTCAAGACAGACCGTGCAAATTCTCAAAATTTCTCTCCCACACTGGTATCCTGTGTTACAGTGACCTAGTCTCTCTCAAGACTGATCATCCACAGTTTCCCACATAACCCACACCACACTGGTATCCTTTGTTACAGTGACCTAGTCTCTCTCAAGACTGATCATCCACAGTTTCCCACATAACCCACACCACACTGGTATCCTGTGTTACAGTGACCTAGTCTCTCTCAAGACTGATCATCCACAGTTTCCCACATAACCCACACCACACTGGTATCCTGTGTTACAGTGACCTAGTCTCTCTCAAGACTGATCATCCACAGTTTCCCACAAAACCCACACCACACTGGTATCCTGTGTTACAGTGACCTAGTCTCTCTCAAGACTGATCATCCAGTTTCCCACATAACCCACACCACACTGGTATCCTGTGTTACAGTGACCTAGTCTCTCTCAAGACTGATCATCCACAGTTTCCCACATAACCCACACCACACTGGTATCCTGTGCTATACTGATCTAGCCTCTCTCAAGGCTAATTATCCACAGTTTCCCACGTAACCCACACCACACTCACCCTGTACAGCCTCATCCTGATCACTGCTTGCTTGTTTGATGAGCTCCTCTGCTGTTGACTTGACTGACCTAAGTGCTGACTGTCGCATGTCCATATCATCCATCAAACCCTGTACAGAATGATAGTATATGTCAGTAATAACATATCAAAATATCACAGCCTATGTTATGAGGAACTGCTCTTTGATCAACAGAACAAAAAAATATTTACAAATAACATTTCAACAGCAATTTGTGTGATAGGAAGAGTCAATTTACTTGTGTTTTTTTTTGTTTTGTTCCCCTATTCCCTTTATACAGCTACACTGACTAGACCAGATGCTTCCCCTACCTTGTTTTCAGACATTTGTTCTCGGATCTTTTCTGGGTGAGCAGAGATGGCTTCGGCATGCTGTACTTGTTCTGAAGTGGATGTTAGATTTTCCAACATATCCTCCAGTTTGTCTGTGAACTGTGGAGATAGAAAAATATTGTTAAATAAGATTTGAGAAGGTTTTCATTTCCTTCCAATAAGTTAGGTTTTAACTGAAATCTTCACTTCACTTTTAATGAATTATAAGATGCTTTAGTTCAATCTAATACATCTCCTCACAGCTTACCTCAGCTGATTGTTGTAAAGCTTCATCAATTGACATCGATCTCTCTTTGATGGAGTTGCGAATGTTATCCAGGCGCTTGTTGTCATCATCTAGAATAGCCTGAACTTTGACCCCATCACTGTCTGCACAAAGCTTGAGAAGGGCATTTCCTGTTTTGTTCAGTCTATCAATGACTGGCTTGTGGTCTTGCACATCTTGTTTCAGCACCTGGACAGTAATATCATTGTAGAACTATAGTTACTACTGTTTGTGAATCATGTATTCAGTGACATCTGTATCAGTAAGATTTTATAAAATCATGACAGAAATATTTTTACACAACAAAGGTGACAACCATGAAACTCAAAGCCATTACTTTTGTGTTTGTGACCATATATGTTGATTTTTCTGCTCTTTAGCATCAGATAACTAACCTTGATGCGGTCCTGCTGTTTCTTGACCTCATCAACATCAATGGACATGACCTCGAGCTCGCGAAGTGCAGGCTCTGCTTCACTAAACCAGTTGAGCAGATCCTGGTGGGTGGCGGTGAAATGTTTGGCTAATGGCTGAGCTTGTTCCAACAAGCTAAGTCTATCTGTACCCAGCTTTGTAATGGTATCCACTGCCTGTTTGAGTGTTTCCACTCTCTCTCGTAGTCTTGGGTCATCCTCCAGTGAGCTCTCCCGCAGGAGTTTCCTCCCCCTGGTAATGAGATCGCGTGCTTTGCCTTTCTGACTCGTGATGTCATCATTGATTGCCTTGGAGACAGAAGTTTAGAGAAATTATTTTTTTTATTGATTTTAATATTTACAAATTTCCTTTATCATATCAATGTCCAAGGTGAAAAAGGAAATTATTTACTTTCAAAATGAACTAGATGGTTAAAAAAAGGTTATTTTCCAGAATTAAAAGAATACATAATTGAACTTTCCACAATTAAATATATGAACAGTAAAATTGGGTTTAATATATTAGTAAGATTACACGAACAACTTGGTATCACATCAAATGACATGATCACATGATATGTTGACATGGTCACATGATATGATCACATGATCACATGATATGATAACATGATCACATGACTTGATCCTACCTTCTGCTCTGCCACCTGTGAAGCTAGAGTGTCTGGATCACTACTAACTGGAGCAGCATTTACAATCTTTTTGCCTTGATCCTCAAACCATTCCAGCAGATCATTCATGTCTCCAACAATCTGTCAACAAAACAGTTTACCATTAAACACAACATCATTGTAGGCCATGATCAGTAAACAAGACTTTTGCCAGGTATGTTACCTGTTATATAATACTGAATGTTATGACTGATAAAAGGGGCTACAATCTTTTAGGGAGCAACAAAACAAATTATATAAAAATGAAAAAATCACTTTGCTGCCAAACGAAACGCATAAAAAATCTCTTCTCAACTATTAAAAGGAATTGAATTTTCAAAAATGGGTTTTTATATTTACTCACCGCTGATGACCGTTGTTTTGAGGAGTGGAGTTTCTGTGATCGTTTCTGTACTTGTTCATTGACTGCTTCAAAGCGCTTTAGATCCTTGTTCATCATATCCTCGACCTTTAATCCTGCATCACCAGGTGCAAGTTCAGCGAGCTGATTACCATCATTACTGAGCACTTCCAAAGTAGGTTGGATTTCCAGTAGTTGATCAATGAAGGCCTGAGTGAGACAAAAGACACAACAGGTCAATAAGTTTTAAATATGACCATTGCGACTATTCATAAGAAATAAATCTTTTCCAAGAACTATGAAGTCAGAAAAGAAATTCAGAATCATAATATTACAGTGTATATTATAAAAGATAATATCAGATCTACTGTTTAAATGTTCTTCAAAATCAATTTTTCTTCTTTTGTCTCCCTTATCTATCGTAGAATCACAGATACAACGTAAGAGTCATAAATAGCCTTGACCTACCTGTACTTGGTCCTCTGCCTCTGGGCCAGTTGCCTCTTTAGCTCGGAGCTTGGGTTCGATCTTTACAACCCAGTCGATGAACTTGGCATGTGCCTCATTAAAGTTGGTTGCCATCGGCAATGCCTCCTCCATTTGCTCAGCAGAATCTGTGACCTTATTTTTCAGTTCCATGTATCGACCTTGTATGTCATCAATTTTCTTTTGAATGGCCTTGACCTCATTTGGTTTACAGTTGTTCTGCAAGTCTTTGCCACGAGCAGCCAAGAGTCGTACTTGATCATCACGATTCTGGATCTCCTTCTCCATGTCCTTTATATATATCATCATAGGTTTAATTATTCCTCAATATTCAACTGGTGTTACACATATGACAAGTTCAGGTACACATTTTTTCTGATGAATATGGATTGCTAGGGTTTTCCTAATCCTTAGATGTTGCTTATAATTTTATGTAGTATATAAACAGCTGTTCATTAAAAAATGTTTAACATATATTTCAATATCTTAGAATATTTACCTAGAAACCGAATCCAAAGCAAACACTTTCAATAGAGAATTAAATATGATGTAAAAGTTTAAAGGGAACTTTTAATAAGCGACTGACAGTGACCAACAGATGTTTTACTTTTAAGGCAACATAAAAGGATTGACTCACCTGTAGAGATGACACGATGTTCTCGATGCCTTCTGTATCCATGGCAGACGGTTCCAGTGAAGCAAATTTCTTCTCCATGGAGTCTAGCCAGGAAGCAAGTGGATCCTGGGTTTCCTGGAACTCCTTCGCAAGGACGACAACTTGTTCCAGAGTGTCAAGTCGATTGCCAGCATTGTGTTTGAGTGTATCATAACGTTGCTGGAGTTGGGCGATTTGATTCTGGATGCCTTTCTGTTCCCGAGGATCAACATTCTTCTGAAGGTTGGTACCTACTTGTTTAGCAGACTTGACACTTGGTTCTCTGTCATCCAGCATTTTCAACAGGAATTTCTGTTCCTGGAGCTGAGCCTTGATTACCTTATAGTCTGGGGATGGACACTTCTGATTGGCTACCATCTCTTCTGTCTCCTTCAGCCAACTCAGGAGTGATTCAAGAGCATCGTTGAACTTTCCAGCTTGCATGAGCGCATTGTCTAGACTACGTTCACGCTCAGACACCTGAAATCAGGATTACAGATTCTGTTATACATGTACTTTATTAAATCATCCAACTCTACAATGGAGTTATTGATCAGTATATATTTCTATACATTTTTATGTACAAAAAAAAGTTAAGGCTACTTATCAATTAGAATGCTTTTTGTGACAACATTAATATCAGCTGACCTTTTCACCAAGTTCTGACCACTTGTCAGTCAGTATTTCCAGGTCGGCCTCCAGACCACTGGTGCTCACTCCTGGTGCTGCAGACTGAATGAGCTCCTGGGTACCTGCTAACACACCATCCACTCTCTTTTGTTGGGGCTCTAACACAGACTTCTGGAACATCTGTACAAAAGAAAAAACTCTGCTGAACAACATCCAACAACTGTTAGCAGTAAAACCAATAAAAACCTCAAGCTCTGACCTTAATTTTAAAAAAATCCAAGCACACAGATATGAAACAACTTGTTTATATATCTATTTCGATAAAACATTAATTCATCAGAATTAATGACACAAAGTACAACATTCTGACCTTGAGCTCCTCCTGTTGTTTTTTGATAGCCTTAAGGTCAGTCCCAATTGGTTCATGCATATCTAACTCAGCTGCTGCACGATCTAAACTTGTGCGTGTCCGTCGTAAGTTGTCGTTGACAGCTTCAATCTTATTGGCTACAGCATCCACCTCATCTTCACGTTGTTTTGCGCGATCTTTCAGACCATCAAGCTGTTTCTGGATGGATTTAAGCTGGTAAACAAAACAAAGTATTAAGTAAGATAGGCTTTAGACAAGGCTTATCAGACACACAGGGAACTCCTTTTTACTGATCTGCACAATTTATCAATATCAAACGCCTACAGATACCAAAAATACACTTCCAGGGAGAATAAGGTTTATGAAGTCACCTTCCTTAACCTATAACAATAATTTAATCAATATTATACATGAATATCCTGAGTTACTCACTGGTGAACCTCCGACACCTGAATCAGTGATGTAGCCTAAATCCTCCAGGTTCTTTTTCTGTTTTTCCAGGTTTTCAAATTTGTCTTTCATCTCTCCAAGTTTTGATAAGAATTCCTGCATCAAATGAAATGTTGCAAAATCAGAAGTAGAAAAAAATCATCCTTTTAGAAACAAAAAGGATTGGCAAGATCACATGTTAGTTTGTATATTTCAACTTTACTGTAAACATTTTTAAAAATAATGGATCTTTTTTAAATAGTTATCTCCCTTTACCTCCATGTCCCTGTGTTGGCCTGTGAGAGCAGACTCATCACGACTGATAGGTTCCAGACTGGCAAAGAATGTTTCACTAGCAGATAGCTCTGCTGCAGCCTTCTGAATCTCATCCTGAGGATATCAAACACAAGAGAATATACCAAAGACCATAATAACATATGACTGATGATGACTAATGTAACAGAATGATGTGAAGTTGTATATATACAATCTGTGAAGACTATAAACTGGGTCACAGAATTTATTTATATTGTTGATATAACTACATCTTGAAATATCTTAACTTGCATATTTCTGTCAAAAGGTGGTAAATTTAATGAAGAAAACTTATAAATGCTTTTCCAGGAATAGAATATTTTCCTGACCTACCTGGTACTCTGACATCACTTGTAACCCTAAGGACCTACCTGGTACTCTGACACCACTTGTGACCCTGCCTCCAAATCAGACAGCAGTGATGCGATCTCATTCTGAAGTCCCTCATGTCTGTCCTTCACCTTCTCCAGGTCCTCCATCAGTGGCCGTGTGGCAGATTTGTCATTGTCGAGGTTGAACCCATCCAACAAGGCCTCAACGTAATCCAACTGAGGTGTCATTAGTTCCACATCCTCCTGCATGGCCTAAAGGGAGGTAATCAACAGTATACAAAAATGTACTTGTAAAACAAATTAAGTCACTAGTATACTCTGTTAAGTATACACTGTTAATCACCAGTATATTAAAAGTAAACTCTACCAATTAATGAATATTTACAAAGAACATTACGTATAAAAAGGTTTCTTTCTCCCTATCACACAAGCCTCACAGTGTCCAATTCCTGACTGTGAGTTTACACACCTTGATCTTGTCGACATGTTTGGGGTCACGTGCTGAGCTACCCTGTTTGTTATGAGCCTCCAGTCTGTCCTCACTCTTCTGAATGGAGGATTCAACATCCCTGAGATTGTCCTGAAACTCGTCCAGTTTCTGTGTCAGATCCTCTAGTTCAGCAACACGAGCATCAACACCTGAATAAAACAATTCACACATTTGTAAAATCACGAAAAATTTACATCGTAAAAATTTCAAACAAAAGATAAATTTGTGTTTGACGTATTACATCACTTACCTTGCCCAAGGTTTCTCCATCGCTGGTTCACATCTCCAAGGTTCTTTAACACATGGTCCTGGTCAGCATCCACTACACTGATCAGAGCCTGGCCTTCCTTGTTGATGATATCATGGTCATGTGTTTTCTTTAATATGTCAGCTTGGAGGTTCTATTGTGAAAAAGTAATCCATGACAACATACATGAATTTCTGTCTCCTTTAAACATAAAGTTATAGGATATTTAAAATATCCTGGAATATTTTCACACAACTTGTCTTTGTACTTAATTTAATTCATAAGGATATTCTGACAGACAGCATTCTGTATTGTATGAGAGAGCTAAGACAACCTGGGCATCCTTCAATATCTTGACAATGCAATTCCTCTGATAACGTTTTTTCGCAGCCTTCAGTATCTTGGCAAGTTTACTACTAGTGTAACTAACCTTGGTATCCTTTGATTTCTTTACGAGGCTGTCTCTAGGATAACTTACCTGGGCGTCCTTCAGTTTCTTGGCGAGCCCATCCCTGTCCAGGTTATCAGACGAAGTGTCCTTCAGACGGTCTTCCTTCATCTGCAACCATAGCAACATGTTATCCATCTGGTCCTGGAATGTCTGGGCATGCTTCAAACTTGCATCTATTTGTTGACTTCTGACATTTGCCAGTTTGTTCATCTCTTCCCAATCAGCTTTGATGGCCTCAATACGATCAGCTAGTTCATCAGCATGTTCTGATGGAGTGTATGTAGCCAGGAGTTGCTGGGCTTTCTTCAGAATATCCCTGTACTCTGGGGCATGTTCCGATATATCCTTGGCAGTAAGCTTTAAACAAAAACACAGAATTAACATTTAAACTGGCTTACAATACATGTCGTATATTGATAATCAGAAAGTTAATGCCTAAAGTAAAGGCCTCCTACATGACTTTCCTATGATGTACCTGATGTGACGTACAATGTGCAGGTTATGTGTGATTCCTGAAAACTTTCCTATTTGTATGTAACGATGTGCAGGTTATGTGTGATTCCTGAGAAACTTTCCTATTTGTATTTAACAATGTAAAATTTAAAGACATCTCTCCAACAAAACCACTTGGGACTCTCTATCTTATATAAAGTTATGTAAATTTTTTTTTTTCAATTTGAAATTTGACTTACTTCTATCTTCAGATTTTTATTGGAATTAAGTTCTTGCAATCTTTAACATAACCACAAGGAAGATTGGCCTTACCGTCTGCTGAAGGGCTTGTTCCTTCAGTATTCCATCACTGCCAGAGATCGGCGGCTGCTCTTTCAGCCTCTCTTTGGTGTCGGCCAACCAGTCAATCATGTTGGTACATGCTGCCTGGAAATGTTGACCCTCCTGACTTGCCTGTTCTACTTCCAGTTTCTTACCAGCTATAAAAACATTTTCGTATACATCCATTTACCTCAAGGTCATATAAGCATCTTACAATATTTCTGTCAACATAACCAATTTGTGGTGTTGTTCATCTCTTCTTGTTCATCACATACACCGAATGACAAGTCTAATTCAACACATCAACATTAATCCCAATCACAGATAGTATTCAGTTAAACAAGTAAAGTCATGAGACAAATTTCATGTATCATAAACAGTATAAACAGATTTAATCTCATTATATAAACTCTCTATTGTTACACTTGTCTTCTAAGAAAGTTGGAACTTAAATAAGACAAAAGCATTCAAAAGGTTATAATCTCCACCACTGTCATGGCTGAACTGACTTGTAAGCCGTTGTTTACCTAGTTTCTTCTCCAGCTCCTGGAGTGGTTTTTCTACAGCAGCAAGCTTGTTTTTCAGCTCTGCCTTTGTACCAGGGTCCTTGGTGTTTTCTGCCACTTTCTTGGACAGTTCCTTTGCCTTCTCTATCATGGGTTTCTGTTGGACAACCTCTGCCTCCAGGGACTGTGAGGAGACAATCATCATCTTTATGGCAAGTTCACATACATACATATGTAAATGCTTGTTCTTGCATATTTATTATCGATAATGGTTTTACTATATTACAGGAAAAACCATAATTTTATAATTTAAATCCTACATACATACATACATACATACATACATATGTAAATGCTTGTTCTTGCATATTTATTATCGATAATGGTTTAACTATATTACAGGAAAAACCATAATTTTATGCTTAAATTTTCTGGCATATATTGGATATATTAACCACATGACCATGACCTTAATGTGATAAGACATTATAAGTACAGTTATATCTGATATTTCTATAGAATTTTCAGTAGAATATGAACAGCGATTTCATTTTGGTGTAACGTAAATCATATTTGACTAAGAAGTAAATTTTGGTGTTACCTGTAAGAAGTCCATCTTTGCTCTGTGTTCCATAGGACTGACAGCTCCAGGCTCGACTTTCTCAAGTCTTGTGGAGAAATCAGCGATCCAGTCACCCACAGTCTGTAGAGTGAGGTCAAGTTCACCACTTAACCCCTCAACAGCTGTCAGGCTCTGGGCGCGATCCCGTAGTCGAGTCCCAATACGATCCCAGCCCTTACTGATAACATCCATTTTCTGACTGATGTGAGAGGAGTCTTTGCCGTCCGGCTCACACTTGTCCAGTATAGAGTGTCCAGACCTGATAAACGTCTCGTACAGGGGCTCCTGGCCATGGATCTCTTCCTGCAGCAACTGTCAGTATAGAAAGGTTCAAGTGTTTACAGAGTGCATCATTGTTTCTGTATTGTGCTACAGCCCACTGAGTTGTTATCATCCTTACTAATAATATGTTATCAAGTCCAATGTAATCTCATTTATGTCTCCATTCCAAATTTCATTCAAAGGAGATTATTACAACCATACCATCCAGCCTGCAAATTTAGCCCTCCTTGAAACAATTTGGAATTGTCAGAAAAATTGAAGCAACTTTTAAAATTCAAATCAGCAATGCCCGCCCAATAATCAGCCAATCATTGACTGCTAAGTTGTACTCAATATCAAGCTTTATTTGTGTGTTAACAGACTAAAATAGCTTTAAGTTGCCACTCCTTACATGGAACATGTCTTAATTAGATGGCTAATACTTTAGTATTTCCTACTTCATGTTAACCTTCTTATTTAACCTTGACCTCACACTGACCTTGACCTGTTGTTGTTGGTTCTGTATGAGGGCTGGGCTGGTTGCCACAGGACCTAGGACACCAACCATCTTCTCCTTCTGTGCGACCCACTTCTGGAGGTGTACACCAGCATCCTTGAAAGCACGAAGGTCAGTAACCATGTCATCCAGCGACTTCCTTCGCTGTTCAGACTCAACTTTCAGATCCAACCATTTGTCCTCTGTAACATGAAGTGAATTCAAATTGACACCTTGTTCTGAGGCATTTTCTACAACTTCAGAATCAACTACCAATAACTTAAATATTATATCAAAACAATCTAATAAATACCAAGAATTAATATGTTAAATCAGATGGAAACTGCCAGATTAATATGCAACTGAATAAAACATGTTTGCAGTAGTTTGACAGAGTAATGTCCCTTACCTAGCTCAGCAAGTTGTTGCTGTACAACATCTGTACCCGGGATGCCTTTCTTGGTTTTCATTAAGTCTTGGGCCTTGGAGCGGATTTCCTCCACGAGTCCTTCCTTATCAAGAAGCTCCTTGTGGAATTCCTATCACATACCAAATATATTAACCAAAAGCTTTTCAAAACTCTTTCAAAAGCAGCTACATTTAACTATATCTACTGTAAATCAGAAATTTTTTTTCAATCTGTTTTTTTTCTGTACAAGAAAAAAAACCTTTTCCATAAAATGTTTCAAACATTTCCCATACCTCATGGTCCTTCAGTTGTTTCTTGGCCTCTCTTTCACTTGTGGGCAGTGGTGCTGCCAAATGGACATCGAGGTCCTTGAGGTCAACCCAGGTCATAAGGTCATTGAGATTCTGAAGGAAGGTTTTCATACTGTCGAGCATGGTCTGTAGCTCATGGTGACGGTCTGCAAGGCGTTCGCCCAGTAGATCATACCTCTGATTTATGTCGACCAGCTCCTGTTGAATCTCTGTTAGATCTGTAAAAGATTTACACTTACCATGTATCTCAAAATCTTCACTCACAAAATTATCAAAAAGTCTATAATTACCATGGATACAAGTTTCTTGCGAATTTCCCTCAAATAGGTTCCAAATAAAAAATTCCCCAATCATTGGTTCTCTGTAATAGGTCACCTGTAATAAGTCTTGATTGTACATCATTTTTAGTTGACTATATAAGCAGAAAACTTACCTTCAACCAGCAGGTTATCAGAGGAGCTCTTTTTGCTGCTGATTCCAGACTCACTGGACATAGGGCTAAGCATTGTTGTTGGAGATGGGGGTGGGAACGTTGGTGAAGGACTTCGCAGACGAGGAGACATCAGACTTGGCAATCGACGACCACCTGTTAAATATAAAGAAATGCCATATTTTGTTCTATTGACATATCTCAAGATATGTATAAAAATACTGAACATATTTACCAGCCTACTATGTAACATTGTTATCTTTATACATCATGCACCAACAAAAACTTCAGAGGGGAGACAACTCACGCATGATTTTCCTGAAGGGACTACTTGGTCTCTGGTCAGCATTTTGAAGGGCATCAAAGGCACAGCCAAGGTCATTGGCTTCATCAATTGTGTCTGCATAGTCCTGGTAGTTTTGTAGCATGGGCTGGAATGTAAAATAACCAAATGTTAGATGTGATTTACGGAGAACTCAACACATCAAACTCTAAAACAATCTAGTGACATAAAATGGAACTGTTTTAAAATGTCTATAAACACTATTGATTTAATGTACACAGAAACAATAGCCATGGTAGTAAACTATCACATAAATACTGTCTAGGTTTGGTTTAATGTGTACTACACAACGACCAATAAAGAACAAAATTTAATTACACACGTGACTGTACAGATGCATTTGAAGTCCTGAATTAAGTAAAATGAAGAAATTATGGAAAGACTCTTGCTACTTGGTTGATTTCAAGAAAGATTAAACGAGAAGAAAATATCTTAGCAATATTGGACTAACAATTAGTGATCAGCTGATCGTTTTGTCATCAGTCCTACATGCCGATGTCACAGTAAGCCACCTATTTCCCACTTATTAGCTGTAATGCTTACCTGAAGCTCCTCTATCTGGACACCTGCCACTTCCACATCTACTGCTACTGGCTCAAAGGCATCCACCTTACCCTCCATGGTAGTCAGCCAGTCCACAACTGCCTTCTTCATGTTGCTGTACTCATCCGACTGTCTCTCCTTCTCCAATGCCTCTTGTTCACGCTCAGATAGCAGTTCATTAAAGTCTTCCCATTGCCGATAGAGTTCTGATAGTTTGTCCTTCAGTTCACTGACTTCTCCTGTACGTTGATCTTCAACAAGAGCCTGTCCCAGCTGCTTCAATTCCTCCACAATTTCTTCCTTCCTCTTTCTCTCGATAGTCATACCATCCACTTTGTCTTTCATTTCATCTCCAGATTTTTTGTTCCAGTCTTTGTCCTCTAAATTTTTTATCTTTGAGTCCAGCCAGACATTGCAGTGTTCCAGTGTGTCCTGGAAATGTCCAAGAGTTTCTGAGATTTCTTCGATGTCCTTGGCTCGTGCCTTACACTTAGATTGGACACCTCCAAATCTGTTTGAGAGGTCTCCAAGTTTAGACTCCAGTGATTTTGCCATGTCCAGCTCACATGTTTTGATCAGCTCGTTGGCCTCATGTTTCACAGAATCTAAGCTTGGCTTATGATTTTCCACATCAGCACTTATTGTTTTAAGCTCCTGGTATTGTTCGCTCAATCTGTCTCTCATAAGACTGACTGGCTTTTGTGTGGTCAGTGTTTTGTCCGTATCACGTAACCATGACAACAAGTTGTCCAGAGCATCTTCAACATCCTGGGATTTGGTTAACGTCATCTGTAGGCTGTTAGACCTTTCATTGACTTCACCCAACACTTCCTTATGTCGACCAGAGATATCGTCTACGATATCCTCTAGCTTGTGTATGTGGTCTCTGTCAACAGCCAGGTCCTTCAGCATATCAATCAAATCATGTGACGCCTTTTTCAAATCTTCTAACTGTACGCCGTGTGCTATAGCATCACTGCTTGCTGAACGCATCAATCCAAGTTGTTGTCGTAATATTTCTGGGTCTGTGGTAGCAGACTCTTGTTTAGATGTGGATAGTTTTTCCTCGATATCTGTTAGCCATGTTAAAAGTTTAAACGTGCTCTCATTGAAACTTCGTTGTTTGGTTGACAGAGATCGAATTTTTTCACCAAACAGGGCACATCTGGACTTCAGTTCATCATAATGAGTGGTTGCTGCTTTCAATTTATCACCTACTTGTTCAGCTTCCATGCCCTCCATTCCAAGCCAGCTGAGGCGATTGGTCTTCCTGCGATTGGCCTTGAAGGCATCAACCTCTAGTTTGTGAAGCTGAAAGAAATTAAGGTATTAATTAACTCAACTGTAATAGTCATTATTTAACATTATAATCAAAGTTGAATTAGGCTTTTAAAATATATTCTCCATTTGTGTTGTCATAAATGTCTATCATAAACTGTGTGTCAGATATGCGATACAAACCTTGGCCTCTTCCATGTATTTCTGGACAGCCATTGACATAAACCTGAGGTCTGCCTGGTGTGAGATGATGTCATCCATCATACCCTGTCATAGAAACAAAGTCATGATTTAAATATTGGTTAAAGTGTTAGAAAGTTCAAAATAACTAGGTGTGATACACAGTAATCATAACAAATTCAATTCAAGAAGAAAGTGTCTGTGTAATCATCTGGGTATTGATAAGGTCTGTACAACTGATATCAATGGTATCTCTCTTACCTTCTGTTGTTCCTCAATTTGATTCAAACGGTCGAGATTGGTGACCTCTTTCTGGTGTTTGGTCAGTTCAGTTTTAGTATCATTCAGCCAGTCATTGAACTTTGACAGCTCCTCCTCAAATTTCGTGACTTCATTAGCTGCAGTATTCAAATGTTTCACTCTTGCATCTGCAGTTTTCTGGACCTACAAGCATTTAAGATAAAAACTTTCAGTAGGATTCAGTTGTCAATTGCTTAATATTTTCATCGTTATACATGAAATGTTATTTTCAAAAAACGATCATAATATCAACATTTATATTCTATCATAATCTGTTTCATACTTTTTTAATTATCAATAAGTGAACATTATCATCTCTATCCTGTCTCTAATGATCCCGATGAGTCAACACATAAGTTCTTACACAAAATCAGGGGGTGGGCTTATCATAGAACCCCAGAGGGCCTTCACATAGATTCTTACACAAAATAAGGAGGGTGGGTTTATCCCAGAACCCAAGGAGGGCAACATCTTACTTCTTACTCAGAATCAGGGACGGGCTTATTAAAGAATAATGGAACTGTAACGGTCTGTATTTTCCTGAACAGCAACATATATATTTTGAGGGTGAGAGCCCTGGTTTATTACCAGGCATGGGCTTATTGCCAAATATATACTAACTATGACCATCAGAAATATCTCTACCAAATATAATAATCTGGAAATAGACTAATATCCTGATTAAAGGTGTCAAAATTTTCATTAAATATCAAAAGTCCGAACTAATTGACGTCAAAGACAGTGACAGACCTTGCCAAATGTCGACTTGAGACTGGTTGCTAATTGTTGGACTTCGGTGACCTGTTCGGGAGTCAGCTCTTCCTGGTGGTTCTCCAGGAGCTGTTCTGTCTGGTATACAAGGGAAAGTATCGGCTGTTGATGTTTCTGGATGTCATCATGAAGAGTCTGGAAGGGGAGACAACCAAATTTACTGACAAATGCTTTGAAATATCAGTGATATTCAAGAGATCCATCCTGTGAAAGTTTTAACAAAAACCTTTTATGTACTAACAATATTGGTACCTAGTACATAACGTAATACTTTTCCTTCCACATACATCATAATCATCAAGAAAATGAGCAGTTTTAACGATAGAAAACTAATATCCTGGAGATTAACACAATATTGGCAAGGAAAAAACTGAATGGTGACTATATATACTTCAGTAACATAGATAAAACAATATTACACTCCTTAAAGTCATGTTTGGTATCTAACATATGTATATCATAGCTTCACACTCCTTTGTTTTTGAGGAAGATTTTATGCTAATGTGCTGTACAAACCTTCTGGGCATCTAACTGTCCCTGAACTTTGTTGGCATCATCACTGATTGGCTGATCGTCTCTAAGCAACTGTTCTACGTCTGAGAGCCAGTTCAGTTCGTTGTTCAGATCTTGAGCGAGTTTGTCATAGGAGTCAACTAACCTTCCCTGTTGGAAATACATATCACATGAGTTATAGAACGCTGAGAAACATTGCTGATTATAGCATTTCTATATAACAAGTTAGGTAATGATAAAAATGTAACTCAAGTGAACACAGCATCAATAATCTACAGGCAACCAAAAGCAGAACTTAGCACAGAAATAAGTTTAAAACTAAAATCTCAGCAAAGCTACTCTAACAGAAATAATGAAAATCAGAATAGGAATGGCATTTGAAACAAAATGATTTTGTCAAATTTTGATTTGCAGATAATGTCAGTGGCAACTTAGCATACAATAATTAACACATTAGATGCAAAGTGATTGGCTACAACGTTTTCCCATACAGCAATACCATATATGGTGCATCATACAACATCCTACACATTATTGACCAAGTCATGTGGCAGGCATTCAAACAAAGTCAATTTACAACAGTATTATGCAACCCTACATCAGTCAAGTGGTAAATTTGGCATCTACTGTGGCAGGGCAAGGCAATGGGGGTTCTTTTCAAAAATGCAAAAAAAAAAAAAAAATTGGAAGGTGATGGTTAGGTAATAGATTAGAACATTTCTCAATAACAGAATAAACAGAAAAAATCTTACAAGATGCAGATAAATTATCAAACAATATTCATTCAAAAAGTATTCAAACATCAATATAGTATTGATGATTATATACTCATCCATACCCAATAAATCTGGCATTCATAATCAAATATATGGCTCGTGACAGTCACATGACACGTATTCACGGTACACCAAAGGACGTGCGAAACATGACAGCGACAAAACATAACATGCACATCAAAACAAGAAGACAGGACAAATAACATGTACAAAGACGAAATTGAGATTCACAAAAGGACAGAAGAACAGAAAAATGTGATGCATGTTAATATTAACAGAGGAGCAGGCATTCCTATGATATGGTAAGTGTGGAGGGGGGTGAAAGGAACAGCTGACAGGCACAGGCAGGCAGGCGTCACATTGTCTACCACCATGCCAAGGCAATACCCACTGAAATAAAAAGAATGCGATTTCACTTAAGCATTGTACTGATCTGCAAATCAAAGCTTCTTGACATTGTTGAAAAGTGAAATAAAGCAAATAAAAAAAATGAAAATATCTTTTCCTTTAAAAGTGATATAAATAAGGTAGATTCTTTGGGAATGTGAAAAGTAGCATCTTATATAATGCAAAAAAGGAAGGAAAGAGCTTAAGCAAAGGGGAGAACTAATATACAAACTGAATTATACCATTTCAGTTTTGTGATGAAAATAAAAATTACTGATAAAGAAATTTATATCAAAATATTTTTTTCATATCAGTTAAATATTAATTCTGTGTTGGTAGATGATCCACCAACATCATGTAAAATAATTTATTAAATATTAAATTGAAAATTGGAAAAAGTGGATACATATATTAATATTGTAGGACATAATACAACTGTAGAAAGAGCACTGGCTCATTGTTATATTATCTCAGAACAATAGGAGTCAGTATTTAACTCATGCAAAAGGTCAAGGGTCAGTGTGTAAAATTGACAATTCTGTTAGATCCACTCTCAGATTAAATCATTTTGTAAATTCATTAATAAAATTAATCCATTAAAAAAGAAAGTGATTAATCGAGTATATAACCAATTAATGTCAATCAGCTGATCACAACATTCTTATTAATTAAAAAATATTAAGATTTTTAACTTGTATTTCACTTATACTAAGTTTTAATGTCATTTATTGGTAAGTATGATCTTTCATTCTAAAAACTAAAAATTTGTTACAGAATTATATTTCATGCAAATTAAAGATTTCATCAAATAATTTATTTTCTGTTTTTGTTTTTTGAAACCATATTCATGAAATATCGAGCAGGAACATAGACTGACATTAAAACTAGTAAAGTTTTCTTTTTTCCAAATTAGACACTGTTTTTTCATCTTCAAAGCACAGCAATTTCTGGTTAGTTATAGAGAAATTGTGAACAGGCAATTCAAAATATAATTTCAAGCTAAAGAAATTTTTTTGACAAACCAATGACCAATACTAAATTTTCTTTTCTATGTTAAATGTTGATTGTGCATGGTCTTACCATCACTTTTGAATTACCCTTTCAGCTCAACTTTCTAACCATTTATTTTGAATCTCAAAAGAAATGAATGAGCTGATATTTCCATTAATTAATTAAATGAAATCTAGTATATCAGACCAGAAGTCTATCAATGTAAAACTATTTTTGAATCTGCAGGTAACTGAGATAATTTAGAATACATTTATTTCTGTGCTAATTTTTTTTGTTCATGTCAATTAAATTGAATTGGTTTGATTGAAATTATCAGCTCATCTAAATACAGCCCTCTTCACCCCTCCACAAAGGTTTTCTGATTATAGATTGAAGAACATCATGCTGTAGTTTAGATTAATCTCTAACACAGCAAGCTCTCTAACAAAATCAATCCATTTTCTGTTATTCAACACTTGCTACAAAACACTGAATTCTTATATTCAATAATTATTTAATTTGATGTTAAAAACAAAGGAAGCTTGCTCATCTTAAACAAAATAAGTCTAATCATTACTGAATCACATTTTAGACAAATGGATTTTGATTTTGGTTAGAGGGTATCCTGTGATCTAAACAGGTGAAAACACCTGTAACAGACAGTAATCAGTGACAAATGCACTAACACTTACAATCTCAACTTTACATGGATATTCCCAGACATTCTCACAGAACAATATACATGAATAACCTTGACTTTCGTTTGAAACATTCCACTATAATGATCTCCACACTCAATCAACTCAGTATGTAATTAATTCTGAAACTCTTGGTGAGACTATCAGTAAACCCTCATAACAGTTTTCTATCTAAAACAAATGTTCAAGACAAAGATAAAAAAAAAATTTCAAATTTTTAGCATCAACAAACATACTTACTTACAAATTCAAAATTTCCTAATTTCCCTCACTATTTTTTAAACAAATAATCAATTTTGGTATTAAATCATCTTTATACATAAATATCTTCTAATCTATTTATAGACAAGATATAGTCAGTAAGGAAAAGCATGGTTGGTAATGACATCATTCAATTTGGAATATATTTAGTAAGCAGGCATATATTAAGGTTAATTACAGACAATAATTAACAAACAGAAAAAGAATGCTGTATATTGTTATTGAATGGGAAAAACAATTTCCCCAGCCATGCAAATACATTGTAGTTTTTGTCTATCGTGAAATTGTAAGTTACTGATAATTGTTTGGTAAGAATAAGGTCTAATAGTCCCATGCTTAGTCCTTACATAGCTATTGTCATTTCTCACAGAAACATGCTTCAGGAAGTTTCTAATATGCAAATTAGATCAATTTCAGTCCCCTAGGAAATTACATGTACAGTGTGTACTTTGAAAGGCCAATCAAAACTTGTGGGAACTGAAGCAATCTTATATGCATATGGACCTATGTTCAGTGTACTTTCTTTTTCCATATATTTAACACATGATTGATTAAATATCAACAAAAACACACACATTTCATGCACAGCATCAGTTTTGGTACTGTGTGTTGAACAAAGAGTTTGGTGAGTTAGAAAATTAAATCTATGGTAATCTTCAAACTACATATTGTATAAATATAGGTCATTTGAAACATGCCTTTCTAAGGATTTTACATATAGACATTCTCACATTGCACTTAATCAATGACATAGCATAAAGGCAACTCTTTAGAAATGCTAAAATTTGAAATTTCGATTTTTTGAAATTAATTATTTGAAGAACAGTCCAAAACATTTTAAAAATTTAAAAGACATTGTCAGATTACTTGAAATGGAGAATGCCAATGTTAACAGATAGGTTTTCATGACAGTCAGGATTTCATAGTCTAAATCTCATTAGTTGAATACAAACTAGAAGTGAGGCAGTCCAAATGGTAACAAAACAGATGTTCTTAATCAGGCGTTGCATGGCAGTTATAGATGTTGTCATTCAGGTTCACATTTCATGGCAAAACAAGAGGCAAGGAACTCTCGGCATGATCAGAAGGCAGGCTACACATGCAGGAGACAATGTTCCTACCTTCCGTAGACCTGCCATAGCTGGCTTCACTCTGACCTCTTCTATGACCTTGACTTCATGTTGCCATGGTATTTCAGTGACCTGTGGTGTGGTTGGTGTTGAAGGATTAGAGTTCTTTTCACCTCCACTTTCATCCTGATTGATTTCATTCTCATCAACCAACTCTTCTGTTTCCAGGTCATCTTTCCTGGTTGGTGTGATTGAGCCTGTGTCACACTCATCCTCGGACTTGCTATTTTTATCTGTGTTATCATTCCTCTGAGATGCCGTGTCCTTCTTATGTTTAGCATTTACAATCATCTGTCGGATCATTTCCGAGGTCAGTGGCATCATCCATGTGTGTGGGTCTTTTCTGTCGGTGCTTGACGAATCAGTTGTTAAATCAGATGAGCTACTGTTTCTTGAACGACTTCCCATTGAGAACGGACGGGTGAGCACTGGGCCATATGCATTCTCAGCCAGGTGTCGATACCGTACTGATTCCATTGTATGCAAACCAGAGGCAGCCATGATGTTCTGGCTGTTGTTGCTTTCTCGTAGCCCCTCTCGTGGACTATTACTGATGATGAGACCTGCGGCAATAGCCTCATTAAAATTGTAAACCTGATTATTCACCAAATTCACATACACATTTTTGATTTGCTCGATGGTCTTCCTATCGATGGCAGTCTGCAGCGTGACAACAATTCCATTCTGTGTGAGATCTCGTATCTCTAAACACATTGGCGTGATGATCTCCATGTCAATCATTTCCTTTAGTGTGTGTTCTTTCCCTGTGCCTGGATCCACAAACTGGCAGTTCTTATCACTGTATAGTCCCTGGTTCACAGCACTGTAGAGGGTCAGACCCTTGGGACTCAGGATGAATCCCTTTTCAACAGCATCACTCAGGGATATACATTCCCCTGTTTGGGGATTTTTGAATTCACCCGTGCTCATGTCAATCATTCCGAGACTAGCGGCACGTTTTAAAGTGATTGGCTGAATTGTGTCTGGATCAATAACAGAAGAATTGGCACGGTGTAAAACCCCAGACGAAAATGCGTCTTGCAGTTTGGCTTTACCTTTATTTTGTTCATTAGTAAGAATTTCTTCCACATAGATTTCCACTGAGCTCTTTGGCTGGGGAGCTTCCAACATGGCCTCTATAATCAAACTTAGTTCCATGGCTTCCTTGAGTGACATCGACGTATGATGGACGGTATCATGGTAGCAACCTTTTACTGGGTCCACCACTCGCAGGCTGATGGCTTCCTGTAGTGTTAGGAGCTCTCTAGTCCGCGGGTCTACAATCTCCCTTGCCCGCATGTTGACGAGGTTATTCTGGACAGCGTCCTGGAGCGTGAGTGGTTGACCAGTGATAAGGTCGTCCATAAGTCCAGTGCTAGGATTGAGCATGCCCTTCTTTAATATACGATGCAGCGTACCAAGACGATATGTTCCCTGCTCATCTTTGACAACTTGTAATAAGGAATCCAATGACGATGACATATTTTTAGCAGCTTTGATGACCTCACTTCCTCTTGCTAACTTTTCCATACAAGATTTCTTTTGTTTTCCAGGATCCAACATGTCTGTGTCATCAAGGTTTACCTCCATTTTTTCTGTCAGTAAACCTCCCTGAAGAGCCTCGTTAAAGGTAATACCAGGTCTGGAATTTCTCTTTGAACTCTCCTTACTGGCATCAAGCAGCCCCACTTCTAATGCCAATTTGAGGGAAAGATTCTGGTTAGTTACTCTGTCGTGGAATGTTACACCAGAGACATCTATCAGTCCTTGGTTGACAGCCTCTGTCAGAGGTACAGGAATATCGCCGTCAGACATACGAAAATTACCCGTTTCCGCATCTAAACAATTTTTACGAATTGCTTCACCAAAGCTGATAGCATCTGTATTGTGGTCCATTGTGTCCAGCATCTCATCATTTTCTAACATATCAATGCCAGAACTATCACTGGAATGTTTGGGCTGTTTGGAGACAATCTCCACACTATTTGATAATGAATCCAGTTGTAAGGTCCTTTTCCTGTGATGTGGCAGTCTGGGAAAGTTACATAGACTTCTACCATTGAGAATCAGGCCTTCATCTAGTGCAGCCATGAGGTTGACAATACGACCGGAGTCACAAACAACACATCCAGTCGTAGTGTTAAATAGACCACAGTCGACCGCCTTTTTCAATGTCATCACAATGTCCTTGTCAATATCCTTGACCAGCGAATCTTCCGTGTCAATCAGACCCTTGTTCAGGGCATCAGCCAATGAAAGCCTCTCATCACAAATCATGCTCTGCATTTTGAGAACATTTGTATTTAATAAGCCATAGGACACTGCCTCATCAATGGTTACGCGTGTGAACGGCACATCCACGACCAAATTTTCTTCCACAGCCTTTTCTAGAGGAATGCTTTTCATGTTTTGTCTATCTAGGATAGAGCCAGTCTTACCACTAACAATCCCTTTATCAACAGCTTCACTTAGAGATATAAATTTCTGAGTGTCTGGATTCATAACCCTCGACCTTGTGCCATGGATAAGAAAAGTCTTCAATGCATCTGCCATAGTTACAGAGGTCTTAATCCGGAGGTCGTAAAATGTACATCGGTGCTTTTCAAAAATGCCTTCTTCAACTGCTCTTTGTATTCCAAAAAGAGGTTTTCCATAGTTAGGTCTTCTAGAGAAATCAGTCTGACCTCCAAGACTAGTGTCAAGAATTTGTTTACTAGATGTTAAGGATGTAAAATCAGAGTCTTTAAGGATATCAGCAATTTCTGTCAAAAATGGCTGATATCCCTTCTGTTCAGATTTAAAAATAAACCCTTTTGCTACCGCCTCTGGAAGTGGCGTATGATCTAAGTAGACACCAGTCGTGGCATCCAATATCTTCCTTGCTATTGCCTCCTTTGGGCTGAAAATTCCTCGCTCAGCCACAAGAACTTGTGGTTGTGAACCATCTACAAGTTTACATGAAATTGCCTCCTGAAGGGACATTCGTGCACATGTTCTTGGGTGTAGGATGGTCTGTTTGTCCTTGCTGTATAAGTCATTAACTACAATGTCTACCAGTGGAAACCCCCTCTCTGGCATCTCTATCACTAACTTTTTCTCCACTGCTGTACACAAGTCCAATTTCTCAAATGTTTTTGTGTCTGTCACCTTCCCTGAATATTTATCCATCAGGTGGTAGCTTATTGCTTCTGAGAGAGGAATGAATTGGTTCCGAGCATTATCACGCACAAACGTATGAGCAGAATCAATAACACCAATAGAAATAGCATCATCCATGTCAACACACATCTGAGAGGTTTTGTCCTTGACCCTCTGAAGTTCAGGATCGTATATACCCTCAGTAACTATGGTTACAAGGCCTTTAGCTGATTCGTTTGTAATCTGTCGAAGAAGTCCGTGAGCTAGTGCTGCCTTCAAGTCTAACCATTCATCCACCAGTGGATCCAATATCTGACATTCTCCCAAGTCTAAAATCTTCCTGGACACTGCTTCTTCAAATGTCAGAAATTCTCCACTTTTAGAATCTTTTATCACAATATCATCACAGCGCACAAGTTTGGACTCCAAAGCTTCCTGGAAAGACTTCACTTCTCCGTTCCTTGGATCCATGAAATTTTGAAGAGTAGTGTTGTAAACTCCTTCATGAATCGCATCAATTAAGTTTAAATCGGTACTTCCAAGATTTTGTATGAGTAAACCTTTTGACACAGCCGTGTTGAAATCACAATTAATTTTGCCACATGAATATGTGCCAGTTAGTGAGTTCACAATGCCTTCACCGATGGCTCCATCAAGTGTCAGCAGTGTCTGGCTCTCTAAATCCCGGACAAGAATACAGTCCCGATCCAGTAGGCTGGAATCTATAGCACTGATTAGTGAGACAGCATACCCTGTTGATGGATCATGGAATTTACCTTTTTCATCTACAAGACAGTCATCTACAACCTCCAGGAGGCTATATTTAGGCTGATTTGTTAAGTCTATAAGAATACCTCTATCAATGCTTTCAATTAAAGAAAGCGTATCACCACTGGATGTATCATAGCACATTCCTGTCGCTAGGTTAAGTAGATCTTTCTCAATGGCCTCCTGAAATCCAAGGACCTCACCGCTATCAACATCTCGTACTTTAATGATGCTGCAGTCCAACATTCCAGAAAATATGGCCTGAGAGAATCCCATCTTTTCCTCTGTGTCAGGGTTCAGCATCATTCCTGTAGCAATGTCGAAAAGTCCCTCCTCAATGGCTTCCGAAAGTGAGAGGGAGAATGGAGATTTACATTTCACAACCAAGCCCCTGTTGACAGCGAAGTTTAATGCAATTGGCAGCCCAGATGACAGCATCATTCTACCTGATAGAGGATCAATGATACGTTTGTCTATTGCTTCCTCCAGTGTTAAAATGTCTTTGCTAACTGGGTCACGGATCAGTGAGGCTTTGTGGACCAGTCCACGTTCAATGGCATCCACGAATGCCACACATTCATCGGTGCTGACATCTCGAACAGTGTTAGTGATAGGATCATATAGACCATTGTCAATTACATCATCCAATGTCACTGGTAAATCAGACATCGAACACAATTCTATGGAATGTTTCCTTTTATTTTTAGCTCTTAGTGCTGCTGCGATTTCCATGTCTAATTCTGACTCTGATGAGTCTTTCTCTAAATTATCTTCCTCCTCTTTCTTACCATCACGACTTTCAACCATTTTATCATTGAAAGAAGACCATGTGACCCGTTTGATCTGCTTGGAGTCACGACGATTTGACGCATTTTCTGAAGAGATATCTAGATTTCCAACGAGGCCAGCATCACATGCTTTATCCCAAGATAACCATTTCTCATTAAACGTGTCTTTCACAAAACATCCCTTCATTCCTACCTTAGTACTAGATAAATCATTCTCTATAAATTTAACTATGCTATTCTTTCTAGCATCCTTCAAACTCAACACTGATCCAGACTTTTTATCACGAATAGAAATTGTTTCCTCAAAATTTCTTTCAGTCACATTTCGTGGAAATGACAGCTTACCTCCCTTTATCCTATCCTGGAATGTTAGAGGGTCATCATTCGTGTTTATTGAGAATGACCGACCAGATACAATTTCGGAATCATCAGAGACAAGTTTTCGCCGCACTGCCACATGTAATGGAATTTCTTCTCCTTTTACATAATCAAACACATTGCCAGTCTTGCTATTGACAGCACCACTTTGAATAGCTTCCTGTAAATCAATTATCTCCCCTGTCTGGGGCAGCTTAAAGAGAGACTTTTTGGCATCAATTAAACCATGTTTAATGGCCGCACCAAGAGAAAAGTTATTTCCAGAAACTGGGTCATGAAATAATCCACTACAGGGATTAAAGAGGCCTTGCTGCATAATCTGAGTCAAGGTCATAGTATGGGGTCCCTGTCCTTCATCTCCATGGTTACTAGTGGGATCACACTGCAGAGATGTTGAGCCTTCCACTGGCTTAGATGTCCTGGTCTTGGAGTCCTGTAAAATGGTTTTCATTACAACATACAATCTACCATTTAAACAACATATCACACTTACATAACCTACCATTTACACACTGATCTTTTTGGCAAGCACTGCAGCTAAAATGAAATTGGTGCAATGTGCAAAACAACAACCATCTCCATTGTGTAAACATGTACTCCAATGACGACTGTGTCATCCCTTTGCACGGAGCACCACCACATAATGAGTGCAGTGCAAGGACCTGTGAGGACACAAAGGGCAGGAGGATGTGTCCTTGGGAGGGAGACTAGCAGGGAGGAGGTGATCGAGGATACTTACCCCTTCAGATGTTGTCATGGACGTGGACAGAGAGGAAGCAGATGAGGAGTCACCTTCCAGGCTTGGTGGGATGGTGCCGCCTGTTACCTGTACCTCACTACTGCCCTCTACACTCTCAGTTTCCACCAGACCTGCATCAACAGCTTCCTGGAATGTCATCACTTCTCCTGTTGAAGTATTACGCACCCGCCCATTAGCCTCCACAAGGAAGCCAGGTTTGGTGACATATACCGCTGAACCAGTCTTAATCTGCACCTCGGTTGCTGTACGTGAAACCACAGCACCGTCTTTGTCTACAACTACCTCTGCCTTGGGGGAAAAGGGTGACCCTTCAAGGACCACAGTGTATTTTTCTGCCTCAGTTTCAGGAGGCAGATCATGACTGACTGAATTATCAGTCTTACCATCCACACTGTCATCTGTCTTTCCATCAAAGCTGTCATCAGTTTTACTACTTCCACCACTTTCATTTGCAACATCATCACTGTCATCAATACTTGTCAATTTTGGTTGTAGATATCCAAGCTGAATGGCTTTTTGCAATGACACAGTCTGTTGAGTGCGTGGTTCAGTGAATTCTGCATTTGCAACATTGAGACTGCCGCGTCTAATGGCATCAGTCAATGACACTGGCAGTTCCTCACTATGAGGGAGCTGTACATCTTCCAGTGTCTCAGGTTTGTCCATGTTTAGGAAGCCACAGATGACTGCTTCATCTACTGAAAGCTTGTCACCAGACTTCGGATCATGGTACACACCAGTGTCACTGTCCACCAACCCTGTGCGAATGGCATCACTCACAGTGATAGGTTGCTGAACACTGACCATGCTGACCAGTCCCCTTTTGGTGGCCTCCTTTGTGTCAATTTCTTCACCAGTTTTGGGGTCAACAAAGTCAGTGTACAAAATGCCCTCAGAAATGACTGGAGACACTTCAGCTCCCTTAAGAATAATTACAGAGTCACCTTTACCTCCAACTCTGCCTGCTATCGGTGACAAGTATCGGTGTTTAAGAGCTTCCTCTACAGATATATAAGTCCCTGACATCCTTTCATGGAACATCCCTGTCTTTGGGTCAAGGAGTCCTGTCTGGAGTGCATGCTGGAAACTATGAGTTGTATTGTCATATTTTGGTCCAGAGTAACGATATGGGCTTTTATCATCAGCTGTCAGATGACCGTTTCTGACTGCCTCATCAACTGTGTACATCTTGCCCTTTTTAGGTTCCGTGTAAATGCCAGTCGGAATATCAATATAGCCATATCGAAGAGCATCCCTTAACCGGACACCTCTCTGGTCTGCCTTACTAGGACTGGTGGCTACTACCTCATCAGCACTGACAAGGCCTTTCTTCAAAGCTTTTGAGACAGGGAATACCTCTCCTTTTTTGGTATCAACAAAATTGCCTTTCTCATCAAGTATGCCTCTGCTGACAGCCTCGGCTACATTGACCATCCTCCCTGAAGAAGTATCCATAACTTGTGTAATATTGTAGGTAGAGCCAGGTCTGTTAGATTTTACCTTTGTCTGTGTTGTAGTAATTGTCTGAACAACTCCAGAAACCTGCCCGTTTTGGAAAGCATCTTCCATCTTGATGCTTTTGCCTAACTTCCTGTCATAATATGTTGTCATTTCCTGATCAACTATTCCACGATCAATTGCCTCATTCACAGAGATCTCTTTACCAGACTCAGGATCAAGCACCATAGTGATGTTGATCTGTTTCATGTCCTTGGTCTTTTTGTCAACAAGTTGACTCTGTGCCATGTGACTTCCCTCCACCAGGTGGCTCTTCAGAGCTTCTTCAATTGGCATAGATGCCCCTGTATGAGGATCATAATACAACCCTTTATCTTTGTCAAGAATGCCTTTTCTGACTGCTTCCTTGACCATGAGGTCACGTCCGGTCATAGGATCCTTAACCTTGGTGACAATTACATCCTTTACTACCACTAGATCATCTGTCTTTTCCTTGACCTTGGAAGTGTCAACCTTTACCAGGCCTTTCCTGACTCCTTCCTCTACAGACATTTTATCACCACTTTGAGGATTTGTAATTAACCCTCTTTCTGGATCAAACAGACCTTGCTGTATGGCAACATGAACTGGAATATCAGACTGTGTAACTGGATCAACTAAGCACTGGACTGTCACAGACTCTCTAGTGACAGATGTAAGAACGGGTATTGCTTCTTGAACACCAGCCTCCACAAGTCCCTGTTTAACTGCCTCTGTGATATCCATGCTACGGCCTGATGGATCATAGTAAATCTGGAGGTCACTGGACACCAGTCCATGCCTTTGGGCTTTAGATACCGAGAGTTGTTCACCAGTACGTGGATCTGTCACTGATCTAAGAGAAAGGGTTTTAGACCCTGTATCAACAGTAAATGTTGTTCCCATTGGTCCTTTTTCTGAAGAACTCTCAGCTTTGATGTTACCTTTAGCGATAGCCTCGGGGATACTCATGGTTTCTCCTGTGCGAGAGTTGAAATACACACCTGTCTGTAAGTTGAGAATTCCTCTATCAACAGCTTCCATCACTGATATGTCTTGTCTAGTGACTGGGTCTTGCACTGATTGAATGTTGACTGATTTCTTTTCAAATATGACACCAGCGGTCCTTGGGGACATAGGTGACATTGGTTGTTTGGATTCGGCCTTGATGAGTCCTTCCTTCACTGCTTTAGAAACAGGAATAATCTCTCCTGTAGATTTCCTAAATTTTCCATAATGACTATCAATTATACCTTTCTCTATAGCTAATTTTATAGGAATGTATTGCCCTGTCTCAACATCAAATGCTGATTTCAGATGTAGAGTTTCTGCTGTCTGCTCATACACCTCAGAACCCTTCATGGATGTAAAGCCCTCAGCATCATCCCCGTGAACCAAGCCTTGTTTAAGACCTTCACTCAGTGGTATTTCCTCTCCTGTGCGTACATTCTTCAGTATGCCAACCTTCAGGTCTAGGATATCTTTCCTCACTGCTTCAGGGAGGCTCATTCTTTCCTGTGTCGCTGGGTCCACAACAGTATGGACTTTCAGTGATTTTGTCTGGGTGATAATGTCTTGTTTTGAGGTCTGAAATTTTTCGTCTGTTTTCATCTGTGAGTCAACATCCCTAGCAACTACTAGGCATTCCTGTACAGCATCAAGTATGGGAATTCGCTTCCCTTTTTCCTTATGGTAGTAAGTTCTGCCATCTTTGTCTACTAAACCACGGACCACAGCTTCTGGCAGAGACAATTTCTCTCCAGTCAATGAGTCAGTTACTGCCACAATTGACATTCTCTTCTTCTCATGGAATGTGACATCAGCTTGGAAGCCTTCCTTTGTTGTCTGCTCTTTAGTAGATATGGTGTCAATGACCTTGCCCTGTATATAGCCAAGATCAAGTGCCTCTGTCAAGGTGAAGGTCTGTCCAGTCAGACTGTTCGTGTAAGTCCCGTCATGTTGGTTAATGAGCCCCCTATCTAAAGCTGTGGTAAGTGGTACTTCAGTACCAGCTGTGGAGTCTCGCACACCTTCCACATGAACCTTTCGTGTGACTTTTTCTACAGACTCTGTTGTAATGTCCTTCTTACGAGGCATACTGTCAAATTGCTGTGCATGAATTGTATCTTTAATTTCCAGTGTGGTAGGACCAACTACATTCACAGTTGTAGACTGCAAATTAACTGGAATATCCTTTGCAACATCTACTGATTTGGGCAGAGGTTTAGGTGGTGTCTTTGAAGGCATATCAGCAGTTGTTTTTGATTTTGGTGAAAGAGGCAAGGCACTGTCTAAAGTGGAGGATGTCTCCTTTTTGGGTTTCCGACTCAAAGATCCAGTTGCCTTCATGATGGCCAAAGCAGGAGCACCTGCTACTGCCAGAAGTCCCAATGTGGCAGCATCTTTGAGTGAAAACTTGGACTTAGAATCCTTATCAACCACCTTCCCCTGAATGGGATCAATCCGTCCAGTATTAATACCCTCTTGTAGGGTTAGTCTCTCATCTGTCTTGATATCAACCATCAAACTGTTACCATCAATATGTCCTCTCTTAATGGCTTCATCTAGGGTCATTTCCTGACTGGTTTTTGGCTCAGTAAAGATGCCACTCTCTTCACTAAAGTAGCCCATCTCTATAGCGGAACTGAGGCTCATCTTCTGCACCTCCTGAGTCATCCTATCCTGGTGGGAGGTGTTCATCAGCTGGTCCCTTAAAGTATCCAGTCTGTGTACACCTGATGTAGAGCCTTGCTCCTCAAATCGAGAATCTGTATGCATCTGTACTCTAGACATGTTTTGTTCAACTTGCAAGGCTTCTGTAAAACTCCTAGTTTCTTCAACCTGTGCACTGTTGGCAAATTGCCTTTTCTCCTGTACAGATGGGGCATGAGAAGAAGTCAGTGTGCCAGGCTTAAGAGCTATTGGTTTAAGCTGAACACGTGTTTCTTCCTTTATCTGTTCCTCTTTCCTGTCTACATGCGTCTCTGACCATGTGACATTGTGATGACTGTCAACAGAGTCGATGTAGCCATACTCTATGGCAGCTGCAAGAGACATGATCTCTCCTGTCTGAGGGTTTGTGTACGTTCCACTATTCTGATCCACCAAGTTTTGCTCTACTGCCTCTAACAAGGACATTGATGTGTTGAGCTGCTCACCCACATCTATCTCAGTCTCTGTGTGAAATGTCACACTGTAACCTGGCTGTGGAATTAGACCCTCAAGGAAGGCCTCCTTAAGTGTAATTGTCTCCCCTGTTCCTAGATGTGTAAGCTTACCAGTATAGGGGTCTAATATCTTCAAACGGATGGCTTCCATCAAATTAAGAAGCCGACCAGTTTGGGGATCAATAATACATGAGTTTCCTACATTCATAACATGTTCATCTAAAGCTCTGCGGATAGATATAGGGAAGTCATAACCTTTCACATATATACTACCTGAATCTGTCACATTTTTATCAACTTTAACTATGTCATTAAGACTCAAGGGTCCTTCTACCATAGTATCCGGGGAAACATATTCAGGGGGTTCATTGCCTTCCACTACTTTCTTAGTTTTCCGTACCACTGTAGTTTCCTGTATTTTTGCACCAGTTGGTTTCTTAACGACGACAGGTACCATTTGTTTTGTCTCTTCTCTTTTGATTTCCTCCATTTTCTCAATTACAGTTTCCAGTGTCATAGAAGTTTGTAAGTCCAAGTAGCCACGGAATTTGGCTTCCATGACAGAAATCTTTTCCTGAGTGTCCCTAACAGTGATAGTACCATCGTCCCAGTTTATATCTATTTGGGGTGTTTTAGACTCCAAGGCAGCTTTCTCAGCCAATTTCTCTACTGTGTCTGAGTCTAACAAACCCCTTTGTACAGCCTCTGGGACATTCATTACTTCTCCTGTTGGCGAGATTATGACCTTTCCTGCTGTCCAGTCAACAGTAAGGTCATCTTTGGACATTATTGTTGATGAGGAATATTGGACAGTTATTGGAGAAAGGGGAGGGGTGGGACCCTTATCAGCTGAAGGAGGATCACTGGACTTCACAAACACCTTGGTCCCAGAAATGGGAGGACCCTGTAGGTCTGCCTCATGCAGAGGTAGGGAGGGTTTAGTTACCATATCCGGGATTGTTGATGAGGAGGGGGATGAAAGGGGAGATAAACTCACACTTGACACAGATTGGGGACCCAAAGGCAGAGAAATGTCAGCACGAGATGTTGCGAATGAAGAAACATCTGTCTCATGTTGTTTGTACACAGAAGAGGAATCAGCTTTCTTCTCCTGACCCTCACTTACCATAAAACCATAGGCTGGGCTTGGGCTACGATCATCAGGAGACTGGTCAGTCTGTCTCTGGGGCTGGGACACCTTAATTCTGTCTGTTGGTTTAGCATAAACAATAGTAGTCAGTGGTTGTTGTATTCCATCATCATGAACACCATTTCCATTCACACTATACCCATTGCCACTAACAGGCGATTGATCAGGATCTTTGGTTAATGATCCGTAACGTTCCTTTTTGGGCGATCGGTCATAGTCCTTGATTGGTGATCCAAAACGTTCACTCATTTCTTTCACTGGGGATCGGGCAGTGTCTTTGGTTCGTGATACAAAATCATCTCTAGCGTCCTTCACAGGTGATACCTGAGGAGAACCAGACGAGCTTGATAAAGTCCGTTTCTGAAATGCATCTTGTGTTGGTGAGATGTCCATCTTCCACGTTTTCCCTGTAGGACTGGGTTCCTCGGTCCATGTCTGCCCTTTTCTATTTTGCACTGCATCATATACTGCCTTTCCTGCTAGAACTGGAGCTCCAACTACTGCCATTAGTCCTAACTTTACAGCTTCCTGAGCAGTCAGCTTTTGTCCTGTCTGTTTGTCCTTCACACTACCAGTCCTTCTGTCAATCAATCCTTTCCTGAAGGCCACATCCATAGAAACCATCTCTCCACTTGTTGTGTCTAAGATGGTAACATCTTCTGCGCGGAGTTGCCCATCTGTTACAGCCTTGTCAAGGGGAATGCCTTCTCCTGTCACTGTGTCATACACAGTACCTTCCTCTTCATCCACAGCATTCTCAATCAATCCACGCTTCACTGCCTCTTCCAATGACATCACTTCTCCAGTGGCTGTGTCTGTAACCGTAGCAGTAACCCCGTCAATAAGTCCCTTGCTGAGAGCTAGTTTCAGGGAGACCCGTCGTCCTGATGAAGTGTCTTTCACTGTCACCATGTTACCATTCAGGACATTTCGGTTCACAGCTTCTTGTATAGACATGGTGTCACCAGATAATGGCTCCAGAAACTTATGGCTGGCAGGATTGTAAAGTCCTGCTTTCAAAGCATCCATGAGATTGAGAGGTCCTGGGGATGAGAACTGAGTTGGTAGGTTAGGACTGATTTGAAACTTCTCCGATTTACACTTTTGGTAATTGACCCGACCGGTAGAAGGATCAACAAACCCTCGCTTAAATGTGTCCTGTAAGGTCATTGTGTCGCTGCCAACAATGCTGACCATGGCTGGTTTGAGGGGATTGATGATACCTTGTTCCATAGCTTCCTGCAAAGAAATCAGATCTCCACTCCTAGGATCTCGAACCTTTCCTGATGTAGGATCTGCCAGACCAACATTGACTGCTTCACAGTAGGACAAACCTTGTGGGAAGGCAACAGTGTTGACATTCAGCCCACGAACATCTGCTGCCATCTTTGTGACCTGTTTGGAACCAAGTGTAAGCTGTCCATTTCTGTGAAAATCTGGAATATCCTCGCTTTCCATCTCAAAACTTTGCTCGATATCTGTAGTGTAATTAAGGACCTCATCAGCCACGTCAGATTTCAATTTCTCACTATCCTGCATGCCAGACTTCTCCAACTTCATTTCCACTACATTTGGTGTAATTCCGTTCTCAGATATCACAGGCGGAGTCACCTCTTCCTGAGATTCATTCATAAGACGGGTGATTTCTTCTGCATCAGTCACCTTGGTCATGGAGAAGAATCCCTGTTTATATGCATCCTCTAAAGGAATTCTTACGCAGGTTCTAGTGTCCAGGAATGTTCCTTTCTCCAAGTCGATGAGGCCTTGCTGCACAGCCTTTACCGGTGACATTTCCAGTCCAGTTTTTGCATCCTTGATTGATGCTACGTGTTTGAGGGAAAAGCCCCCAGTTCCAGCCTGTATAGAACTGTGGAAGATATCCTCCTCAACTTTTTTGCCTGTAACATCAGCATGTATCAGTCCTTTGTTAAGGGCAGAGTTGATTGGAATTGCTTCACCAGACCTAGGATTGACATAAAGGCCTTTATTAAGATCAAGAACACCACTTATAACAGCATCATCATATGATACCATCTCCATGGTGACAGGGTCAACTACACTGCTGATGCTCAATGTCACTGTCTCTGCTGTAATGTCCTCTACAAGTGTTGCCTCCTGTGATTCAAGCTCTTCTGTGATGTGAATACTGTGAATATCAGAGCTACTAGAAGAGTCAACTCCAGAGGAAGTTGCAATAGCTAGTTTTTTCTCAATGGCGTCATTCATGGACATGACTTCACCTGTGACAATGTTGATGTATGTGCCGTTGTGCTGGTTGACAATCCCATCCTCAACAGCCTTGGCAACAGATATAGTAGCACCTGTTCTTGGATCCACTACCCATGACACTTTCAGGGTTGTTAGTTTAGTAGTGACCACCTTGCTGCCATCTACTCCATCATTGGAGGTGATAGAAGACAATTCGGCGTCAATGAGCTTCTGTTCGATAGCTTCTGGAATGCGCAGCTTTTCTCCTGTAGATGTGTTGATGTACACACCGTTGTGTTCATCAAGTATTCCTTCCTGCACTGCATCTAATACGGAAATGTTTTTCCCAGTGACAGGATGTTTCACACTTTTGAGCTGATAAGACCTGGTTTCACGTTTTAGGCCTTGCAATGGTGCTGCATGGGAGGTGCTGACATCGTCTGCAAGAACAAGCCCCTTCTCCACCGCCTGACTAATGGGGATAAGCACCTCACGACCTAGCCTGTCTTTACTCACATACTGACCTCGCTCTCGGTCCAGTATCCCATCCTTGACTGCCTGTGATACTGATATCTTCTGGCCTGTGTTGGGTTCAATGACTCCTGTGATTGAGAAGGATTTGACCTCTTTGACTGCCTGGTCTGTAGGTGTATCTACCTCCATTCCTGTCAGGAATCCTCTGTCCATGGCCTCTTTCACTGTGAACTTCTTCCCTGTGAGTGGGTGAATGAAGCATCCTTGTGCTACATTAAGAAGCCCACGGTTTGTTGCTTCTTGTGGTGACAATTTCTCTTTTGTACGGGGGTCAGTAACACTCTGTATTTTGATGTAGTTGGTTTCAGACACCAAGCTCTCAGCAACGGCAGGGCGGGAGATAGTCGTTGTAGTAAAAGAGAACCCTTCATCACCCTTCGTCAGTTTGGAATCAACTGTAGCCGACTGACCTGGTGAAACAGGCGACATCTTAGTTACAACCTCCTCAAGCCAGCGGTCAGCCTCGTCTTTAGTCTCGGACACCAATGTTGGCCGTGGCCATTCTGATGAAAGCTTTAGCAGACCCTGTTCAATAGCATCCTCAACTGGCATGGTCATGCCTGTCCTTGGATGCCTGAACGTTTGAGAATCTTCGTCGAGAAGGCCCTGGTCTATTGCCTCAGATATTGTAATGGCCTCCATGGGTTGCTCCTCCTTCACTGACTTTTGATTTGTAGTGAGGGCAGTGTAGATGACGACAGGACTAAGGAGCTCTATAACTGTTTGTGCATCCTCTGCAGACACAAGCCCCTCCATAGTGGCCTGCTGTAACGGCATCACATCTCCTGTCAACAAGTCCTTAACTTCCCCTGTGGTTGGACTGATAACTCCCATCTGAACAGCCTTCAGTATTGTCACATTTTTTCCAGATGCATCTTTAATTGATGTTTCTTGTGTTAATTTCTCCACTGCATCTTTTACAACAAAACCTTGACTACCAGCTGCACGAAGTAACACACGACGCCCAGAACGTGTATCAACAAATTCTCCTCCACTTGTGATGACACCTTGCTTAAGCGCTTCAGCAAGAGTCAGTGTTTTTCCTGTCAGTGAGTCTTTTACACTTGGTTTGGCAAACACAACCTCTTCATTTACAAGTTTCAGGTGCCCTTCCTCCAAGGCTTCACCTATAGGTGTGGGAGGGGCTGCTCCAGGAGGTACATACAGACCACGGGAGTCAATGACTCCTCGCTCTATTGCCTCTGACAGCGACAGCACATCATTGCTGATAGGGTCAACAATACACTTCACACTGTCATCAAGAAGACCATTGTCGACAGCATCTGAGAAAGCCATGACTCTCCCAGACTGGGGATCCACAAAATAGCCCTTCTCTGTGACAGTACCATCAGCAAGGGCCTTGGGCAGTGTCATTGGCTTGTTCAATATTTGTTGATGGAATGCTTCATCTAACGGGATTCTCTGTCCAGTTGTCTTGTCAATGCACCGGCCAGACTCTGGGTCAATCAGGCCCTTAGTGACGGCCTCAATCAATGTTATATATTCTCCACTGGTTGGATCCTTGATCTCTTTCTTGGACGGACTGATGAAGCCTTTCTCTACAGCCTCCAAAATAGTCAAGTCCTCTCCGGAGAGAGGGTCATGAATCTTTCCTGAAGATCGATCATATAGTTCTTTTTCTACAGCCTCAGCAAGTCCTATTGTTGTTTCTAGTGAAGACAGTTTGCCATCTCCAAACATAGCCTGGGACTGTGTTATAGTTGTAACAGCATAGCCATCACCACACAACTTCTTGGCTGTCTCCTCAGTGATAACTCCTTTTGAGAGGGCCTCATGGACGGGAATGTGTAGACCAGTAGATGGATCTCTAAAGGTAAGTTTAACAGGGTCAAAGTACCCCTTCTGTATGGCATCCATTAGAGTTAACTGACGCCCAGTTCGTGGGTCAGGAATACCACATGGGGATTTCAACTCCCGTTGTAACTCAGAGGAAATGTAGCCTCGGTCACATGCTTCAAGGAACTGTATGCGACGCGAGGTGATAGGATCCATGAAATACCCTGTTTTTGGATCAAATAACCCAGTCTTGATGGCTTCAACCATATTCAATTTACGACCAGTTTTTGGATTCAAAATGGCTGACACAAACACAGTAGTTCCTTTGGGTGCCAGATTTTCCTGTTTTAAAGTCACAAGTATTTGAGAAGCTTGCGGAAACTTTCCATCCATCTCACTGACATTTCCAAGTGAAGTTACGCTACTAATGCTAGCTACTTTCTGCGAGAGCCTCTTTCCAGCATCAGATGGCGGTGGTGATACCATCCTCATTTGAACTGTTGGGACAACAGCTGCAGTTACGGGTTTCTCCACAGTATCCATCATCTTGGTTACTCGTATTCCTGGAGAGAGAGTCGCTGGAGCCTGTTCATGGGTGTTCTGTGCATGCATTGTTACTTTACTGACAAAAGTCTTAGCAGGCCCACTATATCCTTGACCTGGCTGGCTAGCATAGCCTTCAAATTCTGACAACTGCTCAAAGAAACCCTGCATATCCTCGTCAACTAACATAGAGGAGCGCTTGGCTAACTCTGCCCGGAATGTACGCAGTAATGGAATATCCTCGTCAATCACCATCTGGAACTGAACACAACTTTCTGTTTACATGTGTTAAGTAAATATGTCACAAAACTAAATTCTGTCAAGTATAAACTGGCAAAGAGAGGTCCTGAACCAATTTCTTTTATATTTACAAAAATTTAACTATTAAAATGGATGTCAAAGAAATTATTTGATGTAGAAGAGAGATATTAGTATATATAAGCACAATTGATACTAAATGTATACCAAATTCCAAAACGTAATGTAAAGTAACATGATTTCAGCAATTTACAAATATCTATATTAAGAATCCTTAACAGAAGTCACTACCTGTACATCTTCACTGGCACCGGACAATCTAGCAGTGATCTCCTTCAGACGGTTATTGGTCCACTTGACCATATCTATATACCGCCGATTGAGAGTGTCCAGTTCTGTCTTAACCATCTCTGCCCCACCCTCATGTCGCCGTCGCTTGGACAAACCTTCCACCAGGGCAGCATCGATGTCCTCTAGACTGTCCCGGTACTGCTTCAGCTTTCTGTCATAGATCTATAAAGGAAAGCTTCTAATGATCGGAGTGTCAAAATGAACCATGACAAACATGATTCAGTACTCAGAACATTCCTGTGCAGGAGCTGTGATTGTGTTGGTATTTCTATAAAGTTGTGTACCATTAATTTATACTTTTCATGCAGTTTTCAACTAAATCATTAAGATTTATCTTGTGACTAATTTACACAGTCTATTTACAGTGATATTGTGAAAAAAGGTGAAATTATTCTAAGCTTTGAACTTACAGTGAAAAATACCAGTTTAAAAATTTGTCAAAACAATAATTTTTTAAAAAAGATGGAAAACTTATGTATTTCATTTTAGATAAATAAAAGAAAACTGAAACTTGATTTGTTAAGTAACACCACATCACCATGGTGATTGATATACTTGAGCAGCAATTTAAGTGAGATATTTGAACCAAAGCAACACAAAACACAGATATTTTATCATAAATAATGCTGACAGTAGCTAGAGCATACTTGATTGGAAAAAATTCCAAACATGTCCCCAAGTTACCCCATCACCCTATTCAAGGCCTAGAACAGCGCTACCTGTTTCATCCCACTTAATCACCAGTTACTAAAGTGATAGCATCTACATAGTGATTGCCTAGGCACTACTTTCAGTCAATGAGATCATTTGTGAAAGTTTAAATTCACTACTTGAAATAATTCATACAAGGTTGATTTTGTTGTAGTTTTTTTTTTTTTTTTTTTGTGAATAATATATTAATTTATCTTTTCTTTTTTTTCTTTAAATATGAAACATCAAAAGACTTTACTTATATAGTATTTAGCTTTTTATGAGAACATCTTAACTGTCTGTCACCACTGTCACCCTATATTTGATCTTGAACTTCAAATTAGAAACACCTGTACAATATCTACTTATCTAAAAATTAATGTAGGTGGTTTGACCTTGACCTGTGAGGGGTAAGGTTACAAGAAATCATGCCCCAATCTACATTAACCTCTAAAATATGACCCTGAAGTCTGGTGTAACAGTTAAAAGACCAAAACAAATCACAGCAAAAAATCATAACCAACATTTTAATCATTAGTGGGAGGGTATAAAAGGCAGTTACAACAATACTTTTTCTTAACGAGTTCAATATATCAATTACCATTTCAGACGGATTTGGAGAATAATAATATCATATCAAACGGTAGATTTAAGTTACTTAAAATAACTTGAATGTTAATAAAATGTGAGTTATATCAGTAACTGAGTAAAAAAAATTAAAATTTTACAAAAAATATGAAAATAATAATAAAAATCAACCAAAAGTAACCAAATATAAAACATTACCAAAGACCCATAGGTAGATACTGGTTTATTATATCTGGTAGTAATAATGACAGGTCAGTATCCTAAACAGGATGTCATTACTCGCCAATAACTAAAAATAGTCTATCAATTGTTTCATTCAAAATTATAACTTCAGAATCCAAATTTATTCCATAACTATGTGTGAACACAGTCTGTTGGATGTAATGTTAGTGAGGGTTAGGGACAAACATGCATAGTGACGTTGGTTAGTTATATTTCCAATACCTCTCAATTGTGATGGTTTGTAAAACAATTACCAAGCAGATCTTGTTTTAGATAGCTATTTCACTTTTAGCCAATAACATCACAATTCAGAGTTATCTGGTAGTAAGTTAAGGGCAACAAGCATCATCACAGCAGCACTCAATCTTGAATTAAGATTTTTTTGCATTTTAACACTTTCATGTTACATGGAGGAAAACAACCTTGTACAAATTTGAAATGTTCCCTGTTATCATCTAAACACACCCAACCATTAACATAATAAAATTGCAAAACAATTGTCCATATTAAAGATAATTTGAGTTTTTTCTAACATTTCTGTGACGATAAATTCTGAATTAATCAAAGTCAAGATTGAGCAGTCCACTGTGAGGGCAAACTACAGTCGTACCACTGTCAACAGCAAATGCAAGGGAGACAATTTCCTCTAAAGTTGGAAAGATTCATATGCAGCCGTTCATATTTTTTTTAACTTAATACCCTCTAGCAACCTTGTTGTACACATGCAAATCACTATACGTCCAGCCAGCACTGATCTACTACTAACAGAGAACTCATTCTTTCTAGTCACTAATCCAAATATCATGAAAATGTTCAACTAGAAATATCAAGTATTTATCTCAATGGTACTTCAATCTTCTTTCTGAACAGATGTCAATTGTTTAGATAAATGGAGTAGATAAATGATATAAAATATAATATTTAAAGCAGTTTTTTAGAGAAGCCATGCGTTACTGATAATGTATGAATTTAAATAATTTATACAGTTTAGAGAAATGAGCTTTCCAACTCAAAACTTTTTATATCATATACAGAGGAGGTTAAAAATGTGAAAATGTAAATTCACAAAAACAAAATGAAAGTTCAGCAAAACTAAGACGTGTTTGTTGTTTATGTTATAGATTAAGATTAAATGGTTCAGATTAGATGAGTTCAAACAAGTTGTTCATAGATATAAATTAATGACACTTTTAAGATTTTTATGGTAATTACAAATAAAATGAAGGTAAAAATTGCAAATTTAGGAAAACAAAAAAAAATCAAATCCACAACAAACAAAAAAGTTAACACCATATAGATAAATGCTAAAAGGAAAAGTTGGAAAAGCTCAAATATATAAATAAATAAATAAATAAATAAATAAATAAATAAATAGATTTTCACGGCATACTTTCAAGCAACTGAAAACCGAATTAAATTATCAGAAATCCCTTTATTTTACCACATAGCATTAAACACATTAACAAACATCCCAAAACAAAAATCTGAATATATATATTTATAGCTCACCTGTTTACAATGGTACCTACATGCATCTCCGACTACTTACTGGTCAGGAGGACAACCAATCGCGGAAAAGCAAGCTGATGACTCAATGCTAAGGAGCTGGGTCAAGCCGTGCATTTGCGTTGTATGTAGGACTGAATTGTCACAAATAACGTTGAAGGAAATAAAAAAGGCTACCCCAAGCTGCTCAACGTGCTAAGCAACCTGGAGAAGGATGAATCTAAACATCGCTGGAACTAAAGTTTGATCAATGACTGTGAGGTTGGAAAGGAAAGGGATTGGTTGGGGAATGGACCAATCAGATTTCAATTAATTTTCAACACAACATGAAGACTTTCAGACAACTACAAACATCAAATGACAAGAAACATTGAAAGCACAAAAGACAAAAAAGCACAAAGTAAACATCCATCACAAAAATGCTTCACAGAACCCTTATCTGTAACTAAGAAACGAGGTTTCTTGGCAGGGGTAATACAAGGAATGTGTGCTGTATATACAACGATTCATTGTAATGTGTTGTATATGGCACAATGGGAGTATTAAAAACAAAGACTGTTTACTACAAAAATCACTACGACAGGAAGCAGATGGTTAGTAAGGGAGGTCATCCTGACACAAACTTGTGTCACACATAGTTTTAAACATAAACAGGGAAACAGAAAAAGCGTGTTGTCAAAAAACGACAAAACAAAAATACATAAAAACAAAAAATATCAGCATATTCTAGCAATTGCAATATATTAGGGATTTGTGTCTCTTGTAAGGTAAAAACAGTTACAAAAATATATGCTAAAAATTGTTTAAAAGCCAGTAGATGCCACATTCTGCTTTAATGATCTAGGGTTGCATGTATCATACAAGTTAAATGTTTCATGAGGTCATACCTTTGCCTCACGAATATACTGGCCACCGTGTCGATTCACTGCCTCAATCTGGTGCTGTCGTTCTCCCAATCCATTGTAAATTGTCTGAAAAGATGAAATATTATTGGTGTGTACACCTCATACTTCACTCCTTATATTGGTTACTGTTTACTTACTGGATAAGTATTTTTGATTTGTTAATCATACCAAGTATAAAGTATTAATGGTACCGTACTGTTGTAGTCGTCCTTACACAAACTTCCTTTTGTTTTTATCAGTGTAAAAGTTCAGTAAGAAAACTCGCAGGATTGTTGACATCATACAAGTATATCAGTATAATGCAGAGTACCAAATAAACATTTGTAATCCTGAAATTCTGAAACTCAAATATACTTCAAATTTGATATTTTTGGTCTTAAATTTACTATTTTTCCTCTAAAATTCAGGTTCAAACTTATAGATTTTTCCTTACCATGGTGGGTTCAATCATGAGTTTGAGTTTGGGAAGTTCCTGTGTGAGTGGGGGTTGGGTATCGATGGTCAGCTGGGTGTGGTCTGCCCACTGCTGTTCCGACTTCAGACCATTGGTGTAGAGGGAAAGTAAATCTCCTGTTGTATCCATGCTCCTCAATCTACAATACAGAGCACTATGGTATTTAACAAACCAGTCACCAGAATACAGTGGTAACACAATCAAAACAAAAGGTGACATCTAAAAAACCAGGCTCATCAGCTACTTCCTGTGACAACTTACCGTTCAACAACTTGTATACAGACATTGTTCCAGCGCTGGTCAAGTTCCGCGACTTCCTTCTCTGTGCCTTCTAGGTCATAATAGCGTGCTACACCTGGTCGACACTTCTCTGTGTTGACACGTAGATTGGCAGTGTCACGCTTCAGTGAGTCCACTTTTTGTTGTTGTTGCTGCACAGATACCTGAAGATCCTGACAAGGGAGGTAAATATGTATGATCAGGGAAGGTAAATGTGGCAGGTGATTTTTGGTGACAAATTTACACAGAAGTGAACACCAAAGAAAAAACACATAAATATAAGCTGAAGTTACCTTTACATATTTACTTTCTATCCAAAACAGAATTTTTTTCCAAATGTTGTGAAAGATCTCTTTATTGATCTTAAAAATGTTTCGACCAATGACAAAGACTTGTACAGTTTCTTTTATTTTTATTTTTTTTTGGCCACCTTTATTTCTTTAACACTTCCCCCATGTCTGTCACAGCAGTGCTGTTGGTTACATGTATTGTTACCTGTAGTTCGGCCTTGTGGGTACGGAGAGATTCCGGATCAGAGGATAAACTGTCCTGAGTAATGAGAGCTATCTCATAATCAGCAACGAGTTGTCTAACGTTGTCGAGGTCCAACAACAGGGAATCAACACTCTTTAATCTGAAACATCATATTTTTTTTTTATATATTTGTATACTGTTCAGACTTGGAAGTTCAATATTACATTTTCGAACTTTAACATTTGCCCTTTGTCCTGACCATCATTATCAACCAAATACAGCACTGTCCTTCCCATACCAAAACACTTCTGTATCAACATCTATTTTCTAGTACATTAAAAACATTAGAACTTTTTGGGGGAATTCTCTATGAACACAAAACAAGTGTCTAACATTATCCATAGCAACGTATCTGACAGTTATACAGTGTTAAACACAGTTGTTTTTATAACTTGTACATTACTGTATCTTGATCAACATCAACTCCAGCCAATGTTTTTAAGTCCATTAAAAAGGTTACATCTTTCTTATTTTTCCAGACATTGTTAAATATAGATCAATTATTGGGACAAACAGTTCTCTCACCTGTCCATGTTTGATTTGGAGAGGCTCCACATTTGATCCCATTTCTGCAGTGCCGCATGATATTGTGGCTCCACCTGGTGTTGGGAGCGTACCGGGAGATTGGCAAAGGACTGTTTCATGTGCTCTACTTCAATTTCATGGCTGCTTAGTGTCCTGTCCCAGCTCTGGAAACACAACATGTCAGTAATTATCTAGGTACCTCTAAAGGACAAGGAAGAATACTTGGATGTAACAGATACAGTTCTCACTCAGCTAAGTATATAAAAACACCCTCTTACTTAACAGGTATCCGATGCCCTAGCAGAAATCCTATCTTCCTCAAGTTAAGTCTTGTAAAACGTGCTGTCTGCACAAAAAGATATCCTTCCTTCTATCCTTCCTTAATCTATATCCTACAGCAATATCATAGTGCCCTCTGTTCTTACAGATATCCTACAGACATATCATAGTGCCCTCTGTTCTTACAGATATCCTACAGACATATCATAGTGCCCTCTTCTTTAACAGATATCCTATTCTCTGCCTCTAGGGGCATATAGTAGTGGAATTTGTCCTTTTCTACTCTTACAGTACTAAGCATTCAGCTGTGACTTAATAAGTTACCTTCTGCCTCTCTACAGCATGTCGTAGTGCCCCTTTGTCTCTTGGATGCATCTCTTGTAAATGACCAGTGAGGGTCTGCTCACAACTGGACAGGTTGTGACTGACTGCATCTAGGTCCTGTGCAAACTTTTGCTCAGGTGACCTTGTCAACCTCGAATCTTTAAAACAAAATCAAATTTCCTTCTATCATTTTCCCTCAATATGATGCTCCTTAAACTTTCAATTCTTAAACAATGGTGGTTGGTTGTGTATTAATAGACACTGAAATATTCTATCAGTAAATATTTGATCTTGGCTTGGCTGTAATACTTACACAGTGGCTCAGAAATGCATGACAACACAATCAAATATCACATGGTATATGCCAGCATGATATTATGTTGATGAACAACCCTGTATCTATAGGGTCATTTTCAACAAAGTCTTAATTCAAACAAAATCCTCATTATGTAATAACTGCAATATTTTGTAACATTTCCAACTTTATGGTAGTTATACCGATAGACTAAAATTCTGCACTGAAAAAAAGATTGTTTCTTCCAAAACTTACAGGAAACAGGCAATGTATTTAGACATATACACAAAGAGTCGGAGATTTGAAGAATATTGACGTGTGGGATATTTGTACTGTTACCATGCCAACAGAGATATGCCCCTCCTACCTGATTCAGAGGCTGCTGTAGAAAGACTGTGGAATACTTTGTTACATTCTGCTAATTCTGCCTTTAGATTCCTCATGTCAGGATGAGAGTCACCAATCTCATTCATCAGTTTCTCAGCATCCTCATTCACAACCTTGAGTAGAGTTTCCCGTCCCACCGGATCAAGTTTCTGAAACTAAAATATCAAACAATTGTTTATGATATTGATCCTGTAAATTAAAATCTTTTGAGACTGAAAAAAATATAGAATACAGTTTAAATAAACATCTACTGATGTTCCTGAGTTTTAGATAAAAAATTCTCACCCTACCTGATCATCAAATAAAAATTAAATAAGAATAAATTAACCCAGGGTGAGGTTTTCACAACATAAATCAATAATTCAATCAATGTAATATTACATTCCCTCAGGAGCTGCCTTTAAGATGCTAAATACAAGTTCTAAGCTTATCACTTCCCTACTTTATATGTACAAAAACTGTGTCAGATTTTTTTTTAATTATTATTCAGCAAGAATTTTTTGTACAGAAATTCTGAACAGTGTATCACCCCAGCAACATCCACTATGTAATAGATCCATGAGAAATATCACTTTATATTTCATCCATACTGACCTGTTTTAAATCCCAGCCTTTGATGACATGTATTGTTGCAGTAACCATATTATGTCTGCTGGAGCGCTGTCTCATCTTCCACAGACTACGAAGGTGTTCCATTTTCACTTTTAACCTGAAAGACACCAATGAAGTGTTTAGGTCCGACTCCATAGTTTTTCCATAATTTGTATCAACTTTATGTTGCCCGTTCATTTACAATCTTAGTCACTAATTTAGGGAGGATATTACCCTTCAAGATCAATATGTTCAAAGCTTTAATTGCTTATAATGTCAAGACTTTGAAACTTTGCTATGTATCTACTGTCTCAACACTTAAATAACCTCATTACCAGATAAACATATATCTGTATATAGAGACAAGTTATTACACAAAAAGGATTGGTCTTCAGTACAGTTATGCAGTGAATAGAAAGAAAAGCAAAACCTGATCATTGCTAGGAAGGGAGGTAACTCACCTTTCCGCACATTCTATGGCCTCCTGATTTGGGGGAGGAATCAGGAAGCACACAGAAGGTACCAAGTCTTCTTTACCTGAGTGGGTTCTCACCTGAACAGGTAAAAAAATCAATATTACTACTTATAATAACAATAAAGTTAGAACTATCAAACTGTGCTACTTTAAGAAACAAATCTGAACCATCCAAAACAAAGACTAATGCAAAATTGTTGATTATGCAAAAAAATCAAAGCATCTCAAAATAACAGCATTTGAATTTCAATATCAATAAGTTCCTTATTTTATCAAATTTTTTATCCACATTTCTTTATCAATTTTCCTGACAACTTACCCTCCATCTTGTTCTCTGGGATGTGTCAAGTAACATACATTCTTGTCCTTTCTGTAGAACCAGCTGGAAAAAGAGTAACAAATGAATTATGAAATTTCTGACTACGGACATCAACGACCTACTTTAATTTTGATTCTGCAACCACATCTTTATTGAAGGTATTCAGCTTCTATAATTAATTCTTTTATAAGCGTGACTCACAAACTAAACTGAAAGATATATATTGAAATGGACATACTCATTCTGAAAATCGTATTTCTATATTCAGCCCAACCTACCTCTGGCTGTCTGTAAGTACACAAGCACTTAACACGACATGGAGACTGTATCACTTCTCCGCGTTTTTTCAATGGCACTATTTCGTAACTGAGTTGCACTAGTGTCCCTATCTGTTTTTCTATGTCAGATATTTGTTCCTGCATGGCTCGCAGCTCTTGAACACGTTTCTTTGCCTCCTCCACGTCCAGACTTTCCTGATTGTACCGCGTCTGGAGGAGATCGGAATGCTGGGATAGCTCTGCCTCGCACTGCTGGCAGCCTTCGTAAAACTGATGGTATGCTGTGAGATGTTTGACATGTGATTCCAGACATAGGGTGAGTTGTAACAACCATGACCACGTCGACTGCATCGTCTCCATGTATGCCTAAAGAGTATATGTGACACATATAAAATTAATTGTTACAGTTGACCTTGAACTTATACAACACACAAATATTTTCTTTTTGGCAGTAAAATAAAAATCCTTATCATTCAGTTACAATTGAAGACTTTGATCAAGTCATTTAAAATGATTATGTCTTTTTATCCAATGGTAAAACTTAACAGGCTTGCCTTAATTGTTTCAGCAGCTGGATGTCGGTCCAGGACCATGGCTGAGCCTCGTTCCTGTATGGAATTAAACTGGCCCTCCCGAACCTCGAGGTCATGCAGTAGGCTCTGTAACAAAGTCAGATAGAGGTGAAATATATGCAGAAAGGGTCAAGAAGAGGTCATATACAGGTTATTAGAAAAAATGTATCTTCAATTATCAGCCAAAATCACATTTGCTGCTTGTGATGGTTTTGCATACAAATGAATCAAAGACAAAAGTCAATAAATGAATTAAGATTGAATTTGACCTCTGTCTTGGTGACCTTGACTTCTTACCCAACAACATTGATCTGTTAAGTCAAGCAATTTCTAATTTGATTTTGATCAATTTTGTGATATATTGTCGTACAAATTATTAACAAGTTAAAAATGTTACCTTGACCTTTCATCCCTGACCTTGATCATGTATTTGGTCTACTTTGGTTTATGATGTCATTAGAAAATATCTTAAGTTTAAGTTTGAATTTAACCCCTGACTAGGTGACCTTGATCACTAGTCAGATGACTCTCATTTGATTTCTGCAACTTTACTGCATAGTGTCAAAATATACTGAATTTTTTGCACTGATCTGACCTTCACACTGACCTGACCTTTGCACTGATCTGACCTTTAATATTGATCTGCATTGCACACCACCTACAGGTGTCTTTTTAGGAGTCATCAATAAATCTTTAACAATCAAAATATTATGGGTGATACAAGAGTATATTAGAGAAGCCATATTTATACCAGAGGTCAAACATGAAATACAGATCTTACAAACATGATATAATGGTCAGAGATCTTATGAAGGTCAAAATATTATCGTAATAAGGTCAAACAGAGGTATTATCAAGGTCAAACAATGATCATTTAGAGGTCAAACATGGACTTCAAAGTTGTCAAAAATAGCAATATCCACAAAATAAACATTTGATCTAATTAATACTTGTAACCATTAAGTAAACAATAAACACATAACAACAAATAAAAGGAAACAAAAACAAAAGGATACATAACAAAGAGGAGTGTAAGGAATCGGACCTAAAAGTTTTACAGGTATTAAATCCAACAAACAACAAACATTCAAAGGCTACTAGAGAAATTTACTGAAAAGCGATTTTGGTTATTGTTGTCTATACTAAACCCTCACTAAACCAGGCTGACCAAAATTGACAATATATTTACTGTTACCCAGGTATGTACTGGACTCTCACTAAACCAGACTGACCAAAATTGACAAAATATGTACTGTTACCCAGGTCTGTACTGGACTCTCACAAAACCAGACTGACCAAATTGACAATATATGTACTGTTACCCAGGTCTGTACTGGACTCTCACTAAACCAGACTGACCAAAATTGACAAAATATGTACTGTTACCCAGGTCTGTACTGGACTCTCACTAAACCAGACTGACCAAAATTGACAAAATATGTACTGTTACCCAAGTCTGTACTGGACTCTCACTAAACCAGACTGACCAAAATTGACAAAATATGTACTGTTACCCAGGTCTGTACTGGACTCTCACTAAACCAGACTGACCAAAATTGACAAAATATGTACTGTTACCCAGGTCTCACTAAACCAGACTGACCAAAATTGACAAAATATGTACTGTTACCCAGGTCTGTACTGGACTCTCACTAAACCAGACCAAAATTGACAAAATATGTACTGTCTCTCTCACTAAACCAGACTGACCAAAATTGACAAAATATGTACTGTTACCCAGGTCTGTACTGGACTCTCACTAAACCAGACTGACCAAAATTGACAAAATATGTACTGTTACCCAGGTCTGTACTGGACTCTCACTAAACCAGACTGACCAAAATTGACAAAATATGTACTGTTACCCAGGTCTGTACTGGACTCTCACTAAACCAGACTGACCAAAATTGACAAAATATGTACTGTTACCCAGGTCTGTACTGGACTCTCACTAAACCAGACTGACCAAAATTGACAAAATATGTACTGTTACCCAGGTCTGTACTGGACTCTCACTAAACCAGACTGACCAAAATTGACAAAATATGTACTGTTACCCAGGTCTGTACTGGACTCTCACTAAACCAGACTGACCAAAATTGACAAAATATGTACTGTTACCCAGGTCTGTACTGGACTCTCACTAAACCAGACTGACCAAAATTGACAAAATATGTACTGTTACCCAGGTCTGTACTGGACTCTCACTAAACCAGACTGACCAAAATTGACAAAATATGTACTGTTACCCAGGTCTGTACTGGACTCTCACTAAACCAGACTGACCAAAATTGACAATATATAAATGGAAAGACTTAACTTTGAGCACTTCACATAGTTTAGAAAAGCTGAGATCTAACTGTAAATTGAATTTACTTTCCCAGTTCATGGTACCGTAATTGACCTATCTTTGGATGACTCTGGATGTTGGAAGTTAAGCAATATAAAATCATTTAGTTCTTTAATCAATAACCCATATCACACAAGCTCTCTAAGAACCTTGAAACAAATGTAACATGCTGTGGAAGGGAAGGACTAAACAAAAGATATAATTGGCTTCCAGTCTGTCTTCAAACCCTGCTACTGTTTAATGATGGGTAGGTGGAATTCCGACAACCCTTATAATTTCCAGGCTATATGATATCTTTTTTTTTACCTTAAGGAGTTTGTAATCATCATCAACATCGTATGAATAACGCCGCTTGAAATCAGAACAACATGCAGTGTAAATGGATTAATATCTACATTCAGTATGGCATTGTAACACATGCATAACATGATGAGGAGCAAGGTTTTCACAGGTGTGGAAGTTGTTAGAACTTTAAACCATGTACATGAAAGTGCCTATAACTCAATGCTGTGATTTTTTTAACAATAAATAGGTGATCCCTGTGAGATCCCTGTGAGATCATTGTGCCGATCACTTGTATTCCCACAGAAAGGAAATAATTTGCCATCGTTATTCCAAGACCTGTCAAACGTTTACACGGAAAGGGATGATGATGAACTTTATCTTCTTAAGATTGCCCCTTTACCTACAGCAATTGAATGCTGGAAGTCACATCCTACAATACTGCTCCATAACATTGCCCCTTAACCTTCAGGAAGTCACATCCTACAATACTACACCATAACATTGCCCCTTAACCTTCAGGAAGTCACATCCTACAATACTGCACCATAACATTGCCCCTTAACCTTCAGGAAGTCACATCCTACAATACTGCACCATAACATTGCCCCTTAGCCTTCAGGAAGTCACATCCTACAATACTGCACCATAACATTGCCCCTTAACCTTCAGGAAGTCACATCCTACAATACTGCACCATAACATTGCCCCTTAACCTTCAGGAAGTCACATCCTACAATACTGTACCATAACATTGCCCCTTAACCTTCAGTAAGTCACATCCTACAATACTGCACCATAACATTGCCCCTTAACCTTCAGGAAGTCACATCCTACAATACTGTACCATAACATTGCCCCTTAACCTTCAGTAAGTCACATCCTACAATACTGCACCATAACATTGCCCCTTAACCTTCAGGAAGTCATATCCTACAATACTGCACCATAACATTGCCCCTTAACCTTCAGGAAGTCACATCCTACAATACTGTACCATAACATTGCCCCTTAGCCTTCAGGAAGTTACATCCTACAATACTACACCATAACATCGCCCCTTAGCCTTCAGGAAGTCACATCCTACAATACTGTACCATAACATTGCCCCTTAACCTTCAGGAAGTCACATCCTACAATACAGCACCATAACATTGCCCCTTAACCTTCAGGAAGTCATATCCTACAATACAGCACCATAACATTGCCCCTTAACCTTCAGGAAGTCACATCCTACAATACTACACCATAACATCGCCCCTTAGCCTTCAGGAAGTCACATCCTACAATACAGCACCATAACATTGCCCCTTAAACTTCAGGAGGTCACATCCTACAATACTGCACCATAACATTGCCCCTTAGCCTTCAGGAAGTCACATCCTACAATACTACACCATAACATTGCCCCTTAACCTTCAGGAAGTCATATCCGTCAATAATGTCTCAATATTTGGTCAAAGCAAAATATTAAATATGGCATTAACTTAGAGGGACTTGAGCATCCAATCAAACCCAAAATGTAGCATGAATTCTACATCATGTACTTAACATTAACAGAAAAATTCACAAATTTTCAGAAGTTATCAACAAATAAAAGAACTTTAAGGGACGTAATATTAGGGCTTGCACAACTGGATCACTGGCCCAAAAGTTTCTGAAAGTCTCCCAAAGCTTTTTTTGAGAAATTGTGGTAATAATCTTGCCATGCCACTTGAGACCATAATACCTTACAATCAGGCCCAAAATGTAGATATTAAAGGAGAGACTGACTGATCAACTGAGATGTCATCATACAAAAATAGATCGTGATGTCATGACACAAAAATAGATTGTGATGTCATGATGCTAACAAAGCAGTGCCAAAATTCAAATGTATGAATAATCTTAAAGCCTCGTCATACACAGATATAATATCTATAAACATCAGTGATTATATGATGCATGACAAACACAACATTGTAGACAAAACACGGACAATACACAGACGTACAGTTCATATGCAACATAGACAGTAAAGAAACATACAAAAACATATGCGATATAAATGGGTACAAGTCAATTTAGCTCAAGTCTCCCTTCCAACATTCCTGAATGGATATTACAAGCTTGGAACCACTTGTATCATGACAATATCACAATGCAGATTTTCTTTTCAACCAAGTGAATATACTGCATTCCTTTGTTTAACTATTGCAATTGTGGTTCTTATCTTGAAATATCAGCTTTTAAAATCATCGTGTCGTATAAACGAAAAATATTCTTCAAATACTCATTTTTTAATGTTTTACCAACATTTTGATTACATAACTTGAGAATACTGATTCTCATAGTGTTTTAAATACAGTTAACAGAATATATGAAATTGTTACAGAATTTTCCCAATGTCTGCAATCGTCTCTAATGCATCTGAAATATTGTTATTTTAATTAGACACAATATAGGAATGTTGATGAGGGTTAAGTTTGGCAGAAGCTGGACTACTGTTTTCAGTAGTAATGTGATACGTAAAAATAAAACTATAAAATTTATAACACATGGCAAAACTTAAAAAAAATAATGATGAAATGTTATTCAAACCTGGTGGTAAGGGAATCTAGCCTGGAAATGAAAAGTGTGCACATTTTCAATACTCAAGAAGCTAAATGATATGCTTAGAATCAAATTCCAGCAACATACTGAGACAGCTAAGGTCAGCTCAAGGACACAATAAAGTGTCTGTGGTCATGGCAACTTTTAACAGCAAGTTTTACAACAAAACAAATATTCACACAGAACAGCAACATTCAAATCAAACATTAAAGTGACTCTGATTACATAAAACATAAAATCTGAGTAACTGATGATAAACAATAAATAGCCAATTAAGAAGACATATGGCTTTTTTTCTCTCTCTCAAGTTACCTTGTAAGACTCGGATGTATGTTGTACATCCATATTTGGTGAGCTCCAGTCGCGCTCTATTTCTGCCTCCTCCTTATCGTTGAGCCACAGAAGTTCTGCCATGGCCAGGTTGAGAAATTCGTGAAATGTCTCTAGACACTTCATACGTCGTAAAGTTGTGTTCTGCAATATCAAGATTGAAACTGGTACTCATAAACGCAATATCATATCAGGTGTTTTACTTATATATTCAGTTTATCATCTCCATAGTGAATGAACAGAATGATAATCATGACAAAATTGTGGTCAGAGACAACACATGCTGTGGTCATTTCACTGTGGGGACCTAAACATTTACTGACAGTAAAGGATAAGCCTGCTTCTGGTTAAAACACAATACAATTGTTAAAAGTGGAGAGTAGACCAACTCTGACAGTACAATACTCACTGTTAGCAGAGAGTAAGCCACCTCTACTTTTGAAAGACTCTCGGTGTACAAGTTCCGTTCCTCTGTCGACAGAGCCCTCTGAAAGCAGAATAGGGAATAAAACATTGCACTTATTCATATCAACATACCAACCTCCCAATTTTATCAAACAAGAGCTATGAGGCATTCTGAACAGTCAAAAAAAATATTTCTTTATACATTTCAATAGTATGCTGAAACGGGTCAGACTGAACATCATGGGGACCAAATATTATCTTGATTGGACTGAATTAAAAATGATGATTCAATTTGAAAAGGTTCCAGACAGATGAAGGGTTGATTTTAAACAAGTTATATAAACCAGGAGGTAATTTTCCCTTGGCTTAGATAACTTTTGTGTTCAATAAACTTCACAAATAGTTGAAATTCCATAAAGAGGTCTAAAAAGATGCAATTTTTTTTGTCTTACCCCATCTGCAATACATTTGTCTATTTCAGATCGGAAGCTCATTATCTGTTGGTGCTCCATCTGGTGGACATCCAGATTAATCTGTATCGTTTGGATGTCACTTCCATACTCTCCTGCTTCTATAGCTTCCTACAAACAGGCCAATCAGAAGTAGTGTCTTAAACCAATCAACCAATCGTAAATAATGTACCTAAGTAATCAACAGCAAAAGTTATCAAGATTAACAGCCAATAAGATGTAGTGTTACTAAATGTGCATCCACCCAAACGTCTAAATGAAAGAAAGACACAAAAATACACATCCAATATTATCAACCAAATTTTATAATAATAAACTGAACTTTTAACACACCAGCAATGATCCACCTGTTGGTGTGAACATCTGTATGAATCATTCGTACCTGTTTGGCCTCTATCCAGGCGAGACACTCCTGTACATGTTGGAAGGCAGGATTGGTCTCAATAAGACGTACTTCTTTGACAACTTCCTTTCGACGTGTCACAGTGATACCTTCCTCAATATAAGATTTGGACATGAGTTTCTGAATCACATCTCCAAATAATTTTGTTCTCAGCTGGGAGGTTCTGGACTGTATCATAGACACCCTGAAAAATTATCAAGTATGATTTAAAAATAAAACTGTTCATAATTACTTTGCTGGTGTTTTTTCAAAACTTCCAGCCCAAACCAAAGAAATTAAGAACCACACAGTGTTTCATTTCATGAGCAGTCTGACAAAAAGAAGAAAAGTTTCACAAAACACAGATTAACCAACTCTTGATGGATACCAAATAAGAGCTACACACAAGGTCTGACCAAACAAGGAGCTGAAGTGTAACTAAATGTGTAGAACTAAATATAGAACAAAAGTCACTGAAGCAGAAAATTCAGGTTCCAGTGACCTATATCTGAGGTCAGTGATATAGAACATCTAAAAAAGTAATCATAAACTTGACATTAAAGTCTAAATATAACACTGGACTACCAGTGGTAAAAGGAAAACTGGAACACTCCATCTACAATGTCTAGGCAAAATGGTAACAACATGTGACACTGTAGATAAATGTCAGTCTATTATTGTAACTATCCTTCCTGGTAATATTCTGATTGTGTTACCTTTTATAAAGCTGATCTGCAGTAGGAAACCGACCATCCTGAAGGGCTTGTACATCCCGAAACAAACTTCGTGCCGTCTCTTCTAAGTTTTTTAAAGCTCTGTCTAATGCATCACAGTTGCGCTTAGCTTCTAGAGGGTGTAGGAGTTCCACGCGACCTTGTTCATCACCGATCCTTCGACCAAGGTCATCAAGGTTGTCTTCTGAGTGTTTAGCCTCTCGATGGATCTTTTCTGCAAGTCTCTGTAACCTTTCTAGCCTGAAAACAGATCACATACCATTATATTTTATTGTGCAAGTTCATCCAAATTCTCACTCTCAACAAAGTATTTTTTTTAGATATACATAGTCGGAAATGGAAATTTATCTTGAATTCCATATTTTTTAAAATTCCCTGCACATTTTATAAGCATGTACATACCTATATATAGAATTTAGTAAGAAATAAGATGGAACAGCCCATTATGAACAAACCAATGTTTGTGTAAGCACACCATTTGAACAAATATATATAACAAGAAGTTATAATGACAGTGCAGACATAACAAGCTATTCTGTACCTGACAACCTCTGCCTGTATGCTGTTGTCACGCTCCTGGTTAGCCAATGAGAATCTATTCCACATTGATGTGATGCTATCTGGCTGAAGGTCATCTGGAAAGGCTAGTTGTGAACTGCCAGATCCAAAACCCTGCAACATCAAGACAATTGGTAACCAATTACAAATGAAACATGTTAATAATGTACACTATGTGGTTTGGATTTATTTGAATAAATCTAAATAAAAATAACTGACAAATTCCCATTATCTTATCAGGAAATGGTGTATGTAAGCATCCTTTAAATATGCATAACCTTTCACCCCATAACTTTATTGGGATATCAAATTTGACATACATGAATTTTTAAAAAAAATTCAAAAGTGTTTGTAAAAAAGTTTCTTAATCAAAAAGGGGTAAAGTGTAACCTCTGACCTTTTAATCTTGAAAGATGACCACAAAAATCTATGAATGTACGGAACTTGATACTTTGAGATGATGGTAAATATGACCTCAATTTTTTTAATGCTTTCCATAACATGTAAGTTATATAATAATAGATTAATGATGCCTAGCAGATACCAAGTTAAATATCAAGAGATTGATGAAGCAAATAGCAGTCAGATACATAAGTTATATATTAATGGATTCATGTGTTAAGATGTCCGATATACAAGTTATATATTAATGGATTTGTGTAATGAGATGTCAGATTGATGTACTAAGGGACATTACACCCACTCTATTAACTGAAGAATACTATTTATAACAAATGATGAATGAGACCTCCTTAATGTATTATATTCAATACAAACATGGTCAAATATGATATTTATCAACGAATGATGAGCTAAAATGTCTTGGTCACACAGACCAGATTTTAAAAAACAAACTTCATATCAAACATTAGCACTATAATAGATTTATATATATATGTCAACCTAACTGTATATCTACAGGTAGAATACCTAAACTTTTTACAAATCACTTACCTGTATTTCTTCAAAAAGCCTGTATAATTTCTGTCTCATTTCCAACCGAGGGGGGACATCTTCAATTCTAAACCTATTTGAATCAGCTAGGAGAGTCTGTCAATGAACACAACATAACGATATAAAAGAACATCATTACAAGCAAACAGCAATTTATCAACATATTGAATCACATCATCCTTAATGGCAACTGACAAGCTGACAATTCTTATTTCAACATCAATTTACAAATATCAATTTTCACAATTTATTTCCTGGCTAAAGTGTACATATTTGTGCAAATGACAGCATTCCACATTCAGAATATTATTATCATGAAAAATAAATGATTTATTAAATATTTTCAAGTTCAGTTTTGAACAAATGAGTAATCAAGTATACTGTATTTTAACAGTACTGTATGATACGTCATATTTGATTACAGTATTTTGTAAGGCTTATTGATGGTTCATAAACTTTCATTTCTACAAGACTTGTGGGGAAGGTTCTTTTATATAAGTGTGAGGGGAACACAAACTATCATTTCTACAAGACTTGTGGGGAAGGTTCTTTTATATAAGTGTGAGGGGAACACAAACTATCATTTCTACAAGACTTGTGGGGAGGGTTCTTTTATATAAGTGTGAGGGGAACACAAACTATCATTTCTACAAGACTTGTGGGGAAGGTTCTTTTATATAAGTGTGAGGGGAACACAAACTATCATTTCTACAAGACTTGTGGGGAAGGTTCTTTTATATAAGTGTGAGGGGAACACAAACTATCATTTCTACAAGACTTGTGGGGAAGGTTCTTTTATATAAGTGTGAGGGGAACACAAACTATCATTTCTACAAGACTTGTGGGGAAGGTTCTTTTATATAAGTGTGAGGGGAACACAAACTATCATTTCTACAAGACTTGTGGGGAACACATAAGTGTGAGGGGAACACAAACTATCATTTCTACAAGACTTGTGGGGAAGGTTCTTTTATATAAGTGTGAGGGGAACACAAACTATCATTTCTACAAGACTTGTGGGGAAGGTTCTTTTATATAAGTGTGAGGGGAACACAAACTATCATTTCTACAAGACTTGTGGGGAGGGTTCTTTTATATAAGTAGGAGGGGAACACAAACTATCATTTCTACAAGACTTGTGGGGAAGGTTCTTTTATATAAGTGTGAGGGGAACACAAACTAATCATTTCTACAAGACTTGTGGGGAGGGTTCTTTTATATAAGTGTGAGGGGAACACAAACTAATCATTTCTACAAGACTTGTGGGGAGGGTTCTTTTATATAAGTGTGAGGGGAACATTTACAAACTTTCATTACTATTAGACTTGTGGGGAAGCTATGCTCTTGTAATATACAAAACTTTACTTCTATCAGAATTGTAGGGAATTTATACTAACCATGTCCAAAAGTATTGTGGGGAGCTACAATCTTGTTACATACAAACCTTTATTTCTACAAAGTTGTGGGGAGCTACAATCTTGTTACATACAAACCTTTATTTCTACAAAGTTGTGGGGAGCTACAATCTTGTTACATACAAACCTTTATTTCTACAAAGTTGTGGGGAGCTACAATCTTGTTACATACAAACCTTTATTTCTACAAAGTTGTGGGGAGCTACAATCTTGTTACATACAAACCTTTATTTCTACAAAGTTGTGGGGAGCTACAATCTTGTTACATACAAACCTTTATTTCTACAAAGTTGTGGGGAGCTACAATCTTGTTACATACAAACCTTTATTTCTACAAAGTTGTGGGGAGCTACAATCTTGTTACATACAAACCTTTATTTCTACAAAGTTGTGGGGAGCTACAATCTTGTTACATACAAACCTTTATTTCTACAAAGTTGTGGGGAGCTACAATCTTGTTACATACAAACCTTTATTTCTACAAAGTTGTGGGGAGCTACAATCTTGTTACATACAAACCTTTATTTCTACAAAGTTGTGGGGAGCTACAATCTTGTTACATACAAACCTTTATTTCTACAAAGTTGTGGGGAGCTACAATCTTGTTACATACAAACCTTTATTTCTACAAAGTTGTGGGGAGCTACAATCTTGTTACATACAAACCTTTATTTCTACAAAGTTGTGGGGAGCTACAATCTTGTTACATACAAACCTTTATTTCTACAAAGTTGTGGGGAGCTACAATCTTGTTACATACAAACCTTTATTTCTACAAAGTTGTGGGGAGCTACAATCTTGTTACATACAAACCTTTATTTCTACAAAGTTGTGGGGAGCTACAATCTTGTTACATACAAACCTTTATTTCTACAAAGTTGTGGGGAGCTACAATATTGTTACATACAAACCTTTATTTCTACAAAGTTGTGGGGAGCTACAATCTTGTTACATACAAACCTTTATTTCTACAAAGTTGTGGGGAGCTACAATCTTGTTACATACAAACCTTTATTTCTACAAAGTTGTGGGGAGCTACAATCTTGTTACATACAAACCTTTATTTCTACAAAGTTGTGGGGAGCTACAATCTTGTTACATACAAACCTTTATTTCTACAAAGTTGTGGGGAGCTACAATCTTGTTACATACAAACCTTTATTTCTACAAAGTTGTGGGGAGCTACAATCTTGTTACATACAAACCTTTATTTCTACAAAGTTGTGGGGAGCTACAATCTTGTTACATACAAACCTTTATTTCTACAAAGTTGTGGGGAGCTACAATCTTGTTACATACAAACCTTTATTTCTACAAAGTTGTGGGGAGCTACAATCTTGTTACCCCTAAAAAGGCTTCATTTCTAGAAGCTTTGTGGGGGGCTACAATCTTGTTAGATACAAACCTTCATTTCTACAAAGTTGTGGGGAGCTACAATCTTGTTACATACAAACCTTTATTTCTACAAAGTTGTGGGGAGCTACAATCTTGTTACCCCTAAAAAGGCTTCATTTCTAGAAGCTTTGTGGGGGGCTACAATCTTGTTAGATACAAACCTTCATTTCTATAAGCATTGTTGGAGCTACAATCTTGTTAGATACAAACCTTCATTTCTATAAGCATTGTTGGAGCTACAATCTTGTTAGATACAAACCTTCATTTCTATAAGGGTTGTTGGGAAGCTTCGCTCCTGTAACATGGCTGTAGCATCATGAAGCCAAGTGAGTAATGAAGTGGCCAGTTCCCGGTATTCATCAACTTTTAATTGTCGCTCCTACAAAGTACAGAATTAGTTTAGCACCACATAGCAATTACAGATACTTCATCTGTAATAATTCTGTCTCTTTATACCATCAGTCAGAATACAGAATCAGACTAGCTTCTTGTTTACATCTCTAATGTCATTATTACTGATAGACCAATCGATACCACTGCAAAGTACGAGCCAGAATTTTAGCCAATTTTTTACCTTTTTAACATATTATATTGACTTTTTTTCAATGAAAATGAAGAGTCATTAGGAAATGTATCATTAATTTAAGGTCATTCAATGGTCAAAAATTTAAAATCACTACATCATACTGAAAAACCATTATGAGTATGAACTTCTAACTTTGTCATCAGTTAATAAAAAATCTTACATTATCTCGAAGTGTTTGCTCTACACTGGGGCATTCTGGGAAGACATCGTAGAGTGAGGAAACGTAAGTTATCACAGATTTTTCATCAGGCTCCGCTACATCAACATCTACAAAAAAGACCAGCATATTCTGTGATAAAAATTTTTTCCAAGTAAAGAACACAATTCAAATGTGAATAAAGACCTGGAGCTTTTTCCCCTATCTGAGAGTCCTATAGCCTTCCTTTACTGAAAACTTCTTACCCCCATATAAAAACTGTAAAGTCCTATGACTTTCCTAATGTCTAAAACATCACACTCTCTAATACTGAAGGTTTCGTTGACCCTCCCTTGCCTGAAACTTTGACACCACCCCACCCACCCACGCACCCCTCACCCCCACCCCTTAAAAACAAATACTGGAAGCTTCGTGTGACCCCTCCCTCTCCCCTGTCTCAGAATCTCCACTGGTCATCATTATTATTGACAGAAAGGGAAGAGAGGTAGTTCTTAACTGTAAGTGGACAGATTACTCTGAAGGATATTGCTTTATATGATCGAGTGTTTCTGCTTGCAGATCATTAAATGTATGCAACAACAGACACAAGAAAATGTCCATTCCTAACACGAAGGGCAGTTGTAAAATAGAATATTCTTTCTTTCTTCCACATTCAAAAGAAACTATTAAACAAAATTACTTTAATTACAAGCTGAACTAAAACTCTACTGTAATACCCTCACTACCGTGACAAAGTGTTTGAATTCTAAGACACAAAGCAGTCCATATCTTTACACTATTCAGTGTGTCCTCTACCCCTATACAAACAGACAAGTTGTTCCTAGTATAAGCCTCAGTTTAGGTAGTCTTAAACTTTGTGATATCATCCCAAAGTGTTTCCCACACAATGGCTAACCTAGTTTCCAAATTCTAAACGGGAAAACTGGTTTTTGATGAGCTGAATGACACAGCAAGTGGAATACAAATGACACAAATACAAACTATCTATACAGAATTTATCAGTTTAATGCTCAAAGACAAAAAAATTTTCGAATGATTTTTCTGTGTGATTTTCAGCAATTTCAATTTTCAATAATCATTTTAAAATACAAAATACAAGATTTCTACCTTATGTTATTTTGATATACCAGGTAGAAATTTAAAAGATCACTTTTAAATGAAACATAATATTGAACCTTATATATGTTCCAGATTTGTAGTATCCTATATGCTGGTAGTGTACACCTGTGAGATTTTTGTATCTGATTAAGTATCCTTAAGACCTCGGGTGTCAATTTCACTTGTTTCCTTTTTTTAATAGGAGATAAACAAACTACTGTTTTTTTATCAAACAGTCACCTTATTGTCAGTTTTTGTAGTCCATTAACCATACCTGTCTAAATTTCACCTGTTAACGACTTATCTACTAGTTTTACTATGTGCTTCGCCTGTGTGTTTTACGAGGGGCCAATGATAGCTACCTATCAAAAAGTATCAAGTTGCTACTCCATGTGATTTATGTAAAGTACTTAAAACCTAAATAGTGGTCACTACACCTTTCACTATAAAAACTATATCAGATAGCCCACACCCAAACAGTCACTGGTCAGATACCAGTGGGTCATTGTCAAATGGAAATTCAAATTTTCGCCCATAAAATCTGTGAATGATTTGCCATGAAATTTTGGAGAAGTCCTGGAGAGTTACTTACTGTCATGTAGATGGTCCTCTTAGAAGCTATCAGGACATGACAGTGACAGTATTTGTGAAACATTATCAGCAAAGTATTTTCATATCAAAATACATGAATATTTTATATGACTAAATACAAGTAACCATAAAGTCTCTCACACAAGGGTTACAACCATAGGCCACACAGACATATTCTCATGCATAGCTGTATACGTTTTACGACTTTAGAAAAGAGCATCAATATTTCATGTCAGATAGATAGCGGTTGTGTATACAAAGTGTCATATCATTTCGGAATACATATTTCTAAAAACCAACTGTAAAATTTTCCCAAAGAATTTATTTATCATGATAATACAGTGTACACTCCTTCCAAAGTTAATGAGAAATGTTTGTTAAATGGCTAATATTATTTCTTGTTGAATAACTTGATTCTTTATTGTAAAGTTTCTCTGTACGGTTCATTACCAAAAACTTGAAGCAAAAAAAAAAAGTTTTTCACATAATTTTATGTATGGATTCCTCATTGAATTTTATTTCTAAGGTGTAATTTTTTTTGCAGTTTTATTCTGTCCTCCAATACAGCTGAAAGCAGAACACTTACGAAATAACAACCTTCAAAATAAAAGACAGGAAACTGACTCTCTACACAATGGCTGTTTGTCCCTGTGATAATCCTGTAGATATATTATCTTTCAATTGTCTGAGCAGGGTATGCTATACAGATCATTATCAGAAGGACAGCATTCTACTGTATAACAAATGTTGACCCTAAATTCAACAACTATATGGTCAGAGAGCTGATCAGATCAAAGACAGTTTACTTCTATCATCTGCTCTCTACAACAACATACTAAAATTGCAGAAACATATTTGACATTCTTCTACCCATAAAAACATACTCTACCCCAGACAGCATTATACACTATCCCATGTAATCATTCTAATCTACCTGTAATTGGCTTAAGTCTTATATCAATTGAGCAAATCCTTAAGTAAGTACTTGAAAGTAATTAAAGATCAAAATATTTCCACCTGGCTGTAAATCTGTTTGAGCTTAGTCAGATGTGTTTTCCTACCTGGGTAATTTACCCACAGGTGGATTGTTTACTTCCTTCAAGTGTTACTACTTTATCGGGTATCTATTATTTAAACTCGACATAAATATTTAGACATTGATCGTGGCTGTAATTGATTAAATACCTGTGTGAGGGGTACAGGTATACCTGTATGTCTGGGTCAGTCTAATCAACAATAATATCAGTCAGTACAATGATGAATGAAATGGATTGCTGGTCAATGTCAGGTTATGTTAGTGAAGGGTCATTACAACAATGAAAGGTTACTGAGGATTACATGGTCATTTCATGCCTGCTGGCAAATTCTGTTTCACCTGGACTGGTCAGTCTTACATGTCACACCATCAGGTCAACAGTTCTATATGAATAATTACAGACAAGCCATGTGACCCGTGAAGCCCCGAGATTCCTCTACTATATCTGCATATCTTCATGTCAAATTCTGAAAACTCTATGCAAATAATTCTCTCTTAGAAAACTTTTTCTTCCAGCATCAGTACCTTCAGGGTCAAGTAATCTCGTCACTCCATATTCCTTCTCTGCAATACTGAAGGCAAGCTCTAGATTCTGGCGGGGAGTACTGGTCCTTGCTCTCTGGAGATCCACAAGATCCGGTCTGTAAGGAAAATTTTGAATAAAGGTTTAAATTTAAAATATACTCTCATCAGGTAAAAAGGTAGGATGTTTAATTAACATGACCTTATAAGGAATTGAACTTTCTCCAAAAGAATTAGATACACAAACCGTTATTTAAAACAAGACTAAAAATAAGACCTCTAAATAAAAGTCTTTTTTTTAGTTGTTTTGGAAATCTTGTACCAGCTGTTCAAAAGCTTGATTAGATGTAACCAGGAATGTGTAATTCAAACTCTAAAGGACTTTTGATACAAAACTTATGCATTATATATACCAATCTATTCTGTCACATGAAAGACCTGTTAAACGATATCAGATTTTGTAATTTTAGTTCAACTTTTTATTTCATCTGTGGACAGTGGATTGTTCGCGAGACATTCAATGGAATGGGGCACAGAAACCAATTCTTCAGTAAGAGAGTGTGACATCACCAGGACAGGTATGTTATGAAAACTTTAGTTGTGTTGTTTCACACCATATCAAATGCTTTACTCAAGTTTCAAACATACATCATTATACAGTTTTGTTCCTTATAAGTGGCTGGAAAATGTCTACTGGTGACAGCAGATCTAGCTTCAAAGTTTTCATCTCCAAACAATGTCATATAATCATGTGAATATCAACCTTGACAGGTACACAGTAACAGTTTACTTGTGAAACAGATTTATCATCACAGAAACTATATTTACTTGTAACATAGGTAAATTTTTTACAGGTACCATGTTTACCTGTGAAACAGGTAATTTATCCTATGTGCCATTTTTACTTGTAAAACAAGTGAATTATCACAGATGTAACACTTACATGTAGAGCAGATAAATAATCATAGGTTTTATATTTTCTTATAGGGCAGGTAAATTATCACACGTGTTAAATTTACTTGCAGAGCAGGTAAATTATTGCAGGTATCATGTGACTTGTAGAGCAGGTAAATTACGACAGGTATTTTGCAACTTGTAGGTCAGGTAAATTATCACAGGTGTTAAATTTACTTGAAGAGCAGGTAAATTATTGCAGGTATCATATGACTTGTAGGTCAGGTAAATTATTACAGGTATTATGCGACTTGTAGGACAGGTAAATTATTACAGGTATTATGCGACTTGTAGGACAGGTAAATTATTACAGGTATTGTGCGACTTGTAGGACAGGTAAATTATTACAGGTATTGTGCGACTTATAGGGCAGGTAAATTATTACAGGTATTATGTGACTTGTAGGGCATGTAAATTAGCACAGATAAGATATTTACTTCCAAGACAACATTTGTAAGATATAGATAACACCATGTCTGTGAAGAAAATATTCACTATTTTAGCTATGACCAATCATATTATTCATAAGTCTGACATAAAATGTCTAACTTAAACTTAATTTTCTGCTTCTTCACTCAAAAGCTGACTAATGAATTACCTCTTTGTCAATGAAATACCAGACTGTCAGAAACACAAAGAACCCTGTTCACTGAAAGTTTGAAAGACAAAATAAACATCCTTACAATAGAAATTTAAAGTGCAAGGCCAGTATATATATATAGGTCTATTTATATACAGTAAAATTTGATAGCAGGTAGACAAACCTATCTTCAACATCCAACATAAACTATAACACGAAGGAGATCTACTACTACTCTCTGTATAGTGGTGATAATGATACTGCTAATAGCTCAATACAAAGGACACATTTTCATTGACAAGAAAACAATTTGTATCAGACTAAGTTATCTAAAAGTGTGATGAGAGGCAACATATACACTATTGTAATACAAAACATTGAAACTATTAGCATATCAGATCTCATGAGAGAATGGATATATTCACATAGGAATGACATAGAATTAACCTCATAGTATCGAATGAGACAGAGATCTCCCTAAGATTTTATCTGATGTTCATCACTGAATCAATTATCAATATATCATTAATAATTAATGAAAACTAAAGTTTACATCAGTGATAATAATAGATGTGATTGACTTATCTGTAAACATCTACTCTGTAGTGACCTTGACAGAAGACCTATGTATATCTATCCTGCAGTGACCTTGACAGATGACCGATGTACATCTACCCTGCAGTGACCTTGACAGATGACCTATGTACATATTTGTAGCAATCACTTGACCTGTGACCTAATAACCAATCAACCTCTGACTCAATTATGACCTCAACTTCAAACATGTCAGGGACATTTATTGTAATAATCCTTCTCAAATTACATACATAGATTAATGATAGACAAACAAAACATAAATAACATTTGAAATGAAATATATCAATTGAAGCTTACAAAGACCAAATGGCCTACATTCAATTGACAGGTGCTGGATTGGAAATGATATTAAATCATTCAATCTTATATGTTTGGCCAAATTAGTTTTTTTTCACCATACAATATCTTAGTGACATAACTGGATGCCATATCAAATAACAATTTTGAAATTACGTACTAAAGAATGTAAACAAAAGGATGATTCCTCATTGTAATTCTACACAGGTGTCTGTCATACACAAAATCCAAACGAGCTCTGCCAGTAACACTAAGGAGCAGTTCAGGTAAATTTCAAAGGGTATATATCTTAAATTTCAATGACAAATCAAACTGGCAAATTAAATTATCTAGGGCATCCCATTTCACAGAGACAAGACACACGATCACTCTGCATATATTTCCACATTGATTATCCTGCATGTAAGTTCTACGTCCTCTAGTCACCGAAGTCCTGACAGCCGTGTGGATATTTGTGTGAGAAACTTAATCAGGCGTAACAGTGTATTTATCATGGTGATGATTTTCTGCCCAACCTAAATATTGCCTAAGTTCATCTTGCCGCCAAAACAGGGTCTGACCTTCAGGGACATTGTTGTATTAGTATGACCTGTGGGACATTGTTGTATTAGTATGACCTGTGGGACATTGTTGTTTTAGGGCGATCTGCGGGGACATTGTTATTTTAAAGTGATCTCCTGGATATTGTTATACTAGGGTGAGCTGTGGGACATAGTTGTGGTGGGATCTATCCTGTATCGTACATGAAAAAAGAGAATGTCAGCACTTGGTGTCAGACTTAACCTCAAAGCACTCCAATTTGGCAAAATGTCTTGAATTGTTTTTCATGCATTTTATTACTAAATAGGACCCGAGTGCGAAAGCTGACATGTGTTACAAAAAGTAGTAGACATAGTAGATGTCACCCTGGAATAATTATAGCCTCATTCACAATCTCTGATCATAAGAACACCCCAGTAAACTGAATTCACCTCCCCTACATCTCAGTAATCCATAGTGTCTGCCATTAAAGACAGAACATAAACAACACACCAGTATCCATTGGTTTGGAATCTGGATTGATCGCCCAGAGTATTCCACCTGACTGATGAGCCAAACTAGCTCTAACTTGTCAGGTAACAATGATTATTTCTAGGCCTCTACAACCCGTTATCATTTTTATAGCATGGATATGGCAGAGAAAGACTGAGCTGGAAATCGGTTATCTGTGAATGTATACAGTAGTACATCAATCAATAAATACACAATCCCACATTTCATACAGTTTGTATGATCCTGTATCAAATCAAAACTTTTTTACTGGTTAACACTGAAGAACATCTTTTCACCCTGGTATAGCATGAAGACATGTGATTGTCTACAGATAAAGATGGAAGGCAATTCGAAGAGACAAAGACACGTTTTTACTCCAGGTTTAACAACTTAACTTTTAATAAACACAAATAACTCTCTATAAACACTATCATTCTAAGAGAAGAAAAACAACAGAAAGTTAAATAAATAATCATGAATATTGTCAAACTGACAAAAATATTTTGGAAGTCTTTTCTTGGGAAATGACTGGCTTGTTGAGTTTTTCCCAGAAGAAAGAATTATTAAAAAAAATTTGATAATGACTGAAAACATATCACAACACAGGATGTGACATCACAGTACTGACCTGTGTCTGTGTATAATGGATAGGAATGCACGTCCGTCCCTCCAACTTTTGCTGAAGTTGTTGATCTTGACCCCAGGGTAGCCTTCCACTGTTCGTCGACTCCATAGCAACAAGGCTTCTTTGGCTGTGATGTCTTCAGGTTGTCCAGGGACGACAACGTCTGACACCTACAACACAGGGGGACACATTACAATCATGGCTGACATTCATAGTTAAATGACTTTCATGCAATACAATTATTAGACAACACAATGAAATAAAGTCAAGTGAACAAGTGCTCATTAAGATACATCCCCCACCAAACAACATCAGAAAATGGAGTCCTGGTGTGACATTTGACCCAATGAACTTGACCCATAAAATATTGCTCGGAAACGATTAAAACCAAAGGGATCACTCCAGGCATGATATCTATATAAACAAAACTTTCCATTTAATTGTAGTCAGGAATATCAAAACCATTTTCTAAATCACAAGTTACTCCAGACATCAATAACACTGATGACTACTTAAAAATTTCAATCAAATGCAAAAGAGTTAGCATTTTCATAAGAAAAAAACATGCAGTCTTTGTAAAATAAATCAAGACATTCTGATACAAAGTAACACCAGCATGAATAATACTTAATCAAATCATATAACCACAAAATTGCATCACAAAGTCTGAGCTGATAAATCAATGTCAAAAAGAATTGTTTAAATAATCAGAAATTTATCATACATAATAGAATTTTACAGCCATTAAATGTGCCAGGGTGTTCTATTTCTTCTAAAAAAAACGATGAATTTTTCTTTAATTTTCCACTTAACGTCAAAACGTTGGGAGTTTTCAAGCTGTGCCTTTTGTTAGTGTTATTTGTTAAATGCAAGTCAAGAACGTTTTGAATTACACGTACAATATGTATCATCTTCCTTGTTTGTAAAAGTTCTGTCTATTTTCCTGGACCAGGTGAGAATGTTTGATTCCCCATAAAACCAACCAAAACAATTGAAATGAAAAAGGACAGACATTAACCATGAATACTGCTATATATTATCGCTGATAATTTTGCGATCCCACATGATTTGAACCTCATATCCCATAGACAATATATAGCCGATTAGACATACAATGTGTACACAACATTTGACCAAGACGCCAGTAATTGGCTTTAGAGGTTTGTTTGTACACTTTAGTGAAAAGTGCCACTTTGGAGCCAGTGTCTCAAACTCTGGGATAAAGATGTCTCCCTTTTATCAGAGAAAGTGAAAGAAATAACCCTCTCCTATTTGCCAATCTCCCACAGAGACTAATTCTTGTCAAATTGAACTAGAGAGATATGTTGAAAGATATATAGACCATATCTCCCACCCCAACAGGCCTCCACATCACATAACTGTCGTAAATACTCACCATGACAGACCAAAAAGCATCACACAACTACCATAAATACGAGCTGAAAACTTCATATCATCAGAGGTATGATTAAAGGGAAGCTTGCCTAAAACCTGTCATTTAGCATGGTGAGAGGGGAAAGGTCAGACTTATTTCAATATAGACAGAAATTGTAAATTCAAGTACAAAATACACCTGAATCTCATGATTATTTATGTCTGATCTAAGACCTTCAACAGTTTGGAATTTAAGACTCCATGAAAAAGTTTATTGCTGTTTAAGTTTGTCGACTAGACAGTGTAAATTTATTTTCTTCCAGAAGAGTTTCAACACTGACTTCTTCATAAAGACTGTTTTACAGATAACCCTGTACTTCAAAATCTCAATAACTAAATAAAATTTGTTGAAACTCTCACTCAATACTCAGTGACCAAATTGATGTTTTATAGAACAGAGTCATTTCAAGTATTTTAAGATTCTAAAATGATTTTTATAAGATATTTAGGAAAACAAGTTAAATATGTGTATCAGAAATAACTGACCACTCATCCCTGTTAGGAATGACCACAGTTCTGTGTGTATCTGCCCTATTGAGTAAATAGATAAAACTAACATTTCTGTGCTAGGAGAGGAAATTTGACCAGGGTCACCAACACCTTCCTGAACAAGTAAAGAAATGGTCACCAACATATTACACTGTCCTCAACAGGCAAAGAAATTGTCATTGTCATTTTCATTTTCAAATTAAACCCCAGAAGCATTATCATGTTAAGCTCTGTCTTGTTAGTTGGCAACAGATGATATATACATCACACCCTCTGGACACCACATCAGTGACATAAGATTTATCCTACAAGGCCAGGACATATCAAGCATACAAAGAGTCTGACAAACTCACTAACTATATCTATATATTCTAAAACAAACTGTCTGGCTTAGAGGGATTTTTCTTAAAAAACATGTCTGTTGCAAATAAAAAATTCATATTCATGTCCATCACAAATGAGCTCTTTAACAACAAATTTATTACAAAACGAGTTTTCAAGAACATGTCTTTTACAAACAAAGCTCCTCAGAAACAAGCCTTTCTAATCAAGTTGTTTAGAAACATGCCTATGTAAGTTGTAAGGAAATGTAAATACATGAGAAATGAAGATTGTTGCTAACCAACACAAACAAAAACTTTCAATGAAAAACACATTGAGAGTATAAAGCAACACAAGTGGGATAGAGGTCGGGATAGGATAAAAGCACAGAAAAGGACCTTTGAGGGAGGTTGAAGGTATATGACACAGCTAACCCCCAGGGATGTAGGTATTGAAAGGGTATAAGAAAAATTCTTCTGAGTTGTATGTCGTAAAGGGATAACTCATGAACATTTCAAATATTAACGCTGTGAGATGAAGACATAGCAACACCTCTGGGAGGGAGGTTGCGTGAATATGACACACAAAAACCACTAGGAGGGAGGTTGTGAAAAGATGACACACTTACAAACACAAAACTCCTGGGAAGGATGTTCTGAGAAGAAGATAAAAAAAACACCCCTGGGAAGGAAGCTGTCAGAAGATGAAATGCAAATGTCACTGGGAGGGAGGTTGTGAAAAAATGACACACAAAACCCCTGGGAAGGGGTAATGCATATGACAAACAAAATCTCAAGGAAGGAGGTTGTGAGAAGATGATATCCAAACACCCCTGGGAAGGAGGTTGTGAGAAGATGACACACAAACACCCCTAGGAAGGAGGTTGTGAGAAGATGATATACAAACACACAAACACCCCTGGGAAGGAAGTTGTGAGAAGATGATACACAAACACCCCTGGGAAGGAGGTTTAGAGAAGATGATATACAAACACCCCTGGGAAGGAGGTTGTGAGAAGATGCCACTTGAACACCTCTGGTACAGACAGAGTGCAACAAGAGGTCCAAATGACCATGGGAAGTAGTTTTAACCACACCAATTGTAGTACACATGAATAAGAACTGCTGGAATAGTTCCCACTACTAACTCAAAGTTTAGTCATCAAGAATTATCATGATACAGACACCATTCAATGTCATTATAAAACCTGATAACACTATTGGTGAAACATACAGTAAAGCTGATATGTCTGTCAGACAACATGTGGTAATGGTCCTACTTTCCTGATACTTTAATACATATACCACGTAAAAATTGTCCAAAAAAAACTAACTTAATAAGACTATTTTAACAGTATTTCAGTTCAAATGGTGTGTAATAGAACCACATAGCATTGAAAAAACAAACCAACAAAACAAAAATCATATGTCTTCTAAAGACAGCATAGGACTTGTCCAGCAGTATCTATAAGAATGAAGTCTTGAATTGGTCTTTTAAACTGATAAATACATTTTATTTTTCTTTCATCTTTCAATAACACATGTATACACAAGTTTGCTGATGGATTTAAATATATTATAAAAATCAAGCATATCATTATAATTTTCCCCTTTTTCAAATATGTATCTTCACTACAATCTTGATAAAACGCCTATTTTATCTATGAATATTTTTTATGCAAGAATGACTTCTTTAAAATGAAATTTTGTCCTATATTTACAAAACATCATCGAGCAGAAAAATAAACACACCCCGAAGTTATTACAACGTTCCTCCATAAAACATAAAGGATGATCCCTGCTCATTGTGATGAAAAATATGTCAAAACGATAACCATGGTTCAGCGAGTTTGTATTATCACAGACCACAGCGAACCAAAATAACAGATCAGGTCGTACACGGGGCCTAAAGGAAATACAGCCATTTAAATACAGGACAGGCAACGTAAAAAAAACCTACGTAAGGCAATGACCTAGATATCTTACTGAAAATCAACATACAAATATTTGTATTAAGGCAGTCAGCAAAATCGTATCAATGAAGTTCTTGAAAATATGTACAGAAAATTTGTCATTGCACTGGTGAAGGCATTCGATCTGTGAAGATCTATTTATTTTAAAAGTTGTTATCATGACGTTTCTTGTCGCAGACGTTAGGCTGACGGCGCTTCCGTACTCTTTATTACAACAATAACATTCCAACAGTAAATAGAACGTTTATTTGTGTTCACTTGACTTAAGATTACACAAAACAAATAGGAATCATGGTCTGACACTAAAATGAAATATCACAATGTCATTACAAGCACAACAAAGCACAGATAACGGTCCTTCTTAAAAAAAGTCACTAAACTGTCCTATCACAGCATTGTCATTATGTCCTTGTCACGTTAAGATCAAAGGCATATTGAGTACAGAGATTCGCTCTGACAGGTACGTTACACATGTATAATTATAAATTCTTACACAGATGGTGTTCTGTTTGTATAATAAGGTTCATTTCCACCATATATCTACTTGTTAAATGTGAAAAGTCTCAGAGAAGTTAATACAAGCATATTAAAACAGGTAAACAAGAAATGCTTTCACCAATATTCATTTTAAGCAGTTTTTATTATAAATTACTACTTAATATTCATTCGTTTCGTACCTTTATTGCGGCAAATGACCACTTCATACTGAAAGTTCATATCAGCTCAAAGAGTTTCTCAAGCGGTCAGTTACAACTACTGGACACTGAATCATTTTTATTAGTGTTTATACCAAGTTTTACTTTAGAAATCAACAAACACTTCCATCAGCTAATTGTAATTCATTACACAGACCAATAGACCTTATTTCTGTCAAAACGTTAACCATTGTGTTCTGTATAGGTCCATCTCTTATAGGATGGTCAAGTATGGTCATAAGGAATTTCCTGTGAAAAG